GTTACAACAGTGGCTTAGACATTGACTTGTCTCCAGAGGACTCGTATGCATATTAACTACTGCATTGTCAAGTTGTGTATTTTGATGGAATCGAGCCGTGAAGCTGCTTGGGATAATGCAGGCTCAATCGGCAGCATCACAAAGGCAGCACAAAGACGTCAAAGACATCATGTAGACGGCAGTAACTAACTTACCAGCCTCTACCAGAGCATGGCCACAATACTTCGTAAGGCCAAGCAGGAGCTGAAGACGGGCCTTCCCGCAGAAAGGGATGGGATGCTGCTCTTGTGGCTGAAAAACTGGAGTCTTGGTGGAAAGCCGATTGGCCGTGGTTCCCATGTCAACTTCAACAGCAAAATACTAGATAAGTACATACACACGACACCGAATCAAGAGTGGAAGCTTAGAGAAGTGTTCTTGTTTATTTATGTTTTATTTATGTTGTAATGAGGGGCTAGAGCTGATTTTAGCTATCATCCATCCCAGAACCAGTTTACTGCAGCTCAAGGCGGCCGTCGCTGTTGGTGATTCGCTCGGCCAGGTTAACATCTCTAGGGACCTCGGTGCCATCGGCAGCAATCAGATTCGCTCGCAGAATAGGCAGGTTGAATGGCGGGTCAAAGTCGAGGCGGATGTTCGAAGCACTTCCGGAGAAGTCTCTGTCTCCCCAGGAGAAGTGTCCTGCTCTCTCAGTCAGTCTGGAAAGCCAGCTTTGGCATGATCGAGGGAGGGGACCTACCGTTGGAGTTTCCAAGGACTGAGTTGAGGTCGAGACGGGCAGTGACCATGTCGCCAGCTCCGTTTCTGAGGTCAGCGACGAGGACGCGGCCGTCTTCCTCGAGGCGGATGTTCTGAGAGGACTCGTGGAAGCTCATGGTGGCGGTTGGTTGGTTGGTAGCTGGTAGGAAAAAGGGGTAACTCGTTGGTGATGATGGGAAGACAGGATAAAGGAGAGAGAGACGAGGAGCTGATGAGGGGACAAAGGACACTCCTTAAATACTTCTGCCTTTCTACAGAATGGAGCCTTATAGCTTATTAAATTAATTAACCCGGACCACATTCGTGACATGATTCACCTCGGGGCAAATACACATATGCACATAACACAGTATAGTCACTGCCCTGCCCTGCAGCTCCCCCGCTCCAAGACACCCACAGAGGGGCTCATTCATGGATGTATCCGTGGACCAAGCAGTGATAGAAGCGACGTGGCTAGCTGAGACTTGAGCATCCAAACCAGGATGGCAGATTAACTCGGTCTCTGGGCCTCTAGACTCCATAGAAACAGGTCTTGCTTTGCTGGAGGGGCAATTCAGGATTCAGCTGGATGAATTCAATGATAATAGTTAGCGAACGGCGGGGGAAGTCCGTGAGAGAAGCTGTAGGCTACTGCATCCAAATATAGCTTGGAGATAACGTCATGCAGGCAGGAAGAAGACGGAGGGGGCTGCGCGACACTATGCAGGTAAGGGGGAGCATGTCTGCGGGTGCCCCTTTATAGAACGACAACCATGGGAAATACTGGGGGTTTATAAGGAATGCAAGACATTTTACCACAACTGAGCTGATTCATAGTTAGTTAGTTATGGGCTAGTTACTCTGGGATGGAGACACTGGATTAAAAAAGGTAAAGTATGAAAACCCCGAGTGGCTATCGAGGGCATAAGCTGGCTCCATTTCTACCGTGTAATGTCTACTACGGAGGAAAAGAAAAAGGAAACAGGATAGAAAACGCAGTCCGAAGGTGCAGCTACCCCATGCGTATCAGGCAGAGATGAATCACAAACAACTCATTCAGGCTGAAGGTCTGAAATCTAAATCGAAGACCAGCGAAACGACACCATCTTCTTCCATAAACAGCAAAATCAACATCAACGGAAAACGGGAAGAAAAAGAAGAAAAAGGGAATAAAAGCAGAACGTTTTATCATGGGCAGGAGTAAAAGATTAAAAGGAACGTTGTAAGGGATGCGGAATTAAATAGAGTAGGTGACATTATATCCCTCACGCCAGGCGATGGGGGGGGGAGTCTCTTTTTGGAATTGCAGCAGGTTTAATTAAGGATATCATTTTCGATCACTCACGGCCGTCATGGCGAGGTTGTTCGCGGACTTTGCTGCGCCGACGGCAGCTGAGACGGGAGTTACCGATCGAGTTGGGGGGACGGTAGGTGATGTTGATGACGCTGGTGCTGCGGGTGCTGCTCGGTTGTGGGCCATGTGGGCGCGGACAAGGTGGCCCGCTGCCAGGGCGGCGCAGAGACTGAGCTCGCCAGCAAGGACGGCAGCAGCCACGATGCGTGCGAGACGGCGCGAGTTGTCGCCTGGGCTGGTTGGGTGTGCGCCACGGACGCCGAGAAGGTCGAGCATGGCCCCCTGTCCCTCGAGGATGGTGCCGCCACCAATAGTGCCGACTTCTATGGAAGGCATGGAGACGCTGATATGTAGGTTACCACCGACGCTAGAAAGAAAGGTTAGTATTTTAGCATTAGAAGGGGTGAGTAGTAAGTGTTGAGGTTATGTTATGTGGAAGATACGTACTTCTTCATGATGGTGATACAGTTGCTGCTCTCGACGTTCTGGGCAGGGTCCTGGCCGGTAGCTAAGAAGAGAGCAGTGACGATGTTGGATGCGTGGGCGTTGAATCCTCCAAGGGCGCCGGCCATAGCACTTCCAATCAGGTTCTTGGATATATTAAGCTCGACCATGGAGTCGACGTCACTCTTGAGTACAGATTTAACGATATTGGCTGGAATAATGGCCTCAGCAACGACGGATTTTCCTCGTCCGTCAATCCAGTTCACGGCAGCGGCCTTCTTGTCAGTGCAGAAGTTACCAGAGACAGAGATGGTCTGCATATCCTCGAACCCGGCCTCGTTGGCCATGACTGACAGTGCCTTCTCGACACCCTTGGAAATCATGTTCATGCCCATGGCGTCACCGGTAGTGGTCTTGAATCGGATGTAGAGGTTGGTTCCGGCCAGGGTTGTCTTCATTGTTTGAAGTCTGGCAAAACGACTGGTAGAATTAAACGCGGCCTTCATGATCGACTGGCCTTCTTCAGAGTCAAGCCATACCTTGGCCTCACCGGCGCGAGACACACTGCTAAAGCTCACGCAGGGCCCTCGGGTCATGCCATCAGCAGTCAAGACAGTGGTCGCTCCACCTCCGGCGTTGATAGCCTTGCATCCTCTGCTGGTACTGGCGACAAGGACACCTTCAGTGGTAGCCATGGGGATAAACAAGCTCTGTCCATCGATGACCATGGGGCCAGCAACACCTAGAGGAAGCGGGAGGAAACCGATGACGTTCTCGCAGCAGGCACCGTGAACGAGTGTATAGTTCATACCCTCGTATGGCAGCTTAGAGTTCTCGACGGAGGCACTGGTGGCGGCGGTAACAGGGTTTCTTGCGACAACGGCACGTCTGAGCTTGACCGCCCTGGTGAACGCTTGCAGGCGCGTGATGCTCTCGTGCTCCATGGTTTTCTCAAGAGCATAGCCGGGGATCTTACCACGAAGAGAGAGCTCTATCAGCTCCTCATCGTCAAGCGAGGTAACAAGTTTGTCCTTGAGCATCTGCTCGCACTCTTCCAGCGTCCTGGGAGTGCCATCTTCCTTGATGATGGGCTTACGCTCAACCTTCACTGGCGCGGGAGCTGGTGTCGGAGACTGAGATGGGGTCGAGGAAGTTGAGGACTGTTCCTCCTTGATGCTCCAGCGAGCAGCGTTGAAAAGATATCCGTTAAGAATCAAACTCAAGATAAGAGCGGCGATTATCCATTTGCTGATGATTGGGTCATCGAGAGATCTCAGGATGCTTTCCAGAACACGGCCACCTACAACGTCGAGAACGGGGTTGTAGTCGGTGTCAAGCAGGCGGTCAACATTGGGATTGGCATGGGCATAGTGTGCGGAAGGATACTGGAGCTGAAACTTCATTGGTGGAAGCACGGTGACCAGAGTTTCGACCTGCTGGCTCTTTGCGCTAACGTAGATGACATCCAAACCATTCTCCGCAACCTTAAAGGGGTCGATCGTCACTGGAGAGAGGACGTTGGACACCTTAGATAGAACGGGCATCAACAGGCCATCTTGGCGGTTGCGGAAGGGGATAGTGGCCAAGTTGAGCAGGTTGATCAGGACGAATCCGCCAACCATGAGGAACTTAAACTTGGGGATGCTGCTTGCTCGGACCTTCTGACCAAAGATGCTGGTGGCTCCGTTGGTCTTTGAGCTGCCTCCCTTCCCGTCAAAGTTCATCTGAGGCCAGTCACTGGTCGAGGCGACCTTCTCAGCGACTCGGTGGGTGATGCCTTCTTCCTCAAGGGTCTTGCGGATGTCGACATGGCGCTTGATGCGGTTGATTTCCAGTTTGATGCATAGGATAGTGGTGTAGAAGGTGAAGAGGAGGAGACAGTCGAAGAACAAGATCCACGCAGCGAGGAAGCAGAACTGTCGCAGACCACCCTGGATGCCTGAGGCAGCACCGGCGACAAGGATAGCGATCTCGATCAGGTAGTCTCGAACGATCCCGAATCCAGTGGCTTCGACAGCCTGCTGGATAGCATCCTGGATAGATCGCACTGGTGTGGCTGGCTTGGCAGCGGAACCGTTGGGGGCTGCAGGGTTTGCTCCTGGTTGCTGGTGGCTGCGTTCGAGCACGGCCTTGGTGAGGATGATGGGTTTTTCAAATCCGATGGTGACAACTAGGAAAGGAAGACCCTCGGACAGCAAGACCATATTAATGGGCACACCGAGAGCGGTGGTAACGAGCAGACCGAAGAGGAATGCAAACCCTCCGGAAATGAGGACGGTAGCAGCCAGCCAAGATTTAGATCCAAGACGACGTAGGGATAAGAACAGCGATACGAAGGTTAAGTGCATGGAGATATAACCCAATACCATGATAATGATATCAATAGTCTCCGCATGCTATGTCTCAAGTCAGTCATTTGTACCTATGAAATGAAGTCGCATAGATAAGTGGTATATATAGAGAGAGAGTAATACCTTGATCAGGTCCACAAACGAGTTCCATCCATCAGTGAACATGCTGCGCACGGCAACATGGGACCCAGAGACAGCGCTGCGCGCAGCCTTCATAATCCATTTCTTCTGCTCAATGCTTTCGGGATCGTTGACAGAGTCAGGGATCTCCTGGACCGACCTGAGGAAATAGGAGATTTCATCGAAAGGTAGCGAGTAGGCCAAGTGCGTATCTTGTGAAATGGGCGTGAGGACATTTGGTGTATAAGGGATGAGTTTGGCCGAGCTATTAGCAGGCAGCGGTACGTTCTCTGCAAGGGGAGGAGACTGTGGTGACCCGGAAGACGAATAGGGGAACACAAAGGTTGCAATGGCAAGATGCTGTGACACCTAGCAGCCGTCCCGGTTAGCATATAACCACAAATAATTGAAGAAACTAAGCCAGACAGGGGAGAGAAAGGCAGAGAAAGGTAAAAGGTAGAGAGAGAAAAGAGAGAGGTACCTTCTTGGTATCAACCTGCGCCGAATTGTCGACCTGCCATCTCCACTGGGTATCCTGGCCGAGATGCAGGTTCCTGCCTCCGCGAAGCAGCGACGCTACGTCGACCTGCCCGGCACTGTCTCCCTTGCTCGACTCGACCAGGCTGCCGTCCAGCAGACCGACGTAGGTGGTGCTCGCGAGCAGCGCAATGGCAACTATCGTGTGTATGGGGTGTCTGCAAGCTCTCAGTGAGACGGACTGCAGCACTCCCGTCACCTGTCGACTGAGCCACCCAGGCTCTCCAGCATCGTCCGGATCCCCACGAAACTGGCGAGGAATAAGCGAAGACCCCCTCATGGCTGGTGAAAAAAAGACTCCCTCAGGCTCAATGGCTCATGTGCAGAACCCGCCGTCCGTCTTTCTTTTTCCTTTTCCCGTTTCTCGACTCGACTCGACTGGACTCGATCCGTTCGTGCGTGTGCGTGTGCGTATGCGAGTGAAGCTGGGAATTGAGGGCGGCGGAAGGAGTTCCAGGCCGGAATATCGTAATTTTAACAGGAAGCAAAAAACGAAGGCCCTGAAACGAAACCCGACGAGGGAGCGTCCAGCGAGGCTAGAGATATATAATCACTAGTTAAAAGAGCCAGAGCCAGAGCGGTCAGCCAGGCCACAAGATTAAAAGAAGAAAAAAAGCTACCTTCGACTGAACTGAGAATTAGGGGGGCCCAGCGTATAAGCGTAAGCAGGAGAGGGAGGTGACGGTGACAGGGGGGCTGACGCTGCTGACGGGGCGAGCAAGCGGCTTTTCAGCAACTTTGGCTACCTACCTAAGTTACCCAGACAGGCCGGTCTCTCTCCACACGCAATGGGATGGCTGTCGTGTCGTGTCGTCAGTACGAGAAGGAAAAAACCAGGTCGAGCGGAAACCTGATGAATGGTACTCGTAGATATGGAGCTGAAGCCGGGCTATGCTATGCCACCCAACCTGTGGAGAATTTTCTTTCCTTCTCTTCCTTGTTGAATTACTTATCTGACGGGCGATCAACCAGACTGCAGGGGAGGAAGAAGAAAAGAAAAAGAAGTCCTTGCTTGCTCTGATCCCTACAGCAGGCCCTGCCTTTACTGTATAATTAACAGGGGGACGGAGGGTGTTTAATATAATATCACCGAACAGCGAACTACTTAAAAGTGACTTCCAACTAGACCTCGTCCTAGCACCGTCTCTCTATTCTCTCCTATTACCTCTCTCGCTGGCTCGTCTTCTGATCGCTTTTCTTTTCTTTTCCTTTCTTTCTTTCTCCTTTTCTTCTTCTTCGTCTTCGTGTTTTTTGCTTCTCGCCAAAGCTTTTTCCCCAAAATTTTGAACGCCACAAGCGGCACGTGACCTCAGCATCGGCGGGTTTAGATTTTTTTTTTTTGGCAGCCAAAGTGGAGGACGGCGATGATGATAATGGTGAGATCGTGTTATGCTGTGATGCTGTATTAATGGAGTACGAAGTGCAGGGTTTAGGAGATGACGGGGAGGGGCCAGGACAAGGCTAGAGCCAGGCTGGGCGGGGCAGCTGCACCGAACGGCGGCCGTAGCTGTCGGCGGCGGTGGTCGGCGACGGAGGACGCACCAGGCTGGACGGTGATGGGATGGGGGCCTGAAGACGGCTGTCTCTTCACAAGAGCAAGTCTTCGCTCTTTGTCTAGAGCCGTCCGCTTCAGGTTGGCGCCATTGACGGGTTCTATTGTTCCACATTGTTCCCTCGTAGCTCTCTTAGTCGTCCTTCCGGCCATTGTTCAAAGTCACTCGCTGTTCATTATTGTAAAATTGTATATAACTACTCCGTAGAGACGCCGTTAACGTCTTTACCCCGCATCGGGTGAGTAAGTAGTCGACATGTACATTCATATCCAGCCTGCCAGCCTGGCCGGGATATGCAAGCAGCAACCCGCGGCAAAACGGGGAAGCAACATCTGGTCAACTCGTTTTGTTTGCTTCGTTGAAAGAAACAATAAACGTAGGAAAAGCAGCCAGCCATTGATTAATAACCTAGAGCTGATGAAGCTTAGCAGTGTCACGTGGTAAATAGATCGATGAATTACTGTATCAACCAATAGAAATACGGTTACTTACAGAAGGCCCACTATAATTAGTCGAGTCCAGAAATTGCTTCAACAAACTCAACCAAAAAGTGCTGGCCAATATCGCTGGATGCTCAGTTCCCAATCTGTCTCTGTCTTGCCTGCGCATAACTGAATATCGAGTCTTGACGCCTCATGCATGATCCTGCATATGGAAAGAAGTCCGAAAGCAGGCCAGAGTAGAATACCTTACAGCTTGGTTCCCGAGGCTCCGGCCAATCCTAGCCACATCATTCCGTCATCCAGCTCAGCGTGGCACAACGTAAGCCAGCCAGCCATGATTTGCTCTGCGCAGGGATGATCTGCGATTGCCCGAATTTCGCAGCTCGCCGCCGTAACTACAGTTGACAGGTATCGGACAATGATATCATCACTAGAGCTTAAACGATGCTGCGATCATACGTCGGAACGCGCTGAATGAATTATCGCATCGGAATCTCCTTGAAGTCTATGTATATGGGTAAAGGAGCCAAGTTGTCGCAAAGACGTTGATTGCCAACGATGCTTATTTCCGAAGAGCTTCAACGAAGGGCGTGTCTAGGAAACTGCCGTTATGTGTACAATGCCGTTTCAAGGCTTATGCCTCCACGACTTCCGGATGGTCTCCGTATGCACTCGGTAGATAGCCCGTAAAATGGGCAAACCTCGTTTTTTTCTCCTACAGCGGCTGCGTAGCAAAGGCAGATTAACCGTCGTCCGTTGTAGAAAACAGTGTCTGGATAGTGAGGTACCTTGCGTTCACCATTGCCGCCATAGCTAAGGCGTTGTCACCATCGCCATCTCATCATCACGAAGCCGTGACAAACGGAAAGAAGTTTCAGCATTTGCGCGATCGCAAGACAGAGAATATTCGAGCAGAATGTTTCATGGAATGTTCCCTTGTCCGATTTGTTTCTCTACGCGCCGCCTTCAGCGGACTACTGACCCTTGACGGCGCGTAGTTACATCGTCTCCCTTCTCTCGCCATGCATCTTCCCTATTTCCAGCTTCAATATCTCGTCTTTAAGTTACTCACCATAAGTGCCTCCTTAACGCAACATTCCATTATATTATCGTGCCCTTTCCACGTTTTCAGCAACGTCTAAGTCGACGCCGTCATAGTAGCTATATACAATCATCGCCTTCTGTGCTGTGGTTGCGATAAAGTTAAAGTACGGAAGAGGCGCGACGTCGACAGCCAACCAGACGCCGCGCCAAGCCAGCTTCTGCGACTTCAACTCCTGGTTTCGAAACTTCACCGTCAACGCTATCAAGCGCCAGGGTTGCTTCAGGCGCCAGAGAACCCCTACTTCTCTGACTCTAGACACTTCTTCCTGCTCAGACCGGACCAATAGTTGGCCTCAGCTCGGATTGCTATACCCCCAGAGCAACTGGACTTCATGGTTTTTGCGGCCAGGGTGGTTCTAGGCTCAAATGCATATTCTGGTATTTTTTTCAAGGCCTGAACCATGGTTGAAACATTGCGGTGGGCAATCTGTCAGGCAATCTGTCAGGCAATAGAGGGCGCTTCCATGCTCGATTGGCTACCGTTACTTCCAGTATGATAATGATCAAGGTGTAGGGGGAGTAAAGGGTATCCCACTCACCAGTATACCCATGTTGCTGTCTATAAATATAAATATATACGCGATATATACGTATATACATATATATAGGGCCGAAGTGACCTCTGACCTCTTCACGTTCTATGAATAACTGTTTGAATATTCTGTCCTTCTGCCCCTTTCCCCCCCCTTTCATATTCAATACTTCGCAGTGTTGCTGGTCAACGTTCTCCTTTCTATTCACATCTGGCTATTGATGCCCATAGTCTAGTGTTCTACATAAGTTTACTTTGCCTCCTCTACTATAAGCTTTTTTCCTTATTTTTTTCCTATTCGTTATTTCCCTTCTTTCCATTATTTTCAACGCTCCTTCTGCTCCACACCTTACCACAACGTACCTATCTTTGGTTCATACAGCAAGTCTCCTTTTACCGTGCAGTCCAAAGGACCTTCCGAGCAACTATTTCGTACCAGCCATATTCAAACCACGGATCTGAAATTGCTATCGCCATCGATACGTATACGCCTCCCTTTTTACGATAATATCAATCTTGACGTCACTAGCATCATATATCACTGTTTCTCTCCGGTTCTCCCCTACCAAACTTGGTATCATTGACATCACCGGAAACACTGGCATCGCTCCTACCCATCACCGTTCGCCATCTAAAATCGTCTATAAATATCTCCTCAACCCCATCCATCTTCCTCTTTTTTTCCTCCTCCTTTCTCATCACAGTTGCTCGTCCGCTTCACTACAACACAGCCGCAAGCATCCTTTCCACTGCGAACAACACTTCAAACTTGAAGCAACATTTCCACCTTTGCTTCTTCTATTCTCTCTCCTCTTTCTTTCTCAAGGGTTATCACTCCACCAAACCCTTGACCATGGCATCCAAAGCTCTGAAGTTCATGATGCTCCTCTTCCTTTGCTGCTTCATTTCCACGGCACATTCTCACAGCTGGGTAGAGGAGCTGGATATCGTTGCCGGTAACGGGTCCTTTACCGGCAAACCTGGCTACATCCGTGGCCACGTTGATCGAACAGCCCAGGGATTCAACGACGACCTGATGACCAACCGTCTCCCTCCGAATGGACGACCTGCGGATGTTGGAATCATCCACAGCGACTACATGTGCATGCCGTCCCAACGGAATCGGCGGCAGACGGAGGGCTGGCCTCGACTAGAGGCAACACCTGGCGACATTGTCGCCCTTTTGTACCGGGAAAACGGGCATGTCACTTTACCAGACAACCAACCCGGCAAACCCAAGAACCGCGGAACCGTCCACGTATACGGTACCAACAACCCCCGTCCAGATGACAAATTCCTGGATATCCACAAGGTATGGAACAAAGATGGAACTGGTGGTGACAGACGAGGCAAGCTTCTCTCCCGCCAAAACTTCGACGATGGGCGATGTTACCAAATCAACGGTGACAAAATTTCCACGGAGCGGCAAAAAAAGTATCCGCACGTTCCTGACAAGCTGATGGGAGCAGACGTGGCGTGCCAGCACATCTTACAGCTGCCCTCGGATTACGTCGTTCCTGGAAAGTCCCTGTCGATGTACTTTGTGTGGGACTGGCCAACTGCCCCGGGGGTTGACCCTAACCTTCCCCGTGGAAAAACAGAGATCTATACCTCGTGTATGGATATTGACATCGTCGCATCCAAGAATGGGACAACCACGGCTTCAATGGCCCACTTCGTCGATGGCCAACCGTTAAACCGTGCTGCAGTTCCTTCACTGTTCGCTAATCTCGGTCAGTCAGTGGACAATAGCCCTTCTGATGTCGACTCTGTTTCTTCCACCTCAGTCTCATCATCATCGTCTGACGTGGCTGTTCCTACCGCGGGATCGATCGTCCCCATTCCAGGTCACTTTACCACCTCTAAGACCTGGACAACAATAAGAAGGGGGACGCATCAGCCGACATTTACTCCCTAACCGGCTGGAAGGTGGTTTGTTCTCACTCGTTTTCGGCGTTTCCATTTATTTTTTGTGTGGCTTGATAAAATGGTAAAATGTATGCATAAATATGAATCTGTCAGTGATACCCGCCACACGAAGTGGTGACATACAGGCATGGATGGCGTTTAGGATGCGGGCGTTTGTTATTGTCTACTATACTTGGCATAGCTGCTTGACTTGTTTATAGAAGGAAGGCTTTTCAACAGGTAGTCGCAACCGAAGGCTTTTTAAAATATACTTCTTCTTTCATCTCTCATATTCCGTAAGCCAGTATTACCCTTCCTTGGACCTCCCTAGATTGAGTATTTAATTGGTCCATAAGGTAGTTTGTAATTACTATTCCCCCATAGTTAAGCCTTTCATCTCCCATACCTAAATCAATTTCCCACTGGTCCTTTTCGTTGTTAACTTGTTACCCATTTGCCCAAACCCAAAAGTGATCCCCAGTCATCCAAATCGTTATCGCCATGAAATCTCTGTAACCGGGAATTCCAACCCAAGTCTGCGTCTATCTCCAGTTGGTCATATCTATCTCGTATTATATTTTTGTTTTCATTCTAGACGTTGGCCATCTTCATGCCGCCCAGGATGAGCCTAGCAATGATGAAGAAGATAGTGCCAATGATGCAGTTCGCGCCAGCAAACACCATCATATAGCGTAAAGATCCGCTGCTTGCCTCGATAATTTGGCCTCCAATAGGCGATCCACTGAGTCCAGCCAATGATCCGATTGCAAATATGAGTCCCGTGCGAGTCCCTATTTCTTTCATGGGTGACACTTGGGCGACGAGGGCAGGGGTAAGACCGACACCTGAGCCAGATGAGATTCCGAAGAATACTGCGAAGAGGATCATGGCCAAGTTGTTCGAGGCAGTTATCCAAAGGCCGAGGATAAGAAGTGAAGTCATAGTGCACATGACTATCATAATGTTATATCGACCAACCTTGTCGGCGATGACGTTGGGTGCTGTACGTCCGAGGACACTGTGCAACACCGTTCATGTTAGTGACATTTATATAACCAACGTACTTGAGTGTGAATGCGTACCTAGCAGCGTTGAGGATTGGAACTATATAATTGGCTAAATTTTGTGACATTCCGTTCTTGCGAGCCGCAACCACAATATAAGTTACAGGGAGAAACATACCCCCTAATAAATGCCGTTGCTAGTTAATAACAATATATATATATAAAAGGGGGGTGGGGGGATAGAAGGTTAAACCCACAGTAATAGAAGAAAACTCCCGCTGCGAGTGCTATAAAAGCGGGCTCTTTCATCGGTCTAGTCATTTCAGAAATATGCCATGGTCGCTTAGATGGCGGTAAACGAGATTTGAGGGTGATATTGGTGAATATCAGCAAGCACAGGATAAGCAATGCACAGGCACGCATGGTCCAACTGAAACCCCATTTAGGAATCAAGTGGATGACCATTATGGGAAAGATTACGCCGCCGAGCGACGATCCGGCAACGACGGGGCCCAGGGCAGCAGCTCGCCTCTTATAGAACCAAGTAGAGACCTAAGGCTTAGGGTTAGAACTAGAAAGCAACCTGGCTGTTAGGGTAGAGGAACAAGACCTACACATGTGATAGAAGGGTAGAAAACCATCGAAGCTCCCAAAGCTGAACAAACAGCTTGGCTAAGCAGTAAGCCGTGATAAGTATCCATGAAACTTGCAATAGTAAGACCCCCAACGTGGAGAACGGTTCCGGCCATAACAAGATAAGAATGACCAAAGTTATCAAAGATTCTGCCGAAAAACGGGCCACAGAACAGCATGAAGAAAACTAGATTCAAGTTAACAGGGGCAAGCTATAAGGTAGGGGATGCAAGGGCACGAGACCTTGAAGAGAAGAGATCCATGCCACCTCGGACTCCGTGTACGCCTTCAGCTGGTGAGTATGATAGTAATTTTGAAATATTCCCACGCAGTTAACCCAGCCGAAGGACACAAACAGCGTTGCAGATGCTCCAGCAACAGTTAGCCAGGCAGTTGCCCCTCCTTCGGGGTAGTCATGTTCGGGGTCATTCCACGGGTTTGTCTGGCTTATCGGACTGGCATTTTCAGGGTCATCTTTCAACTGTCCTTTCAAGTCGCCTGTAGCAGGATTTCCGGACATTATGTTGAACTGAAATCAAGCTCAAAGGCTGGCCAAATGTGAAAGACGTTTACAAACAGTACCTTTGACAGGTGAAAGCTTGAGAAGATCCAAGTAAAGGGAATGGTAGGGAAACTGTGGATAATTAGAGAAAAAGAGTAGGAACAGAAGTTCAAGTAAGGGTTTGAAAATTTACAACATTTATATTAGAAAGACAATGGAAGAAATCTGCTTCACTAGATGATATATGTGGCTGGTTCGGTAATATCCGTTTAAATAATCATTAAGAAATGGTTATAGATAGTGAATACAATCTAGAACCTAGACTTCTGTGTACCCATAGCGACACAAGGAGGACATGACAAAGAAACACAAGCTATCACTTGAAGTTTAATAATATAATAGGCACTACTTGCTTTAAACAGGTAGTTCCTATAGCCACGAACAAGCGGGTCATATTATTCATAAAAGGAGCCAACAAACCCTTTTAAGTAAATAACAAATAAGGAGAGAAAATCAAGGTGGGAGTTGGGATTTATTATTCAGGTAAGTGAATATTCATTGTCATTCTAGACCAGTCTAGATCAGACAGTATGAGCTTGGGATAAGAAACTTATTCAGAGTATACTTCGAAAGCATTACCCCAAAGGATCATTCAATTTGATGTCCAGTCTAATGGGTCTTAAATCAATAACAGAAACAAAAGAGAGAGGAGTCATATCCGTTCTTTTCCCCACTATGACCAGGGTTGGGTATATATCAGGGGGTAGATCTCTCGATTTAGAGGACCGATTGGTAGCACTTGACTGGGGACTGATTAATTCCAGACGATAGGTATGTCGTCATCATCGTCATCGAAAGCTGTAGTTGAATGGCACTGAAAGTGATCAGAGCATTTCGTAAAGCAAGGCAACGAGTTGGTTTGTTGACACGGACAGGTAGCCGTCCGTCCATCTTCGCAGCTCCTTCGGGGCTTGCAAACGAGCGGCCCAGGGACGAGAGACTAGCTGCAGCAACTCCAGGATCCTCTCTGACCACCCATCCTAGCCAGCTGACCAGCCCTGCTGGGCCTGATTCAGCGCTCCATCTCCATCCTGTCTCCTGCCAGCTCGCTGCCCCTGCGCTTCCCGATACGGCGATGAAGCGACGTCGCGATTGAGAAATTAAAGATATTAAGCATACGGTCATGTGACCACGAGCCTCCTTTTATTTTTGGTTCAACTTTCAACCTCAACATCAACCATCGTCTTCTGCGCGTCTCTGGTGACTGTCTGGCCTGTTGACGTTGATATCCCTCTTCACTGTCGCATCGTGTGGTCTCTTGCCTGTTTCCTTCGGCTGCTAGGCTGCTCTGCCTTGAAATCTGCCACCAGCCGGCCCACGGAACAGTGAAAAGTCGCCTTGAAACGGTTTCGAGTTGGCCCTATAAATAGCCCTGCCTATCACCTTGCTTTCCTGGCTGAGGTTTCTTTTTCTCCCTTGCCCTTCTCCAAGCCCCTGGTCCACCACGAAATCCTGTGGGACTCTGTGGAAAGTGGAATTTCCGCCTTAGCTGCTGTTTGGCCAATTTCGACCCTGGTGTGTTTCAGCATTAACTCAACCATACCGATTCTGGTACGTCCGCCAAACACAGCCAGCACCGCCAGCCCTCCAGAGAGACAGCCTCGATTTCACCCTGAGGACACAGATCAAGAGCTTCTCCTTAAACCAGACGTGTCAACCTCCTTGCATATGCGTGTGCTGGTGGCCACATTTTTGTCCTGAGGCTTCTGACCGAGCTGAAAGGTCACAGATACGCAAACGACTCGAGCGGCACACCGGCGGCTAATTCTGTTGCGACCTGCTGCGGGCCCAGAGGCACATTTTTTTACCTTCTCTCTTAGTATCATAACAAACAGCATGTCTGATACGCTCGACGGCTGATTTTATTGCCTTGGACTGATTTTAACCTGTGTCTGAGGAAGAACAGCCGCATCAGTGCCTGCCCCCGCCTTTATCGAGATCATAGCTGTGGGCGAAGCCCCTCTGATTTCGCGACTACTCTGCCAACTGAACCAGCTGGTCTGCCCACCATCCCTGATTCTGCTGACCTTCCTCGACTGCAGCCCCCCCGATCCAGTGGGATTCGCACAGAGACGAGGCACCAAAGTGCCCGAATATAGCTTCGCGCCTCTCTGCGCCTAATTTTCTGTCATACCAGCTCAGGATAGTCGTGGTGGCATCATTGGCTCGAGTGTTCACGACATATCGCTAAAGATGGCGACTGCTGCGATGGCATCGTCACAGTCGCCGCCTCAGTTCGATGCCTCTGCTCCCTCATCGATCTCATCGCGGGCTTCTCTGCCACCCTCTGCCACCAAGCGGACGAGCCTCCAAAGACCTTCGTCGTATCCAAAAAACCGACTGTCCGTCCACTCCAACAAGTCAAACTCGCAAATCCGCTCGCGTCCTACCTCTGCCACCTCTAATACCTTTTCTGTTTACCAGTCGAGTCTCCCTTACGCTTTGGTTCGGGATTTTGCCTATCCTCCGAGCCACCCTCTTCATTATGGTGCACCTCCCAAAGACTCGGGCATTTCGACGCCTGTCCACGAATCTCGGAGGATTTCAGATGCGCCCCTGTCATCACTGGACGCCACTCGCGCTCACTGGCCAGCCCCAAACTGGGACCCAGGTACTATGTACAGCCAGCAGCAACTACCTCCGATAGCATTTGGCGATGGACCTCCGTATAGTGAAGACGAGGATCTACATAGCCCCGTTGTCACCACCTCACGGCATCGCAAGTATAAGTCCGGCCACTCTAGTGAGAGCAGGCCTGGCTCACGCAGACGCAAAGGGTCGGGCTTCGGTGATCCTGACAATAGTGTTGATTCTGAAAGAGGTGTCTTAATTGGTGTCAACGGAGACGGAAGCGAAACGTATTATGTTAGAGATGAAGATGCGGATGAAGATGGGCCAGGAGGAGAGTACGTGACCTACCCTGCAGGGGATGGCAGACGCGCATACCATCCCGGATTTGGTGACCAAGACGGAGTTGGGGGTGCCGGTCTTGGTAACTCCGCTCACAACCATGGATCTTACGATCGAGATTTCGAGCTAGCCTCCGATGATGATATATCAGACGACGATGCATGGCATGACCCTTCGAGATACTCTCGAGATTATCAATTTACAATTGTTTCGCCAGATGAGGAGATGCACGGTAAAGCTGTGGCACTCTTCGATTTCACTCGCGAGCACGAAAACGAACTTCCTTTGAAAGAAGGCCAGGTAATTCTGGTTTCTTATCGTCATGGCCAGGGATGGCTTGTTGCTGAAGACCCAAGGACCGGAGAAAGTGGACTGGTTCCAGAGGAGTTTGTACGTCTCGTTAGGGATATCGAAGGTGGACTGAATTCTCTTAATGGCGATTTGAACATGATCGACCCAAATACTACCGGAAGCGAATCAGAACAGACACCGGTTGCCACCACTCTGCCGGCCTCGCAACTGAACGACGCTCATATCAGTGGTACTACCGATGTGGATGCACAAGCTCATTCCCCCGTTGAAATCGATGCGACTGATAGTGGAACACAAGAAATGGATACGTCAACTACACAAAGCAAAGAAACTGAAAAGGATAAAGCAAGAGAAAAGCATCCTCCAGTAGTGTCCACCTTTTCAACGAGCAGCAAAGACCTAAACCCCTATCCCTCACATCTCCTCAGTGGCCATCAACATAGCAGATCTATGCCTCCCCCGATTGAACACTCCGAAGCTCAATTGGCCCGTTCCAGCTCCGGTGCAGCAAAACGAACCAAAAGTGTCTCCAAACGAGCCTCTGAGTCCGCTTAAGGACCGCACTTCAAGGAATCTGGTGTTCTTCCTGTCATGATTTTTTTTACTCTTGTTTACCCTGAATGACTAAACGAGATACCTGGTGTGTATTATGAGAATGAGTGCTAAACAGTTTCATCCATTTATCTCCATCCTCCCTCTGTCGCCTTCAAAACCATGGAACCTTGTTCTAGTTAACATGATTCCGCATCTGATCCTCACATAATACACCATTCGATTCTTCGTGAAAAACCCAAATACGCTGTCTGTGACGGTTCTAATGTGGTTGATGTATGTGGGCATCTTTACGTCTCCTCCCCTTTTTCCAGCTCTACCTCCTCTGTTTGATTCCATTTCCTAGCCCACATCATTATCCCGTTTAGGTTTTTGTTTTCATTATCCGCCTTTTTCCTCTTTCTCATCTTAATGTTCATTTTTCCTTCATTTCTCTCTTTGCATGTTGGGTGTATATCCTCGCGCGAGACGTGCATAAAATCGTCTGGCTAGGCTAAAGGGGGGGATTGGACTATGCTATAAATGAATGAGTACAATATGCATAAATAAATACGGCTGTTATAAGTAGAGGATCGACTTGGTTCTGGACAGGGAATACCTGATGTAGACCTTACATACTTCTCGAATAGCAGAACGGGATCTGGACAAGAGTAAACCGCTGACTAGAAAGATGAGTGGAAGAGATCTTTATCAGAGCCATCATAACTAGCTAGGTACATGAAAACTTGAAGGCAATTCGAAGAAGCATCCCGTGATATTTAAATCGAGGCAGGAACGAAGTAAAGTAAGCAATCAAGGAAGTACGAGCCAATTTTCGAAATACGCAATATACCGGAAGACCAAGCTACGAGTAGAACCTCACCAAAGGAGTTTCAAACAGCATAGGTTTATTCATGAAAAGTCTTGATATAGAACGGGTTTAACCAAGAAGGTCGTCTAGCGCACTACCTCCACTAGGCTTCTTCTGCTGCTGAGAGTTTGAAGTACCACCAAGGGTTTGAGGAGAGCTGCTGGAGCTAGGTGCTCCCCAGATGCCAGCACTTGCCTTCTCCTTAGCCATGCTGGCGAGGTTTGGTCCCTTGTTCTGAGTCTGGGTTGTTGATTTGATACCAGCGTTAGCACTAGCTGTAGACCATAGGTTCCCGAATGCATCGCCGCCTGATTTAGAAGAGCCTGTAGTTTGCGGCTTTGTTGCAGATTTGTTGGACGGCTCTGAAGGCTTGGACTGAGGCGTGGGAATGGATGTAAAGTAGTTTGGTTGTGAAGCTTGGTAAGCGGTTGGCTTGGGTGGCTGAGACTGGGTAGTGGGTGAAAGTGGCCCCATGCTTGATGATTGAGACATTGTGCCGGTAGCTGAGGGTGTTTGGGGATTGGATCGGAAGGCGGCCAGTCCGTTCAGGCTTGCATTCTGGGCAGCTGAAACGGGCTTTGGAGCGGCGAACTGGGTCTGAGTTGGCGCGGATGGAGGAGCAATTGAGCCAAACTGTGATTGTAGGGTATTGTTGGTGGCAGGACTGGCCGATTGGAAGTCATCAAATTCATCATCATCCATGCTCTCAGCTGCAAGCGCAGTCAAACCGTTGGAACCAGCGGGCTTTGTGGTGGAAGATGCTTTCGCTGGAGGGGAGGATACTGGAGGTGCTGCTACTGGTTCATCATCACCAAAGGAAACCAAATCGGGAGTTGGCGCCTTCGGGGGAGCGGGCTTTGATTCTGGTCGAGAGGAGGTTTGTTCGCGTCGGGGGGCTGAATATCCGCTACTGTCACCCTCATCATACTCCTCAAATCGGTTGGACCTCCTACTAGCATCCCGGAATTCGCTAGTATTTCCGTTGAAGCCACCTCCATCGCCATATACACCACCACTGAAGCCTCCATAGTGCGCGTCTTCGCTGCCAAATCCGCCAAACCGGGAGCTACCACCCCCGCTAGACATTCCCACGCCCATCCCTCCTTCAAATCCACCGAATTTGTTCCTATTGGCCTTTGCCTTTTTCCTTTCCGCACGGATCATATCGACGTCTCCTAGTAATTTGGCAAGTTCTTGAGATCGGTTGCGGATGTTTATTCCTTGGTCTTTGCCATTAGGATCGATATAGTGGAATTGGCGAAGCATTCGCAAGAGCGAAATGTGAGAGCGTGCGTCATCGACAACCCTTTCCGAACCGTTTTTGACTAGAAACTCAAGCAGTTGCAGAGACTATAAGTTTAAATCATCATGTTAGAGTCGACCTGCCAAACAACTTGTAACATGTCCAAGGTGGAACGTAGACGTCCAGTACCTTGTATATCTGCCTCCATTCCTCTGCAGATTTCTCCGTAAAACGTTTATAAATCATTGGCATTATCTCGTTAAGCAGTTGGCTATATGAAGGTGGATAGTTAGCCATTGAATTCTCCCGAAGCTTGATACAGTCGATGCAACTGACTAGCTATGTGTTCCATTTGCGATCTCCTGCATAAGAGTCGAAGATGCACCCCATGGCTCGTTGTTCGTAGCTTCTCGGACCTATAAATGCACGTAAGATCAACTATAAGCCATAGAACTTGCATAGTATTTCATGTATTAGAGGGGCTGCCAACCTTTGCCTCCATCTCGGTGTAATTCATCATAGCTAGACAGATCAGAGTCAGTCAGATGTTACCGCCGCAGTTGATGGCCCAATTAATGCAGAACCTCGTCATATAGCGGCTTATATTCCTAATTTAAGTGACGTACCATTTTGTACCTTGCGGACGCCTGCTTTAATATCATATAGACTCAGGTTGCTGACCTGGTCCTTCAACGAATTGAAGTCCATGACGAATAGCCTCTATCCGGACTCTAATATTACCTCCAAAGGAACGTGATGAAGAGGAATTATATATCGACAGCGCCGTATACTGTCTGCAGGCGCTGTTTGCAGAGCAGCTGGTCAAATGCTGAGTGTTGTTGGCAAGGGTGAAGGTTGGCTTGGAGGCGGAATGCTGTAGTAAACGGAGGATGCCCGAGGTTGTCAACGAATGAAGGGCGTAATCGCATAAAGGACGCTGTGCTGGGGAATATTGACAGCGGGAGTGTTTTCCTTCTCGAGTCGCTGATGGCGCTGGATGACGATGCTGGTGTTGGTTGTTGTCAAGTTGAGCTGCAAAGGAGGTTTTCCGGTCGGTTTCTTGGTGTTCGCCGATCACAACGTGACAACCTTCGAAGGAAGCGGTCCCAAGGGGTGGCGCCAGCAAAGGATATTGAAATAACTACACACAGAAACCGTTTTATAAATAACAAATGTCTACAGTAGTTATATTTAAAATAGTGATGGGTGGTACGGGGTATAACTATCTGCATTTGAGATGAAGTATCTATTTCATACAAGTACCTACACGCGAAAAGAAACGCTGTGCCACCAGGACACATCTCTATTCGGGCAGCGCGGAAAGAGGAGGAACCAAATTGCTAGCATACAGGAAAAGAATGTCCAGTTCATAATCATAATACCTCATAACAGGAACTAGATATATGCCGATGCAGAGAGTGATATCTTGGGTAAAAGTAAACATCAGACAAAAGAATAGATAACAAAAAAGGAAAACGTAAGCCAGCGACATCATTAAACCGTTCTTTCAGCACCGTTATCATGGTATAGAAGCACCGAAAAAACCAACATAAAGGGGGAATAAGGAGAAGAAAACATCAACAAAAGAGAGTTAAAAGGGTAGTTAGTTGTAAAGAGCAGGGGGGAGAAGGAAAAAGGCACGATGGAAGCAATCAACCGAGTCTAGTCGTGCCAGTGACTTATTCGTTATAGAATTTCCTCATAATTAGGTGGAGGAACAAATTGACGTTGACGCGCAGCTGATCCTCGAACAGGTCCATGAACTGCGTGTTGTTGAACTGGGCCTGCAGCAGATCATCTAGTGGGATTTGTGCATTTGCTCCGGGAACCATCATGTTGCCGCTGCTGCCATCAATTGTGAAGATACCCACTGCGTTGCTTGATATTGTAAGATCGACACGATCCCATTGGCGTTCCGTGTAGCCTTTCCAGTGGACAAGGACGCCTTTATCCGCAAGGTTTCGGGCGGAGTATTTGTAGGAACCGAATTTGAATACACGGCCTGACCGTTGAAGCTCTCGCTCATGATCCCATTGTTTTGTGAATGGCATTAGGAATCGTTTCTTTCCTTTCTTATTTTGCAGCGTGATCATGGCTTGTTCGATGTAGTCGTTGTAGGTCTTCAATTGTCCTTCCAGATAGCTGGATTGGTCGTTCAGTCGGTCCAAGGTTAAGCGGACGTTCTCAAGTTCTCGTTGTCGTTGGATTCTTCGTCGATGTTTAGTTCTGATGTCAACAGCGATTTCGTTTAGAAGATCTTGATACTGGTTATGCCGACTTATTCTTCCAGCTCTTTCAAGCTCAACGATGTGCTGAAGAGCGGTCCGTTTTAATTCGGTATAAGACATAGCGCCAATGTCGATCAGTGTGTTGGTGTCAGAGTAGGCGCCGCGCTTTCGGTCACCAGCCGACAACTCGTCACGGACAAGGTCTGTCCATCGTTCTTCATCCTCAATGCTCGGCGGCGTGACAAGGATCTCGAGCAGATTGGCCCCTGATTGAACACGAATAATGTATAGGATACACCGTTTGGTTTCAACAAGGAGTGCTTTGATTTCCGCATCCGGGTCTATTCCGCAGAGTTAGTTTATTCCTTAAACCAGTATTCAGGGCTTATGTTTCACTTACCCTCCATATTGTGCAACTTTGGAGTCAATGTGAGACTTATCTCAGAGGAGCTGACACTCATGAGCTCATTCTCGTTGCTCTTCACACTTCCAAGATCGCGTATCACTTCTCGAAGGGTATCTTCAGGGCCGGTGCATATGTAAGGTGCCTCAGCTGCAATAAGCTGATGGATAGAGAAAATGTCGGACATTTTGATGTATAAAGTTGGCTTAGTTTTGGCATACAAGTCATTGTACTCGTTGATATCAAAGAAAGTTTCCGCATCTTGGACGGTGATAACTGTAAGGAGTGTTAGAGACCGGCAACCGAGATATTTCAAGAAGAGTATACTTACTGTTTCCCCAAATTCCCCCGAGTCTCTGTATTGATTCACTGATATAAGAGTTCAGGGGTTGCAGATAGACATTTTCGGCACCGAAGAGCCTTCCAGACGCAGCCTGGCCCATCACTTTACCAATTTCTCCCAAGTTTTTCTTTTGCTCCTGCGTCAAAGCACGTTCGACGACACCAGACCTCTCTGGGTCTAAAAGGGCTGGTTGAAGATAGTTCTTCCATACCCATTGTCCCACTATTTGCAGAATATATCCTCTATCTTCCTCTTCGTATTTTGCCAGCAACTGTTCATACATCTGCTGAGCAATGAACCGTATTCCAAATGGTAAACGGTGTAACGAATCTTCCAAGAGAGCTAGAATTTGATCAACGATATCACGAAGATCTTGAAGATGGCGGATGAAAGTTTCTCGAGTCTCTGGGTCCCTGATTGCCTCTTCTCTGGGTACATCCGGTCTGCGCCGACTCCGTTTGCCTGTTCTTAACTCCTCGTTATTGATGGCAGAACGATAAATTTGCATAGGATCGCTTTCCAAGTCGAGTTCAACGTTATCTATTATAGCCTCCTTCATCAGCGGGCCAAATAGATCCTTGGTGAATTTCCTGTCTCGAGGTGTCTTGATATATGCAGCCAATAACTTGGTCCAGAACGCGTTGCATCGAATGTAGTCCTGGAGTGAAGTCGAGTGATCTATTTCCTCCTTCACTGAGCGTACAATAAGTTTGATCAAGTAGTATTCCTCACGTCTCTTTTGGGAGTAGCCAAACAGGCCCATGACAAGATGCTTTATCCTGTCACAGTCACGCTCGGAAACTGCTTGCTCACGTAGCCGTCGAAACACCCTTGCGAGATATTGTGGTTGGGTCTGGAGGAGGAAAAACAGCTCTTGATAGTGCTCCAGCTTCCTTCTGGATGTTTTGTTGAGCGCTTTGAGATCAAAGGGATCCTTGGAGGCAATATCAGAATTCGACAAGACGGCACCGACATGACCACCGAAGTGTTTCTGGTGCTTGACGACTTCGTCTAGTGTGATTTTGTTCTTCACAAGAAGAGCAATCTTGATGTCCAATTGGGTAATGTATTGATCTGCCATCTCATTCTGTCGCACTTGTTGAACAACTGTTTTTCTCAGTCTCTCGAATTCAAGCTCTTCGTCAAAATCAAAGTCACTGTCGTTCAATAAATGAACAAAACCCTTTATCGTCCCGACAGGTGGGTTCTTGCCGCTTGTGAGGCTCTTGTACGCCTGTCCCTGTATCTTGCCTCTCACAAAGCTTTGAACTTTGACAACCTTCTCCATGTTCTCGCGGTAGAATCGTTGCTTTTCAGCGAATCGTCCCCGAACCATACTTCCCCTGGCGAGGGATTGAAGTTCAAGAAAAAGATCTTCTTCCGCTTCGAGCTCGCCTAGAAGGTTGTCGACATCGGCCCTGACAAGCATAGCCCTTGATAGAGCTTGGAGATGGGTGACTTCATCCGTAAAGGCATCGAGTTCTGTTAATAGTTCGCCGACGTCTATTCGCAACAAAGCTGCCCGCGCAAGTCCCTGAAGGCGACATATGGTTTCGCTCTGATCCAGAAGAGCTTCCATATCTCTGTTTTGCTCTTGTCGTAGTAGGAAGCCTCGTATACTGCTCTGGAACAAAGTAATGCTATCGGTATTAGCAAGAAGGGCGCTCTTGCAGACTTCGACGTCAGCACGAAGTAGTTGCCCGCGGATGAAACCTTGAAGATCAATGACGGATGCTTCATGGGTGGTGAACTCTTTCTTCGTTTCTTCAATTTTCCTCCTGACAGCTATGGCCCGTGAAATTGACTGAAGATCCATCCAGTTAGGGTTATACTTTGCTAACATAGCTTTATCGTCTGCTATCCTGTTGCGTGACGCATTTGCGCGTGCAATGGACTGGATATTCAACCAAGCCGGGGTAAACTGGGCCAGCTGGGCCTTCTCATCCTCTAACTTGTGACGAACAGTAATTGCCCGAGCCATTGATTGGATTTTCAACCAGTTAGGGATAAATTTGGCCAGATTCGCCTTGTCGCTTTCTACCTTGCGGCGAGTGGCATTTGCTCGAAAGGTGGACTGGATATTTAGCCAAGCTGGGCTGAACTTGGCCAGCATAGCCTTTTGGCTCTCTATCCTGTTCCGAGTAGCAATTGCGCGAACGATTGATTGTATATCAGTGACGGCGTTGGCTTTTCGTTCCAAATATCCTTTGTCTACCTGTACAGAGCGTCGTAAAAGCATTCCTCTGATGGCAGACTGGAGCGAATGGACTGCTCCTTCCGCGTCCTTAGTCTCTTCATACCGATCATTTTCCAGCTTCCTTGCAAGAGCACCACGGATGGCTGCCTGGAAACTCTTGATACCATGCTCTTCTCTGCGTGTTAGGGTATGTATGTGCTGCACTTCAGCCTTTGCTTTCTTGGCTCGCACCAAAGACTGGAATTGTAGGATGTGCTCCTCTGCGGCTTTGCACCAGGACTGATCATTTTTCTGCCGTATCCGAACTATGAATCCTCGAGCAGCCGACTGCAGGTCTGTTGCAAATCTCTGCATACCCAACCGATACTCGGCTATCTGACGGGCCCAGTCGCCACGTATTCTAGACTGTAGGTCTATTAACAAGTGTTCCTGGTCCCACAGTCCTTGCATCAGGTCTCCAAGCCGCAGCCTAAGGAGTGCACCTCGAGCTTGTGTTTGTAGGTCAGTTACAGAATCCTCGTTTTCGTTCAACTCCCTGGCTATCCTCTCTTCTTCTGTCTCAACAGGCTCAGGTTCAGGCTCCGGCTCCGGCTCTGGTTCGGCCCCGAATTTAGCACCCATACCAGAGAAGCTAGGCATAGTCACTCCTGCCTGATCCAGGCCGCGTTGTGTTTGTTCCAGTTCATGGTGCTCGAACTCTAGTTGTCCGACAAGATTGCCGATGCGGAAGTCTACAACGCCGTTCTTATACAGGAGCCAAGACAGCGCATGAATGCAGTGGATAACCTTGGGAATGTTTTTTCTCTCGTAAAGGTCTATCAGCTCAAATCTAAAAACCTCGGGGAGTTCAATTTCATCCAAGAACCGAAAAAAGAGAGCAATGTTATCGGAATGGCGGAACTGAAGTTTCGGGCTATAAAATATTCGAAGGGTGCGGTGTGGGTATAATGCTTGAACGAGCTCGGCCAGGGTGACACCATTGCGTAGTGCTTCTTCTAGTTGAACAATGGGTGGAATGGGTTTCTGTATGACGTCTTCAATCCATTCTTTGGCTTCTCCAATATGGCATAGATACTCGTAGGCCTGCAAGAACCGACGCTGTTTGTCCATCCAGTTTGTCGTTGTCCAAGCAGAGACGCCAGCTCGTTTTGAAGTAGTAACAGCCTTTTGTCCACCACGGACCGAGTCAGCGCGTTTGAGTCGGCGGCGCCCCTGTAGACCAATAACAGTGGGAGATGCTGTAGCTATGGCAAACTCGTCACTGTCGCTTTGAGCTATCTGGGAAAGTGTCCTGAGATGTCCCGTTGTCGACTTTTGGAAAGTCTGGAGCTCCGGTGCAGTGAAGGAGGTTTGTAAAGATGGCGTTGCATGGGGAGTCGACTGTGTACGTGCGTGGTGAGAACGGCGCACACTTTGCGTCCGCGGCTCGAGAGGCTCGTCCTTCTCTTGAATCACGGGATTTATATTGTCATGAGACGGGCTATTCAACTGTTTCGAGAACGGTGATGTAAATTCAGGTGTTGGGCTGCGCAGTGTTTTTGAGTAAGGTGACGTAAAGTCCGGCTGCGGCACGAAACCGCTCATTGTCTGACTCCTTCCATGGCATGAAGAAGATGTGGATGGTCTCGATTTCGGCGGAGTACTGTTAGGAGCCTGCGGCAGTGGCCTTAGGGAGCGACGTATGTTTCCGTATGCTTCGCCAGCACTCATCTGTGTATCGAAGCTGCCCAGGCGGCCCCGGTGGTCTATCTTGCGCTCTGGCGTCTCCGGCATGAAATCGCTAGGCGCATGGGACGAGACGGTGCTCGTTCGACTGGGTACATGTGAATTAGACGACATTGAGTATAGCGAGGAGTTTGTTGAAGCGGTTGAGCCATGCCGTAGTGGACCGTATGACGCCGGCGCCAGCTCGGATTGACCTCGTTTTCTGAGCGACGGAGGATTGAAAGACATCACTGGCGGCATAAGACGTGTGAAGACGCAGTGTTATAGCAGATATCGCCCTTCAAAGGCCTAATAATAGCGTCCCATGCTTCTCCGTGCAGGGTCGGCCCAGGGATATGAAAGGGTATGGCGGCAGCGAGGTTGCGACCCTGATGTTTGGTGGTGAAGAATTGCAGGTAAACACGCTAGAGATCTGTCTAGGAGACAAGGCCGGGGTTATATGCAGCGGGCGTATATCCGGCTCCTTAGCGCTTGTAATAATATGTGACTTCGTTGCTCCGTCACTCCGTCGCTTCGTCGCTTGTTTTTGTTCTTTGCTTGGTTGTTGATTTTGTTCGCGGGGAGAAAAAAAAGATGAAGAGGAAAACATAGTACCTAAAGGGGACTAGCGCACGTCACATGCCGATTAGTCATTCAACGATAAGTTGTAACCAGATGACGTGTATTTTACATGAAAACATGCTATTTTACGCAAAGTTATGTTATCGCAATACGCTCAGGGGTAACGCAAGAATAGGAAAGAAACGTAAGAAGATACAAGAGATGATGAAATACAAAGAAGAAATAACATCAAAATAACATGAAGGGTAGGGCTAGGGAAAGATCAAAGCCAAGCTGCAGATGGCGATGGCACTGGCCATTTAGTGAAACGCCGCCTGCGGATGGCTGCGCAGTCATAGCTCCAAATGCCATGGACAGTCGCACCCAAAGCCCTTCCTACCGCTCTACACTATTCCTCCAAACTCTTACTCCGTACACCACCACCACTTCAACCTCTCACCAAGTGGATAATCCGCTAAATACCATGGCTATAGTATCTCCCAGCTATCATTTTCCATCTTCTTCTATCAACTCTTCGCAACTCGTGATTACTAAAACACTGACTAAGCACGTCCCACAAGCGGAAAATGTTTCTATAAAACGTCAAAATTTCCTTGTTTGATTTTTTTTTCTTCGGGTTTTTTCTCTTTCTTCCCTTGGGAAAGAAGATTTCTCCCCGCCAACAGGACGTTTTTTTCGGGTCAGACGCTGTTGACGGTTATTCGCATCTACTCCCCTCATTGCTACAAAGCCAGATATCAATATATACACCTTCCCGCCTGCAGAAATGCCTCTATCCAACGGAGATGGCCGCAAAGCCAGCATGGTGACCGCCTTGGGTGGACGGACGGAGTTTGTTGACTGCTCCAAGGCCCTGGACGTCCTGAAAACGGAGTATACGTCTGGAGATGGCCTGGATATCAAGGAGTTGCTTGACTCGAACAAGCGCGGGGCTCTGACTTACAATGACTTCCTGGTGCTTCCTGGATATATTGGTACGACAGCCATATCCTCTATCTATACGTCTCTATACGGACAGGAAGTCTAACAGTAAATCTGTTTGTGGTGGCAGGATTCCCCGCGTCCGATGTGACTTTGCAGTCGCCTGTAACCAAGCGCATTTCTCTGAATGTGCCTCTACTTTCCTCCCCAATGGACACCGTCACTGAGCACTCTATGGCTATCCATATGGCGCTTCTGGGAGGCCTCGGAGTCATTCACCACAATTGCTCTGCTGAAGAGCAGGCTGAGATGGTTAGGAAGGTGAAACGATATGAGAACGGGTTTATCCTCGACCCAGTCGTCATCTCTCCAAAGACTACAGTGGCCGAGGTCAAGGAATTGAAGCAGAAATGGGGATTCGGTGGATTTCCTGTAACTGGTGAGTTATATTTTATTTTATTTGCTTCGTATCAACTTCTTCGTGTGTTCCAATGATGTTTTACATCTTATTTTAAACTTTCGTTCAACTGTACGCGGCGAAAGCTGCCCTGGAGAGCAATAGATTATGATCTGAGATTGCCCTTTTCCATGATTAAATCTTTTTTGGTCTATGCAAGTTGAGCTATCTGGCTAACGGAACTTGGGACAATAGAGAATGGGGACCTCCGCTCAAAGCTGGTTGGCATTGTCACCAGCCGAGACATCCAATTTCATCCCGAGTTGAGCGACCCAGTTACTGCTGTCATGACCACCGATCTTGTAACCGCTCCCGCTGGCACTACCTTGGCTGAAGCCAACGAGGTCCTTCGCGCTTCCAAGAAGGGCAAGCTTCCAATCGTTGACGAGGCAGGAAACATTGTCTCCCTCCTCTCTCGCTCTGATCTGATGAAAAACCTCCACTATCCACTTGCTTCCAAGCTTCCTGACTCAAAGCAGCTTATTTGTGCTGCCTCGATCGGTACTCGCCCTGCGGACAAGGACAGACTCCAGACGCTTGTTGATGCTGGCCTTGACGTAGTTGTCCTTGACAGCAGCCAGGGTAACAGCATGTACCAGATCGAGATGATTAAACATATCAAGGCTACACATCCCGGAATTGATGTTATTGCGGGTAACGTCGTTACTCGCGAGCAAGCGGCCTCCCTCATTGCTGCCGGTGCCGACGGCCTCAGAATTGGCATGGGCAGCGGCAGCGCTTGCATCACCCAGGAAGTCATGGCAGTTGGCAGGCCCCAAGCAGCCGCTGTCCACAGCGTAACTGAATTTGCCTCCCGCTTCGGTGTCCCCTGTATCGCCGATGGTGGTGTTCAAAACGTGGGTCATATCGTCAAGGCCCTTGCCATGGGTGCTTCCACTGTAATGATGGGTGGACTTTTGGCCGGTACCACCGAGTCTCCAGGCCAGTACTTCGTCAGCCGTGAAGGACAGCTTGTCAAGGCCTACCGTGGCATGGGCAGTATTGATGCCATGGAGGAAAAGAAGGCTGGAGGCAGCTCCGCTGGCAGCAAGAGCACTGCTGGTACTGCCAGATACTTCTCCGAGAAGGACAGCCTGCTTGTCGCTCAGGGTGTCTCCGGCTCCGTCCTAGACCGTGGCTCCGTCACCAAGTTCGTTCCATATCTCATTGCGGGTGTCCAGCACTCGTTCCAGGATATGGGCGTCAAGAGCTTGCGCGAACTACATGATGGTGTCGCAAAGGGCACTGTTCGCTTCGAGGTCAGAACCACCAGTGCACAAGCCGAAGGAAACGTCCACGGCCTGCACACCTACGATAAGAAGTTGTACTCTTAGACAGGTCATCGCGCCGTTTCCTTATTTATCTACTAACTCCTTATCTGCTTGACGTATTATTTCTATTACTGGCGAAGTTTCAGGAGTTTTCAAGTGGTGGAGTACCTGGTGGTCAAGGGCGGTTTGGCATGCCAGTTGATCTAATGTTCAACTACTAAAAAGTTTACGGGTTCTTCAAATGATAGTTATGTAGCTGACGACAGAATGGACAATAATTCATATCGCTTTAATCATTTTACTATTCATCCGTATTTAACTGCTTATTTCAGCAGCTCTTCCATGGCGATCCACTAGGCTGTCGGCCGTAACTATGATGGCGAAACAACCTCGGGATAATAGAGTTATCTCTCTACCTGTGCGTCGGAGCCATCACAAGTCAAACTCGCGTGCACAAGCTATAACACTAACACAAACGATGGCCGGCCGCCTACTCGAATGCCACTCTCATGGACTTCGTCACATAAATCCAGGTGTTATTTGGCGCCCTTCCTTTCTACAGCAGAATACCTCCCTATCCAAGGCTCTGCAACGATCGAGCATTTACCAAGAGAACTCCTTGCGCAGAGTCGTACAGCTTAAAGCAAAGCATATCGTCAACTATACCCAAAGGGCAACATACTCAAGTGTCCGCATTATACCACAGTATCGAAAACCAATGGCATCAACTGATACCAAGGGCCCTGAAATCGACTATAAAATCCCCCGCCCAAGCTCAAGGCAAGGCCTTTCACTAGGGAACGAATATATCGTTTAATCCACTAACTATCGAATTACGCAGTGTCATACTCATATCCCCTCAAAATGAAGTCCTCCTGCTTCATCGAGTGAAAACATCCTCTTCGTTCCCCTCAGCGCACGTGTTCCCGGGTGGAAACATATCTGCCCAGGACGGCAATTTCCCGCCTGCAGGGCGCCCGGATAGTCATGACGATGGAATTCACTATAGAAGAGCTGCAATCCGTGAAATGTTTGAGGAAAGCGGGATATTGCTGGCAAGGAATAAGCATACTGGCCAGCTAGTGAAGCTCAGTCCAACAGAGCGAGAGGAAGGCCGACATGCCATCCATATGAATGAAATCACGTTCGATGAGTGGTTAAAGACAATAGATATGGAGGCTGTGCCAGACACTGGTAAGTTACTTCTTCGCAATTTGTACCTTGATAAAGAGTTTAGAATTTTTAACACAAAGGAGTACAGAACTGCTGATACCCTTCTCACATTGGATAACACCCGCGAAAAATGCCCGTCGCTTTACGACACAAATGTACATTTATTTTCTACCCCCTGCAAACGGCACTAGCAGCGACATTGCGAAACCAGGATTGAGCAGTGAAGAAGCCCAAGTGCCTACCTCAGATGGCGGAGTTGAAATCACCGAAGCGCAGTTCCTACCAGCGTCGGAGTGGCTACGACGTGCGAAGACAGACGAGGTAATCATGTTCCCTCCTCAGGTACTATTACTGAGCTTTGTCGCACAATTCCTCGAAAGAGCAGGCGAAAAGATACCGATACCGGCTGCAGAGTCAACCAAACGACGTGAAGAGCTGGTCCGGTTTATTCACTCGGGTACGCCTGCATGGTCTCATAAATTCATATCTCCACGGCCATTGGGAAGCATGCCCGACGGCAGGTTGATTATGGATTTAAACCATCCGGGACAGGAGCTGGACAAAACTGACAAAAGAGGAGACCCAGAAAGAGTCATTCTTGTGAATTTCAAAAAGGAAGGGCCTAGAGAAGTAGAAGTACGATGGCTCAGTGAGGTTAAAGCCCATCTGTAGGACTGTAAGAGCTCGCTCTAGATATGACTCTATAACTATGGCAGCCATCACGAAGCCTGAGTATCCGGTTTTTGTATATATCTATTAAACTTATATCTTCTAGATTTAACCATAAACCATTACCACTGGAAAGAATAGCTGCCCAAGATGTTTTGTTTCTCCCACGTCTTTAGTTGCTTCCTTTTTGATTTTTGATATTGAGCCAAACTTTAAAATTTTCCGCTAGATCACATGACCCACAATCGAAAATGGCGATTTTCACTTTATCTCGCGCCAACAGCATAAGCATCAAGACATCGACAAGAGCAGACAGCATCCGATTCCACCTCTTCCCTCGCCTCTACCTTCGATCACCGTTCCTCACACAGACCAACCACCGTCTAATCCGCAAAAATGGAGAACGAGAAGGGAGAAATCGTCGACCTGTACGCACACACTCCCTCCTAAAACAGCTGCCCTTATCAAATCGTGGAAAAGGGGTTGAACAAGTTGTCTCTGCAGATACTAACGAGAGTCTGTGTGAAATAGCTACGTCCCACGCAAGTGCAGTGCCACCAACCGTATCATCAAGGCCAAGGACCACGCTTCCGTCCAAATCAGCATCGCTAAGGTCGACGAGAACGGCCGATACACCGGTGAAAACCAGGTCTATGCTCTGTCCGGATTCGTACGCGCTATGGGCGAGGGTGACGACAGCTTGAACCGTTTGGCTCAGCGGGATGGATTCTTGAAGAACGTCTGGAGCGCAAGCCGATAAGCGTGAGGAGTGAAATCGTGGTTTAGATGTCAAATGGTAGATACCCCCCGAACGTTTACGCTACCTAAATGCAGAAAAAACGCGCGGATGGGAATCCGGAAGGATAGTAAGGAATACAAATTAGGATATATGCTGATATGATTTTTTGCGCAGGTCGGTTTTCTTGAAACGATGGCAGAATGGTCAATGGGAATGAATATTCAGGAATTTCCGATGTTATGAAGACTCTGGCGCTACCCTACTCTTTTCCGAGGATGCGATGATACAAACCCATTAAAGAAATAATGGTGGAAACGGACAGAGCAAAAATGAAATAATATAAAAATTCAAAATAATTCCTTCTCCTTGCCAGCACCCGTCTTTCAGACTCTACATACGCCATTTCTTCCTTTGGGATAACCAGATGGTTAGAGCGCAATAATCACATCGCCCGTTTCTCAAAATATACCGTTTTACCTCAGGTTATTTGTCTTCATCATATGTCCTATTTCCTCAACCCACACATGAACCGGTACTTCAACTTTCTCGTTCTAATTGAGATATGTGAATAACTATCTCAGTTCCTCAGACGTGGACGAAAAGGTCGATTCTCAAAACCAGCTTTTTGTTGTAATCATTATTACCGGGAGAATGAAAGCCGCCTTCTGATGAGCTGTGACGGTCAAGATCACACGTTGGAGCACAGATACGGGCAGGACAGAATTATCACATGTGAAGATCCTTTAGATATTTTGTTTTCTTTTCCTCGTTCTAGGGGGCAGGATGATCATATCACGACCGTCATGAATACTATTCTTGTAGCGGCTAAAGAACACGGTTTAAAGCTGCCCCAGAAGGTGTAACAATAGGTTGGAGATCCTTTTTCGTTATTAATTTATTTCAGGAGTATCATTCGACAAGGCTGGAATCCTTATCCCATGATTAAAGCAAGGTTGTGGGGAAGTAGGAGTAATAGATATTAAAATTGGTTTATGCCTGTCGAAAGCATGTGTGTTGTACCTTCTTATTCTTTCTCTAAACGCACGGCAGGATTCGATTCAACGAAGTTGAGGTTTACTTTGTGCCCTACCAAATCTCGGATGTTGTTCACACCATACCTATTCGCGGAGTAGAAAAGAAGGTATGTTAGTAGCTCGTCTAACTAGGTATATAAAACCCGGCATATGGCTCGCACGGACTAGAAGAAAAGGAGAGGGATCGGGTAGCCTAAGATGATTAGGAAAAACACTCACTTGATCATGGTTGGTCGCTCCAAACTCAATCCCCAGCCATAAACCTGCATATCACTTGGAATGCCCATTGGCTCCAACATCTCTGGTCTGAACATACCGCTATTTCCAATTTCGACCCATTTCTTCAAAGTGGGATGGTAGCCGAAAATCTCCATACTGGGTTCTGTGTAGGGGTTATAGGCAGGCTTGAAGCGTAGACCATGGATACCCATCTTAGCAAAGAAGACTTCCATGAAGCCGATCAGACCGCCAAGTGAGAGGCCAAAATCGGCAATGACACCTTCGATCTGCTGAAACTCCGCAAGATGAGTTGCGTCAAGTGTTTCGTTGCGGAAGACCTTATCGATACTGAAGTAGCGGGCGGGGCGTGGATTCTGTGCTAACTTTTGAAGCATATAAGCTGAGACAGAGGTGGTATGCGTTCGTAGGACAAGGCGCAATGACTCGTCTGCACTCCAGGGATAACGATAGCCAATAGAGCCGTTGAAACCAGTCTCATGAGCAGCGTGAACGTTGTTCCAGTATTTCTCATAGTCCAGTGGTTTGAGAGGTGTCTTTGAAGAAGTATAGCGGCGTGCCTGGTTTAAACTTGATAGATGGATGTCGCCTTCCGGGTCAGCTCTTGGTCTATCTGCCTGTACCGGGTCTGAAATATAAAACGTGTCTTGGAGATCACGGGCGGGATGTTGCTGTGGCACAAAAAGAGCGTCGAAGTTCCAGAAGCCAGATTCAACATAGCGGTTGGTAGGCATTTCCTGGAAGCCCATTTCAAAGAAAATCTGTCTGAATTCATGACGGACTTTGTTCAATGGATGCAAGGCACCACTTGGAGTAATGGCTCCCTTGGCCTTGAAGTTATATCCCTTTAGCTTTGCTGTCTTCCATGAGCCATCTGCCAGCATTTCCACAGTTAGATCTGTTTCCTCCTTGACAAACTCTCTAGCATACTTAGGGCCCTTCCAAAATTTATAAACAAACACTTTGTGGGTATTGATAAGCTTCCGCTTCCGCAGTTCAGCTAAAATTTTGGCGTCTGGGTGTGTCTTTGTCTTTTGGATGGTGACCAGCTGCTCGCGAGAGGCATCCTCTATCGAATCTGTAGCTGCCTTCAATGTGTCTTTATCCTTCTTAATCCATCCTTTTTTAAAAGCGTTTCCTGTCCCAACTTTGGCAATCTCCTTTCCAACGATATCCGGCAGGTCAGCAATCTTTAACCCCTCCATCGCAGCGCTGACGGCCTCGAAAACTCTGGCTTCATGACTACCATTGGCGACGATACCTTCGGCCTCAGGTAGTAGATACACTTCCTCGGTTTCTATCGTTTCTTGCAGTACCATCTCCCTTGCGGCAAGTCGATCTAGAGCAGCCTTGACGCTCTGTGCGGGGGCTGATGGGAAGGCATGGTTCGACAATTGCGGCTCGTCCGTCGACGCGAGGATGTCTAAAACGTAGGAAGTAAGGTCGGAGGCCATATTTGCAGCTTGCAATCCAGTCCACGGCCTGCTACCCACAAGGAACGAGCAAAGCTGGTACAGGTTGTCTGGCAACTATTCAGGAGTTCTTGATAGTCCATAGTTTATGACTCTTATCTTGTGTGGACGGGATTTTGATAGGGTCACGTGAACAGCCGGCATGGCGAGACAGGAATAGAGAACGTATTTTCAGTGGGGAAGGGGAAGATGTAGATGACGGTGAGCTGGTTGTATAATACACCTGGTTATATTGACTTTGACTCCTGTCAGATGTTGATCGCAGTGATGCTTGGCTAATATGGTTGACATTGTTTTGTACCTGGTCATGTTCCTTACTATAAGAGGTTTACAAGAGACGCAACCGCTGGTTAGACGTATTTAGGTACCTAGGTAGTTTGATGATGCGCCTCCCGGACAGATGGTAAAAGATCCGATCGCGGTATGAAGTGACAAATTAGAAATATTCCCAAGTACCTTGCAGAAGCAACTTTCTATACGGAGCAAATGAGGGTGTAGGAAGATCCAGGCCCTTCGCCTCATCCTAGTAATTCTATACGCCTTAAACTAGAAATTTAGCCTGGAAAATCGAGGGTTATCATTAGGAACTAGTCTAATATATATATATATATTCATATTCAACTTCATATGGGGCATCTAGGCCGCAGGTAGGTAGAAAATCTTCTTCAATGACCCGGCGTGTATCGCTTTGCTGGCCTTCTCACCCGCTTCTTTCCTTCATTCTGCCAACGGTTACCAGCATTTTGCTATGCTTCCTCTTCGGATAAGTAGTCTTGGGGTGGATGTTATTCATCTACCTCCCCTCAACCTCTCTCTAACTAAAGTTGGGGTCGCTCTATCACCCTTAGTAGGGCCAGTCAGTGAAGGCTTATAAGGGCTAGTTTCACTCGACGGACTATTCTTTGCTTTCTTACTTAATGATTTCAGTACCTTATGCGCTCTGTACTTTCTCACGATTGGCGGCAATGGTTGATGTGGACGTAGCTGGCTGCTCTCTATGCACCTGTATTACATTATCGAAATATGCCCTGTACCAGTGCTCGTGTTTATTAAAAGCGTAGTCCCATCTAGATGTGCAAATATCTGTTAACTGTGGATTGGGCAAAAGTGACCAGAATAGGGATACTTCTGCGCCGACCTTCCTTCCTAGCCTGACGTCGAGAACTGTAATTCGTGCCTTATACAGAGGAATTTAGCCTATTTCCCCGTCGATAATGTTTAGAGGTAGCTAATTTCCGTTTATAGTAATAAGCGAGATAAAAAGATTCGTCTTGAGCGTACCTTTCTATATCATGTTAGTACGCTCATCTTTGAGGCATCCCCTGATAAACAGAATGAACAGGTAGAAATATCTGCATAAATCTCACGTTGTACTCTCCATATCTTCCATTTGTTCTTTGTGTGGGCTGTCTGATATAGCCAGAGACCTTTGGGGTGCTGAACCAGAGGAAAGTGACAATACGGCAAATGTCAGCCGAGGGACTCGAACCCACACGACGTCTCGTCGCCCATGCAAAGCAGGGTGGCGTTCTGTGCCCTACCAGGCGGTTGCCGTAAACCGCCGACTAACAAAAAGATTGAGGGTTGAACACACGGGGACGCGATGACTCCGAGTCCGCAGCCTCGGTCAGGTATAAATACCCGATATATCAGGATCGAAGTCCTGATAAAATAGTAGGCCCGAAGTCCTGATGAAATAGTAGGCCCGAAGTCCTAGTGAGAGATGCCAAGGCTGAAGCCAAGACCAGGTCTAGTCCTGAAAATGTCCCCATATGTTCAACCCGTTTTGTCACCGCATGTATAAACTAACTTGAGTTAGTGTCTTTCTCAGTATGATATGCTTTAAGCATATTTAAACCTAGTTGCTTCCGTTTTCTGATTCACAGTCCTGTCCTTGGCTTGGCTACCTGCCCAGGGAGTGCAGAACTGGGTCTTATAACCCTGGTGGGTTGGGGAATAGATATTCTAGGTGAGGGGATAGCATGTTGTACTTGAGGCGCTGTACTCGAAGAGCGCCCGCCGTTGCGATTCCTAAGGGTATAATCGCGGCTATGGGAAGATGGACTTGGGTGGTCGTCACTCAGTGACCCATGGCTTTGGTCGGTGTATTGATCGTGGTAGTTCCCGAGAGAATCCATTGCCCAATACTTGTAATCGGTGGGGAGATGATCCCACAGGCCTAGTGGGATTTTGGGAGTTAGGCTTACCGCCTCCTGGAACCCATATTTGTACATGCCCAGCAATATGGGCCAGAGGGTTATGCCTGCAACTATCAAGTCACAGACAAGCTTTCCCGCAATTGAAACCCCAACAGAGGTGGCGTAGATCTTTTCTAGTTCTCCGAGGTAAATAGAAGCAACACAATCCATAACGGGGGATGCAAGTGTACTTAGTGATATGACGAAACGCCATCTGTGATTGGAGTTTCTTGGGTCTGCTGCCGTACGAGCCTGCACAAAAAAGGCAAGGCAAGCTAGGTACTCTCCAAGAAGGTAGGGAGCAAGAAGGCTAGGGTGTTGATTTTCAAATCATAGAAGGCCTTTTTTCGTAAAATTGGCCGTGATACGGCCAATGATGGCTGCCAGTATTAGAAAAACCTTACCTAGATTTCCCCCAATAAGCCACTGCCAGTAGCACAGGCAAAGCGAACCCCAGAAAATCTTGACACGCTCCCATCGAGATTGGGGGCGGGAGCCGCGGCTGTGGGGTCCTGGTAACTCCATTCTAGACCAATGCGGTGTATGTGGAGGTTCTATCTCGTAGAACAGCTTAGCAAATCTCTGTTTGCATTTAATCTTCCGGCTAGGTAAGGCAGCTACTTCCCATTTGACAGAGCTTGCCATATAGTCTTTAACCTCTTCTGAGGCTAACCACTTCTCCATGAGTTGCTCATCACGTCTAGGGATGAGATAGATGATGTGAGTACAAGCATAGGATATATCAGGGCTTAGAAGACGAACCTGCTGGCACCTGGTGCCATCTTGATATCTCCCCGTAGAGATTTTATTGAGTACAGTCTTTATCGAGTAAAGTCTTGATTGATCTGTAGATTGGATCGTGATGTATGTTAAGGGTGTTGGTTAGGAGAAGAGGAGAAGAAGACTGGCAGTTGTTGTGCGGAGTTTTGTACCTTACTTCGTTTGATGCGTCTGGTCACGTTGTTTCCCGTTCTGGTAAACGTCTTTGGGGGGAACTCGAGCTGGCATGGAAACCCGAATATATTTTCAGTTTTTCGTTCTTTTCTTCTTAATGGTACAGATAGAAATTACACGTGAAGTAGCAAAGCTAGCACGAAGTAGAAGCCTCCTTAAAGCGTTTGCAGTAGGTCTTATATACAAGGGAGCGTTCTGTGGGTATAAGCAAGAGAGAAAGCCTTAGGCATAACCTGTAGAAGATTCCTTGGACATAAGCAGTAAAGGAATGCTCAGGTACAGGTAGCAGCATATACGCTGTCCATGAGTCGGAGCAGCATTTAGGGATATTAAGTATTGTCCAGGGCATCAGAGATAGTATAAGAATCAAGTAAAACATAAAACAACCCAGAGTATAAGTTTCCGGCAGCTACACTTAGGGAACTGTTCCATATCTATCCAGCATCCATTTTCGCATCGATTCTGCAGTAGTTGAAGCCCTCTCTTCAGTGCTGTATGGTAATGTTATTAAGCGCCATTCCATCTCAGTGTGAGCTGCAGTAATCTGACTACCACTAGAATCGAAGGGTCTTAAAAGCCAAACTCTTGATCTCCGCTGTGTTTGACCACCTTTGTATTATTTTTTTGAATGCCTTACCCTGCTCAGGGGGCATATTTCGGTAGTCACCGCTATTGAGGAAGACAACAGGCTCTAATCCACCATGCTTATCGGATAAACACTGCTCCATCTTATTGGCTATATCAGCAATTATCGGTACGATGGGGATACCATTTTTTAACTCCTCTCTGAAAGTCGTGAAGCCCGAGTAAGATATAGAAGGCGTTGTGATCGGCCTCATACTCATCGTCTTCGGCGCGACGTCTGCGCTCCTTCTCCTCAGCTGAGGGAAACATAAGAGTGAATATTTCACTAATAGACTTGTAAATGTTGCTCATGCTCTCATATGCACCAGGTGGACTTTAGCTCAGCTAAAGACACGATGACGTTAAGGCGACTGGTCGAGATTCGACCAAATTTATCTAGTAGCAAATGTTTAATATCCCTTCCAGCTTTTGGGTCTCAAAAAAGAATACAGGGGCTCGCCTGCCTCTGCTTGTGATGTACTCCGTATAGCGACGTGAGTAAGGCCGTCATTTAGCCGTAAGATGGATGATGTTTTGTAACTCCAAGGAAGCTCGATGTTGCGCTTAGACTTGTGCAGATATCTTAGGTAATCTCAAACTATGACAAGGTTAACTTAGGTAAGCCACTTATCTCCCAAGACTTTCCTATTAAAGTTTAAAATACAACCTAAACGTAAGAATACAGAAAAGACAAGCTCAAGCTAATAATATTGTATTCTTTCATGTTTAGCTAGTACAAGCCTGAAGTTTAAAAGGCGTCAGACGAGGAGATAATAAGTACATTATTGGTATGAGAAGTAGAATAATAATAGAATATTAGATTAAGCTAATTTTAGGGAGAGACAAAATAATATAAAGGTACTTATACCCCTATTAATACCTATCTTACAAGCGGTTACTATAAAAGGTCCCTATGATTTTCGAGCGACGATAAAACGACCCTCACAAGAAGGCCACATAAATTGCGTTCAAAAGCCACCACCTGTGTCAGCACATTTATCACGGGAGGATAGTAACACGAAATGTCTTTAACAGGGTCAAAACCTGTCAAGGGGGTAGATTTGAATACAATAGGAAGTAAATACTTTGCACACCATATTAGATCGGGGAATTTGGTGAGGTCCAGGATTACGAAGTACTCCGTATATAATAACCACCTAATGATCAAGAGTAATGATGGCAAGATTGCCGAGACATATCCTCCGCCCTGATATTAACCAGGCTCTGGACAGCGGTAACTACGATTGGCCCAATGGAATATCACTGGACAGCCTCACATTAATAACGGACAAGAGCTCTAGACGTTTGAAAGTCAAGCCAGACGAAGTGAGAGGGAGTGATGAATCAAGAGTGAACCCCTGTATGCTGTTGTACACAGGTACATGAGTAGCATTATGCTAGGATGATGCCGTTTCCGGGGGTGCAGAAAGGGAGGGGAAGGGAGGGAAGAACCCATTCAGGAGTTGGCCAACCGGCGATGGAGGAGAGATAGTTAGGCACGGAGTGTACGGCAACTACGGAGTATAGTTTCCGCACATATATCGCATCCCTCACCTTCATCACCTTCGGTGTGTGGAGGGCTCACTTGACAGCTGTTCTGTCGAGAGGACAGTCCAGATCCCAATCTACGCACATGATCGGATAATCCATGGAAAGAAGACATGTATAGAATCATCTGGCTGCACAAGGAACGGGTCTTAGAAAAAGAAAGACGGACGAGAGAGGACCTGTCCATATGTATGTATGGAGTAGCTGTTATTTGATAGGTAATAGGCCTAGCGGTGCTGATGTGTGGGTTTCAATGTTTGCTGTTGAACGCCGCCTCAGTAGTTATAGGAGAAGATATGGGGACAGATTGTGATGAGTATGTTAGCTCTCAAGTACACATAACCAAGAACTTGGGCAGTTTAAAATATATCCGACCAGCTAGTTACCTAGCGCGTTACCGGTTATGTACATGCTGAGTACATATACGTAGAATAATTAGTGACTCCATCGCCAATATGCAGGCAAACTGGAGAAAAGGAATAACTAGCTGTGGACGGAGAGACATCACCACGAGCTCACCGTATCTTTCGGAGTTTGGACAGAGGGACTCACCCCATTGGCTGCCTGCGATGCCGGTGTAACCCATCCCCATGCGGAGGCGAGGCCCTTCCCATTCCCGTTCTCTTTTTTTCACCTGCGCTCTTTGCCTGCTCCTGCTGGTAGCCTGCGTCGTCTGATATGTTGGCGATCAAGGTGGGCGACCCAACACTAGTAGCCCACATCCAACCCGAGGCGCCCCAGTCCATGGGCAACACCAGCAACGCTTGCGTTTCAAGTGACGGTGCTGATCTTGCTGCTTAAGCTCGCCGTCGTTTAAACTAAAAAGGGGATGGGCGGGTAGATGCCCAGATGGTGGTGGTGGGCAGAGTACTATCACGCTACTAGTTTTTGGCTCCCTGCTCCTGGGGGACTCCTGCAGCTAGGTTCAGCCTAAGCATGCTAGTCAGTCAACCGTTCGTTTAGAGAGAGAAATAAGGGAAAAAATTGCCCGCTAGAGAGCCCCCAGCGCTCGCACAAGCACAAACGGGGGTGTCAAGAAGAGAGGCAGCAAGAGCGCAGCCAAAAAGCAACGAGCATCCCCCAGTCGCTGGACACTGCCGGTCGTCGTCATAAGTAGCGGGCAAGTACCATGCACCCGCGGGCGCTGCAGGGTGAATAATTGTAGTACTGGTGCAAGAGTGACTTCTGCCTCACCCTCATCGCCCCCTCTAGCCTTGTCTTCCTGTCTTCCGGTGTGTGTATCTCTCTCGTCCTCGCTATCTCGCTATCTATCTTTTTTTATTATCTTAACTTGCCGTTGTCTCGTCCTTAGTCAGCACAAAGCTAGGACCCCTTAAACCACCACCTCTTTTTTTTTTCTGCCACTTCCCTCCCCTTTGCCCGCCTTTTCTTCCTTCGTCCGATTTCCAACTTCGACCTCAAACCTCACTTCTCAACTTCACTTGCACCACCCTCTCCTCCGCGCCTCGTCTTCGGCCTCGTCTTTGCCTGCAGCCTATCTCTCTCGACTGGCTACACTGTTTACGGGCCTTCCGCGGCCTCGTTGGAGCGTTCGCTTGTTCCTGTTTCGACTCCAGAGACGCTCGAATCGCAGCTCCTCGTTCTCTTGTCTACGCTACCCCGGATCGCCCTGTCGACCTCATCTCACCGACCAACTCCTTTTTTTCTTTTCTTTTTCCGCTCCTTTCTCTTACATAGCACACTCTCCTCCCATCTGATCGCCTCCAATGTCGAATTCGCGCTGACTGCGTGGTGTGTACGCATCTGAGCTCTGGATATCAAGCCTGTAGTCTCGGTTGCCGTCGACTCGTTCCACGTTGCAAGTGGTTGAAACGGGCGAGAACAAACGAGGCTAAGATATACAAGGAACAAAAAAAAAGCAAGCTAAGCAAGCCAGAGGAAACACAGAATAAATATTCTTAAACGAAAAGGAAAGGAGAACTATTATATATTTTTCAGCGACCACCATGGCTCCCGAGGACGAGACATTGTTAGCTGCTGCTGCTCTACTACAGAGCTTAGCAAAAGATACGCCGCTACCCCCCTCGTTCCCCTTCAACGGCCACAAATACAATCAACCTCCAAAGAATGGCTGTGACATCGCCAAAATCAAGCTCCCTGGGTTGGAAAGTGATGGAAAGGCCGCCCTCGAACGTGAGATAGCCGCTCTAATCGGAAGGGTCAACACCTTACAGTTCTTTGTGGTATGTTTAGAAAACACTTTGCTTGGAGCTTACGTCCCTCTGTTGTGGTACCTTGGGGATTTATGGCCTCTAACTATCTTCTGCAGCCGCCTTCTCGGCATACCCGTGCCTCAAATCTTAAGAATATTAATAACGAGCCCGATAATGACCAAGACACCGACTCGAAAACTATTTGTGAAGATGACACTAGCGAAGATGATGACGAAGATGATGACATTGTCCAAGTTAAGAACCCTTATGAAGACGACATAACTTACCTACGAAACCGTGTTCAATTACAAGCCGACGAGATCAACCTGCAGAAGGAAATAATCTCTCGTGTACGGGATGAGCTACGGTTACAGGAAGAGCGTACCAAGAACGCACTGGTCAAGGTAGAAACAGAAGATGTTGGTCTTCTCGAGCGTGAACTTCGGAAACATCAACAGGCAAATGAGGCTTTCCAGAAGGCCCTCAGGGAAATCGGAGGCATCATCACTCAGGTCGCCAACGGTGACCTCTCTATGAAAGTACAGATACACCCACTGGAGATGGACCCTGAAATTACCACTTTCAAACGCACCATCAACACTATGATGGACCAACTCCAAGTATTTGGAAGTGAAGTGTCTAGGGTGGCAAGAGAGGTCGGAACCGAAGGTATTCTTGGTGGCCAAGCCCAGATCACCGGTGTTAATGGCATCTGGAAGGAGTTGACTGAAAACGTCAACATCATGGCTAGCAATCTCACTGATCAGGTCCGAGAGATCGCTACTGTCACCACTGCCGTTGCCCATGGTGACTTGAGCCAAAAGATTGAACGTCGCGCTAAGGGAGAGATTCTTGAGCTTCAACAGACCATCAACACTATGGTGGACCAACTTCGAACTTTTGCAACTGAAGTTACTCGTGTCGCTCGTGATGTCGGAACTGAAGGTGTTCTGGGTGGCCAAGCCCAGATTGAGGGTGTAAAGGGCATGTGGAACGAGTTGACAGTCAATGTCAACGCTATGGCTGAGAACCTTACTACCCAGGTCCGAGACATCGCCATGGTCACTACTGCAGTTGCTAAAGGTGATCTCACCCAAAAGGTGCAAGCCAACTGCAAGGGTGAAATCCTTGCACTGAAGACCATTATAAACTCCATGGTTGACCAACTTAAGCAATTTGCACAAGAAGTCACCAAGATTGCCAAGGAGGTCGGCACAGACGGTATGCTTGGTGGTCAGGCCACTGTCCATGATGTCGAGGGGACTTGGAAGGATCTAACGGAGAATGTGAACGGCATGGCTATGAATCTTACAACTCAGGTCAGAGAAATTGCCGATGTCACTACTGCCGTCGCAAAGGGTGATCTCACCAAAAAGGTTACCGCTGAAGTCAAGGGAGAAATTTTGGATTTGAAGAACACTATCAATAGCATGGTGGACCGTTTGAATACATTCGCCTTTGAGGTCAGCAAGGTCGCTCGAGAGGTCGGAACTGATGGTACTCTTGGTGGACAGGCGAAAGTGGACAATGTCGAAGGAAAGTGGAAAGACCTAACCGACAATGTCAATACCATGGCTCAAAATCTCACTGTCCAAGTGCGAGCCATATCCAATGTCACCCAGGCTATCGCTAAAGGAAACATGAACAAGAAGATCGATGTTCATGCACAAGGTGAAATACTCACTTTGAAAGACACCATCAACAACATGGTTGACCGACTCGCCAATTTTGCCCATGAGCTGAAGAGAGTTGCCCGCGACGTCGGTGTTGATGGAAAGATGGGCGGGCAGGCTAATGTTGAAGGCATTTCTGGAAGATGGAAAGAAATCACAGAGGACGTGAACACCATGGCAGACAATCTTACTTCTCAAGTGCGTGCCTTTGGAGAAATTACTGATGCCGCCACGGACGGTGATTTCACGAAACTTATCACTGTCGAAGCGTCTGGTGAGATGGACGAACTGAAAAAGAAGATCAATAAGATGATATCAAACCTCAGAGACAGTATTCAGAGAAACACTGCTGCTCGAGAAGCCGCCGAGTTGGCTAACCGCACCAAATCCGAATTCTTAGCCAACATGAGTCACGAAATTCGTACGCCAATGAATGGTATCATTGGTATGACCCAGCTTACCCTCGATACTGATGACCTTAAGCCTTATCCGCGTGAAATGTTGAATGTTGTACACAGTTTGGCCAACAGTCTGTTGACCATTATTGACGACATACTCGATATCTCCAAGATTGAGGCTAACCGGATGGTCATTGAGAGTATCCCCTTCACAATGAGGGGTACAGTTTTCAACGCCTTGAAAACTCTTGCTGTGAAAGCCAATGAGAAGTTCCTCAACTTGACATACCAGGTTGATAGTTCCGTGCCTGACTATGTTATTGGAGACCCCTTCCGCCTTCGTCAAATCATCTTGAATTTAGTTGGAAATGCGATTAAGTTCACTGAACATGGTGAGGTCACGCTTGAGATCAAAAAGCATGAACCTCCACCACCTGCAGAGGGCGAACCAGAACGTGAGGTCTGCGCGGACGATGAATACGCCTACGAGTTCTCCGTCCAGGATACTGGCATTGGTATCGCCAAAGACAAGCTAGACATGATTTTCGATACCTTCCAGCAAGCTGATGGTTCTACCACTCGCAAGTTTGGTGGTACCGGCTTGGGATTGTCTATTTCCAAACGTTTGGTTAACCTGATGGGTGGTGATGTCTGGGTCACCTCGGAATACGGTCGCGGCAGTACCTTCCACTTCACCTGCGTTGTCAAGAAGGCAGATCAATCTCTGGATGTTATTGCCTCCTCTCTTGTGCCGTACAAGGGGCATTCTGTTCTATTCATCGACAAAGGGTTCACCGGAGACTATGCCAACAACATCATTGGCATGCTCAGGGCTCTTGACCTGGTTCCAATCGTTGTCCACAATGAAAACAATGTGCCTCCGCCAGAAATCAAAGATGAAGAAGGCAAAGAGGCAGGGCATGCATATGATGTTATCATTGTCGATATGATTGAGACCGCCCGAACCCTCCGAACCTTTGATGAGTTCAAATATATTCCCATTGTGCTCCTGTGCCCAGTTGTCTCTGTTAGCTTGAAGTCTGCTCTCGATCTTGGAATCACATCTTACATGACAACCCCATGCCAACCCATTGATCTTGGCAACGGCATGCTCCCTGCTCTTGAGGGTCGTTCTACCCCCCTCACCTCGGATGACTCTCGATCTTTTGATATCCTTTTGGCTGAAGATAATGATGTTAACCAGAAGGTTGCGGTTAAAATATTAGAGAAATGCAATCATGGGGTCACTGTTGTTGGTAACGGTCTCCAGGCTCTTGAGACTATCAAGAAGCGCCGATTTGACGTTATTCTTATGGATGTCCAGATGCCAATCATGGGTGGTTTCGAAGCAACCGGTGAGATCCGTGCATACGAGAAGCGTAATAACCTAACACGAACACCTATTATTGCCTTGACTGCGCACGCTATGTTAGGAGACCGTGAGAAATGTATCCAGGCACAAATGGACGAATACCTCTCGAAACCGCTTAAGCAAACTCAGATGATGCAGACGATCCTGAAATGCACTACTTTAGGAGGCCCACTCCTTGAGAAGAGCAACAATGACTCGAGACTTGGCATTAACACACAAATGCATGGCAGGAATCGCATGCATTCTTCTGATTATCGGGACCGACGCCCACGCCCATCACGTCACCTAGACCCACGAGCATACGGAGGGGCTGAAGGACCAACAAGTTCAACTCCCGAGGCCAAGAAGGCTACGACTAGTGAAGATGAACCCGTAAGTTGCCCAAAGTACATGCCTTAATCCATACGCCGTACTTCGTCTACTGACAACTTGAATAGAGGGTAATTGAGGTCCCGGATAAACAGTAACCAACTACAAACCAAAAAAAGGAGCCATTTTTACGAAAGGGACGGCGTATAAGGAGAGTCGATATCCATTGTGAAAGAGCGCAATGAGGCGGTCCAAACTTCCGGGGATCATACCAATATATTCTCACCATGATTAGCAAAGAAAACGGGGATTCCAATTCCCCAAAACCTAAAGCAATTTATAGCGTGTCCTGTACTGATTGCATTTGGTTGATATCTCGTGGAAATATTTTTATTCCATATACCCCCTAGTGTCATGCATAACTGCCCTCGCTTTCCCCCAAACTTCACGAATTGGATTTCTGAAATTATGTGGGCGTTTTTTAGGCGGAGAGAGTTTTGGCGAGTCTGAACTGTTTTTTGTTATTCTTATATTTGTCTTCGTTTACGTTCTGGTTTCTTCCGGCCTATGTTATTGACCACCCCCTTGTTGCGCCTTTTCTTTCCGGCCTATTTTCTTTGGTCTCATTTTTTTTTTTTTTTTTTTTTTTCCCCTATATTACTTGGTTGACTTTGCACTGTTACTTGAACATACCCATTTTGATCTTTTTTTTCTCTTATCTTTTTTATTTGCGGATCATTTGCGGCAAAGAAGATTAGCTATCTGCGGATGAGAAACAAGACTCTACTCTTATAGCCTTTTTGCTTTTTAACTATTCGGGCATTTGCCTATCGCCTTAACCACGTCTGGTAGGGACTTTTAGTATTCGGGTCTTTTCTTGGTCAGCGCAATCTCATAAGACCGCTGGACTGGTCCTTGGCTATATAATAATATTACCAGATGTTATCTTGCCATATGTCATTACTCCTTGATTACGCTGCTGACGCTTTATACATTTGGATACATCATCTCGTGCTCAGGCTAAGTTTGATAAATAGAAAGTAAAAGCACCGAGGCTATCGGCCGTTCTTCCATTGCGCCTGGATGCATCTCTTCGGCTTTACTCATATCATACCTCGGGGCTGCCTAAACCTACGGGTAACTTCACGATGATTAAACTATTAGCTTTAGACAATTACGTACATCCAGTTGTGCATTTTCATCCAATAGTGTATGAAACTTAATTCTCGCAATACAAAGTTAGAGTAATTAAGGTCTCCCTCAGTCAGAGAACAACGGCTGGAAGACTTTTTTTACCTCGAGTTGCCATCATTAATCAAGCGTTTATTTTGATACAAGGGATGAAGACATTTAGAATGCTGTATGAATCTATGTGCCCATTTATCTAGCTGTATAATATAAGTCTTCGTCGATTCATTAAGGAAAGTCTGTATTTTATATACTCGGCGGTCAATCGTGAAATAGATGCGTTGGGATGGGAAGATAACAAGGGGGAAAACAAGATTAAGAAAATGCTCGCTTTAAAGAGATAACACAAAATGGCGACATAGGTAGGCATTATTAGGAGGGGGAAATATAGCCGTGCAGTCAGTGATTAGGTGGCCGGTGCAGCATTAAACAATATCAGGGGAGATACGTCAGTAGATCAGCCCAGGTGAATGTCTTGATGCTCTGCCAGTGCTCACTTAGTTCCACCATCGGCGCTGTGGGGAGCCAGTTCCAGTGGGCTGCTGGGAGGTCAGGGTTGGGGGAGTGTAAGTGGGTTGTGGCCCGGATGGTAGGTGTCCGCCGGTACCGGTAACGGTTGGTGGTGGGTTAGATGTTGGGGGTGGAGTCTCCGTAATAATAGTTGTCTCAGGGGGGATAGTGAGAGTCTTAGTTCCCTCGTGGATGTCGGTAATCGTGATGGTTTGGCATCCACCGCACTGGCCAGGAGGAAGAGTCTGAGGTGGGACAACAATGGTGCTCGTTCCCTCGTGGATATCGGTGATGGTATAGGTCTGGCATTCAGGACAGTGATGTGGTGGAGGAGTAGGCTCAGTTGGTGGAGGTGTAACTGGCGGCTCTCCGCAGCCATCTCCACGGCATTCGGTGACGGTGACGGTGACTGTGACCTGTGGTGGGCAGTTCTCTGTGGGTTGCGTGGGAGTAGTCTCTGGAGGCTGCGTAGGGGCAGGCTCTGTGGGTGCCTGAGTTTCGGTGACTGGATAGCAAGTCGTCGTAGTGTAGGTGGAAGCTGTGAGCCAGGTGCTGTACCAGGTGTAGCCTGGAATGGTTGCAACGGGGGTAGAACACGGGACAAATGTGGTACGGGTAATAGTATCCGTTCGAGTAGTGGTGATGGTCTCAGTACCCGGGTTTGGAGGGTTGGGAGTAGGAGTAGGCTCGGGGTTGGTTGTTGGAGGGTTGCCGGTTGTCATTGGAGGCTGGTGGCCTCCTCCTGTCCCTCTGATTTCAAGGTCTGGGTACCTGAAGCCCGGGCGAGCCAAGGTGGTGCCAGCAAGAGCAACAACGACGAAGGATATCAAAGCAACCATCTTGAAAGGACGATTGATCAATATGCAACAGCAGAGTAACGAAGGGAATTATCTGTTATATAGGGTAACAAATCAAACTAAGCGAGTGACGCAGCTCGAAAAGAAAAGGCTAGAAAAAGGGAGGAAAGAGTATGATCCTCTGCTTAGCTATGAACGATAGTTGATTATGATAGTGATAATAGAATAACAAGAGGGTATCAGGCAGACGAGATAGTTATATTTATACGTCGTCTTGTCAAGACGTATACTTCACAACGTCACAAGAGGGGGGCTGGGCTCGATCTCTCCAGCCCAGAGGCTTTGTTCAGAGCCATGCTCCGTTTCCACCTTATCCGAAGCTCCATCTGAGCTCGGGACTCCGCCAGCCATGCCATGGCGTGTCCAAGTAGCTAAAAGTAGCTGCAACCCAACCGGTTGCCACGGTTCCGAGAGACTTGGAGAGAGCAGAAAGGATGAACACCTTAGGCAGCTGTTCCAGTGGCTTCCTCGGCCGGGCCCCATAGGCTGCCCGGACATCGAGCTCGCTACGGTGGTATTAGACCAGAATGGTATGGTACTCGAAGTGAGACAAAGCACTGATATCTGATATGGTCGCCGGGTGAGACCCTTTTTGGTTCCATATACATCGTATCCCGTGCAGAGAAAGCAATATGTTCCTTCAGGAGCCGCCTGGCTGAACCACCAGACGTTACGGTGGGATTGCAGCCTCACCAGGAGAACTCCGTAGGCTCCGTAGACTCTCTCAACTTTGTTCCCGAGAGACGAAGGACATCCTCTCGGCTGTGAAACATACATCACTGACCGGAGCAGGTACAGAGGCGTTTCCCTAACTGCTCCCGAGGATTCAGCCCAGCAAACCGACCAAATGCGTACAAGGGAGATCGAGATGCGAGAGAGAGATTCCTGCCCTCTGCTGCTCCCCCTCCATCCACAACAAGCCTCTCCGTCAATAATTGCTCGATCCAGGCGGGACTTGGACTTGTCGAAATCCTTGTGGTGGAATGACAACACAATGTCTTGCATCCGACGGTGGGTGGGCGTCTGAAACACGAATCAGACGCCGCGCTGTTCAGCTGGGCGGCCTTCGTTTGCGTGGTGGTTGGCTCCAGGCGGTATAAAAATAGGTCATTCTAATATTTTCTTTTTCCCCGTCCTTGTATCTGCTTGCTCATGGCTGGTTCATCCCATCCGTCCGTTGGCAGGTTGGCGCAAGGAGTTTGTTTAGTTTCTGGTTATATCAAGCTTTACGCTGCGCCCCCAGGTGTTTGCTACATAACTTAAACCGGTTAACTAGTTACTCGTTATTCTCCGAGATCACCTCGCCTCTGTGCGGCTGGCGTGGACGGGAAGACCATGGTGCTCTCTACGTGCTGATGGCCTTTTTCAGCCCTACCAGACGGCGGATACAGCAATTGATTGACTGTCAAGCTTTTTCTCCTGAAGGAAGGACAGGTTAATGTAGGAGGGTAGTTACTTCGTGCATACCTTGCAGAAGCCAGAAAGGCGCAGAGAGCCTGTAACTAGATGATCTAGCAGACCATAGGCCCATTTAACCACCCTTTAACGGCATGGCTTCCTTGCCTTACGTATGCTAGCTCGCGGCCTTTATTGGGGGGTTTACGCCGGCATCTCGGTTGTTCAAGGCCGATGGTAGCTATCTGCAGCTAAAAGGACATGTCTCTATCCTAGACATATGCCTAGTAATTAGGGCCTGGCCATCTTGCATCCTGCACATAGATCTCGAGGATATACGAGAAAGAAACGCAGAAAGCCTGGGTTGGTCGCAGGTTATGGACGGAAGCGAGAGAATAGCCAATAGTGTATTTTTGATTCATGCCATAATAGTGAGACCTAGCTAACTTGAAAGAAAACAGGGACATTAAACACGCCTATGGTATACCTGAGAATGATAACGCCGAATGATGAACCCATGATCAAATATAGCAACGTCCGGTTATCCGGAAAACAACCCCGTAGATATGCGTGTATATAATGCAGGTGCAAGGATAATCAATATATACATATGATACCCCATGGCTCCGGGGGGATCAAAACCTGGCAAGAGGTATTTGGATATGGATATGATGTCAGTCTATTTTGAACGGGCTCCAGCCGACTCGAAGCACCCGGGCTGCAATGAAAAATACCAGGCCTCCAAAGTAACAGCAGCTTGTCCAGGCAATGAGGCCCCAGTATTCACCGCCGTTCCGGGTCAAGATCGATCCTCCAATGGGGATACCAGTCAGGCATCTGTGTGATATAATTAGATTAGTAAAAACAAGATAAAAATAAAAAGAGAACAATAGAGCTTTGGGGTTGACGAGCAGGAAGAGGTGTCATATACATACCCAAAGCTTACAACAGTGTATGCCGTGGCATAATACCGTCCATAGTTCTCTGTCTTGCATGTCTGGCCCACACACACTGGCGTTAGACCAATGTTACTACCACTTGAGAAGCCGAAGATGAAAGCGAATGCTATCGTCATTGCAGTGTTCCCATTGGCCGGAAGCCAGAGACAGGACACGGAGAGCAGACACATGAGCACAGTGATAATCATGGTGTTGAATCGCCCGGTATAATCGGATATGTATCCGGGCACCCAGCGGCCGAAGAAAGATCCTACATTAAGGATGGCCAAAAGCTGGTAGGATAGACCCTTTGGTATGCCGTGATGGATAGCATATGAGGATATATATGTAAGAGGCACAAAAAGACCCCATTCTATACAGAAAATACCGAGCGTGGTGCATGCAAAAACGGGCTCGAGGAGGATACGAAGGTCAGGCATGATATTCTCCATGGTAGCCCGTTGTCTGGGTAATCGTGATTTGACTAGCATCAGGCCAGCACCAAGGCTAACAAAGCATATCAAGGCCAATACGCGAGTAGACCAGGCGAATCCAATCTTTGTGAAAAGGACATCTAGCACCAAGGGAAAGACAATACCTCCTACACTTCCACCTGTTGCGGCCAATCCAGTTGCTCGGCCTCGAAGGCGGAAGAAGTAATGGCCAGGATTAGCCACTGCTGGTGTGAACACCATCGACGTGCCAGCTGCACAGACAACACCGAAGACAACCATTATTTGCCAATACTCAGTGCAGAACCCAAGCGCAATCAGGCTTCCAATGATAAGGACTGAACCGACGAGGACAAGCCCCTTTGGTCCCTTTGCATCAAAGATAGGGCCAATCTGAAGGCCTCCGAAGAAGATGAGGAAGGAAAAAACACCGAATATCCATGATATGGTGCTCTGGTTGTACTCCTTGAGCTGGTTCTCACTCAGATAAGCCTGGAAGGTCCCTATCGTGTTTACCAGTCCAAAGGAGCCAAAGAGGCAGAGGAAACATCCAAATACCACCAAGTATGCCTCCAATCCACCCTCGGGATATACATTGCCATCTGGGTCTGTTGACATACGAGAACCTAGCCGGGTGAGGTTCTCTGAGTCTGCAGGCGGAGAAGACCGTAGCGACCTTGTACGGGTCACACGAACCGAATTTCCATCCTGATCTCTAGTTATGGCCTGGAATAACAGTCCATTTCCTGCCAGCGGAAGCGCCTTTTCATCGTAAAGCGGCGGTTCTCTTTCCTCATCGATAGTTGATATGTCTAGATCTCGCCTCGCACCAGTGTCATGTGAATTCTTTTCCGTCAACGGCGCCGGCCCTTCAGAGTCACTCTCGAATCCTGCGCCAGCAGCCCCTCCTGGATGGTCAGTGTTGCGGTGTCCCTCTTGATGAGAATCTGCCCCCTCGGCAACCGTGCTGTCTTGAGATTTCATAATCCGAGTCGAAGACAAACACCGCTCCCCTCACTAAACGCTGACAAGGTAAATTATATACCCTGCAGTCAAAGGTACCGGGGGAGGAAGTGCCTTTATTGTTGACGATAGTAATGAAAAAGAATCCCCTTGTCGGCCCTGGCTCCTCGAGAGTCGGTCGAGATGAGACGAAAGAAAAAAAATATCCTGGAGGCAAGATATAGTTATCAGATCCATGGGTAACTTCGACACAGGTGGCCGCTTTAACCGAGCAGTTTTTACTCCATAGAATAAGATTATTGGCCATGATTCATTCACCAACGGAGTATTCCGTATGGGCTTTTATCTTGTGGGTTTCGGCAGATGGAAGATGCTTGTTCAATCCTTGCTTCACATTAACTAGTTAACTGGTTAACGAGCATTATTCACCCGACGAGCGAGCTCCCACAGGGGTGGAAGAGTCTGAACGCGCACCACAGTTATCGTCCGGTCAGTCAACATGAAAATCCATGGGAGGAACGGCCGTGCCAACAGTTCCGATTGCGTTGCTGCAGTTCATGGGTTGGTGATAGCAGACTTGGTTTGGTTGGTCGATGGCTTGCGGCAGCCACGCGGGAAACGCCCTTTTTCGCTGGGGTTGCTTTTTCCTCAGTTGGATGTCATTTCGGGCTCGGGTTTCGGCCAGCCAGCCACCGACGTTCATGAACTCCTAGAGGTCCAACACAAGCAGGCTCCTTGAGTTGACGGCTGGTTTGGGAGTACTCCATACAGAGTACAGAGTCACCATGATAGCAGCTGGTTAAGCCTTCTCGGTGACATGAAGCTCGTTTGCTTGCTTGAATCTATGAAAAGCTGGTCAAGAGATCTCTCGGGCGTGAAGCTGCAAAAGAAACGACAGCAGCATGTTTCGAAACAACAATATCCGCTAGTTAGTCGGAGTTCGAGCTCACGAGATGCATGCTGGTGTTGACTCCTTGAAACCCGAACCAATCGGGTACACAACATATGTATCGTCGTTATCGTGTCCAGGTTGTGTTTGTGTGTTGCTGATGAGGCTGCACCAAACCAGATAACTAGTTAGTTAGTTATCGAGCACGGAAGGGAATAACCATCTACGAAGACAGTGCCTCTGTAATTAGGGAGGGGCTAATGGCTTTTTATCAAGCGCTGTCATACTTTTCTGATAACCAAGCATTCCTCCATTGCAAGGCTGAGCTGAAGCTGAAGAAACCCTAGGATAATAATAGTGCACGCCTTTAACTCGCGAAAGTGGCTATCGCAAAGCTGCGGTCTCGTTGGTTAAACGCAGATCTCCCTCGACATCGCATGAGAATACTCCTACTCTCAACTTTTTACCGTCTGTTAACATAATTCGGTTGTGTTTGACCTTGATGTTATTCGGTACACAAGATACTGGGCCTTAGACTTATATTTCACATCTGATCTGGGCTTCTTTCTAGATATTCACAGGCCTTTGGGCGCAATTGGCTTCTATGAGTCCAACAGCGGTTAATGAACTTCCCAAGGAATACTCCATCTCTTGCAGGTTGCTTTATATATGTTAAAAGCATACGAGTTCAACTTGTTGTAATGTTGTCGTTTTGACCTCAGCAGCAGCAACGAAAATACTCCATGCAAAAACAGGATACGAACGATCGTTCCATATGAAGAAGGCAAACGGGAAATTTCTGATTTTGCTACGACGATTACCGTCCGTCCTACATCTGGCCAATCTCGTATTAAACATGGATTTCAAGAAGAGTTCATTTGATTCCAACGCTCACTGGTCAAAGTAATCGATAAATAAGGAGCCGTATCCATCACGAGGAAATCATCAAAAAGGACAAACCCTTAGCACTTCGTTCCCACCATCCTTGATATTAACAGTATTGCTGGGCGCATCGTGGCGCATCATCACACCCCTTCGAACGGCGTCACGAGAATGCTGTCAAGTCTCTCATCGCATTGCATGGCGGGCCCTGCCGCACCACATGGCGTCGCCGCAGCGACGTCTTCTCGTTCCCCTTCACTATCGCTTCTTGCGCCCAGGTTCCTGTCTTGACGTCACCATCAAAGAATTTTCGAAGAGGCTCGGCGAACGCGATTACTTGGACCGAAACGCCTCGGTGTTTGCCGCCGGAGCGCAGAGATTTTCCCCCTGGGTTTTATGTCCGCATCTCCACTCGCAGTTTGCTGTTACTCCAAAGGCTCGCATTCTTTTTATGCAGTGGTACCTCGGCCATTGCTTCGGCAATTGTCATTGGTGGAAACAGAATGTAACGTGACACTCACCGCTAGCCTTTTCCTATGACGTAATATACCTGCTGAGCGCTCATTGGATGGAAGTGGAACAAAGCTTTTTCCGAGTCCGAGCTCACGGGTGCCAAGCAAGCCAAGACGACGAAGGAAGCTTACTAAGCACTCTCCTTTGACGTCCAAGAAAAAGCAAAGCAAAAGTGACAAGCGACAAGCCAAACTGCATATGTACTTGCATGCAGAGGAGGGAGCTCTGGCGAGTGTGAGGACGACATGGACGGAGAGCGAAGAAGGGTATAGGAGCTTATAGCACACGGGGTGGCTCAAGCAGGTGCAGACCAGGCAGGGAAGAAATCTTCTTTTTGAAGGAATATGGCCCAGCAAGAGATCGCCACTTCCTTACACCCTACCTTAATGTATGATATGTTAGTATAGTGAGAACAAGCCCTTGGTTAGTTATGGTGGGAGAGGATTCCCGTGATTTTCAGGATTCCAAAATTCAAATTCCCCATCTTTATGCCTGACCACCAGGGAAGAACCGAACCTTCGTGTTAATGTTGCCTGAGTCTAGCAGCCATCGCCCTTTTGTTCCTGTTCGAGAGCCTGCAGCAAGGGCATCACGGTCAGCTCCTCCGAGCTGATACATACCTTGTTGCTGGGGATCCATATACGAGCACTGCTCTCCTCTCCTATGACATAATAGTGAGATTGAAAACGGAGAGACGCACTAGCATCAAGAGATCTCCACCTCCCTCTCCCATGCACCGTCTGCACAGCCAATAACCTTGACTGGATCCGCCCATCTGAACCCGCACTCGTGCTCTCCTCCCATGGCACCACCCCATTGCTTTTTTCGCCTCTTAATTTAAGCCCGGGTCTGATTCGTGAAACACGCATATATAACAATCAGCGTCACCATGCCTCTGCCTTTATAGAGGCTCACTTCTCTTCCATCCACCGAGCACGACCCTCTCTTTGGCTCGCCCTTTAGAACTGTGCACACAGCCTTCTTCACTTTTCGGAGAAGGCAGGCGGCGAATACACGGCACGTTACCATTTTGATACAACTATATGTGGAGGAGAGGTTCGTCGACCAGCGGATTTACAGACTTTTTTGGAGATACAACTAGTTGGATTAACTACTCTTCGGAACTCTTTCCCTCGTTCACTCTTCCTCCCAATTGCCATTATCAGCTGGCTTATCGTCCCAAGTACAATTTCACCGTCATTCCCCGGAATATCTGCCCACATCCCCACCGTATATCAACAGCCGGTTCTAGCTATACCCGTCATAGCAGCCCAAACGCAACCTCTTCATGAAATTCGCCATTTACCAGTAGCCATATACTGAATTGACGAAAGCAACAACCAACCTTCAATCTGTCCCGAACAATTGATTACTGTGCCCAAACGCCAAGTTCCGCAATTCCCCATCTGCCCCAAAGCAGCAGTAATTGCCCACCATGCCGTTTGTGAACCCTTTCGCGAAGGAGCAAAAGTCCTTCCCTGGGGTCCTAATACCACTGTCCGGTGGTTCGCCAACAAGTAAAATCCCAGCAAAAAAGAAATCTGTAGGCGGCACTTTTGATGAAGAGGGTGCTGCCAGCCCTCCACCGGAATATGAGACCGAATTAACCCTTGAAGCTCTGAGAGCTGAAGTTGAGGCTGCTGTTGTATCCACCGGTCAGGATACCGCATACGACAGTACGTTATAATTGTTTTGAGATTTTATTTATACTCTTTTAACTATACAGGCTGGACGCAAGAAACGCCAAATATCACCCCCTTCCCCTTCTGGCTTGGCCAATCCAGTGGATTATATACCACTGTAGTATTCAAAGAAACGGGTCTAATCGAATATGTGTTTTATTAGGAAAGTCCATGGTCATTAACAGAGCAGTTCAAGATATTGGAATGGGCCGCTACCAATGGCAACTGTTTGTCTTGTGTGGATTTGGCTGGTTCGCAGACAAGTACGTCCTTTTCTAAGTCACCTTATTAACCGCGTTTTGCCCTCGGAAACTAACATGGTATTCTTTACAGTCTATGGCTTCAAGTGAGTAACTCAATGTTACCGTACATTTGAAGGATTTGCTAGTTAACATGTTCCCTTTTTAGGGTGTTGCTCTCACACTACCGAAACTATCTCTTGAATTCGGCGTTAGCGACTCCCATGTTCGATTCACTACCTGTGCTTTGTTTATCGGCCTTTGCCTAGGATCCGTCTTCTGGGGAACTGCTTCCGACATCATCGGTCGTCGTCTTGCTTTCAATATGACTCTATTCCTATGCGGTGTTTTCGGAATAGCAGTCGGTGGTAGCCCAACGTGGATCGGGTATGTATAGCCTTCATGATTTTTATATACATCTAGCGCATGGCCCACAAGTCCTCCTGTGCAGTTGCTAACATGCTTTGATTCTAGTGTTTGTGCTATGTTTGCCTGTCTCGGCCTAGGCGTTGGTGGAAACCTACCTGTTGATGGCGCATTGTTCCTCGAGTTTCTTCCCTTTGCATCTGGAAACCTCCTGACAATGCTTAGTGTATGGTGGCCTGTGGGTCAACTGGTTGCTAGGTTAGTATAGGAATCCCCTACACTTGTGTTCGTCTTTTATTCTAATATTATTTCGCTTCAGTCTTATCGCATGGGGTCTTGTACCAAAGTATACTTGTGCTGAGGGTCTACCTTCATGCCATCTTGCTCCTGCTCCATGCTGTGCTAAGGAAGACAACATGGGATGGCGATACTTCACCTATATCCTTGGAGTTCTCACATTCCTCATGTTCTTGTCTCGTTTCTTCCTATTCCACCTCTATGAGTCTCCCAAGTTCCTCCTTTCTCGTGGACGTCAGGAAGACGCCGTCGCCGCCGTACACGGCATTGCACATAAGAATGGAGCAAAAACTTGGCTTACCGTTGACATTCTCAACGAGATTGGAGGACACCCCGATGAAGTACAAAGCCAAAAGCTGAGCACTACTGAGATTATCAAGAGACAATTAAACAAGTTCTCTGGAGAGCGTATCGCACCACTCTTCGCAACCAAGAGACTTGGATTGACCAGTACGTATTCCAAGCTACCCTTTGATTAAGAATTTCCCAGAAATTAATAGTGTTTTAGCTGTCCTTCTTTGGTTCTGCTGGGCAACCATCGGAATGGGTTATCCTCTTTTCAACGCTTTCTTGCCACAGTACCTTTCTCAGGGCGGTGGTGACAAGTACCCACCCCCAACCACCTATACCGGTAAGTTCGCTACATATACTTGCTTTAACCTTCTCTAGCTAATAAGAAAATTAAAGTTTACCGTGACTATGCCATTACTTCTATTGTCGGTGTTCCTGGATCTCTGATTGCCTGCTACACAGTCGACATTCCTTATATTGGACGTAAGGGTACCATGGCCATTTCCACCCTGATCACTGGAATTATTCTTTTCTGCTTCACTATTTCGCCGGATCCAAAAATCCGCCTGGCTTGCACCTGTCTCGAGGCCTTCTTCCAAAATATCATGTACGGTGTTCTATACGCCTACACCCCCGAGGTTTTCCCAGCACCCAACCGTGGTACTGGAACTGGTATTGCCAGCTGCCTCAACCGTATTTGCGGCCTGCTAGCACCTATTGTTGCCATCTACGGCGGTGACACAAACCCTAAGGCACCTGTGTATGCCTCCGGTGGCCTAATGTTGGCTGCATTTGCTGCCATGGTACTGCTTCCAATCGAGACCAGAGGCAAGGCATCCCTCTAAAGACGCTGTGCGTTGAGTACCGTTATCTGGATGACCATATTTTGTTTGTTCTTAATTGCAGAAGTATAGAACGAGATAGAAGAGAGAGAAACGACGCGCCAGACAGAAAGTCTGATTGCGGATATTGCGAGCGAAACGATTTGTCTTTTATGATTCATGTTTATGTTCATGCCCGTTTCTTACTATACCCAACTGGAAGGTAGCCTGTTTTGCTTTTAATGAATAACAAGAACCGAATTCGTCTATATCTTCTCTTATCTATACTATATAATCTAATGTACTCTCCTAGAACTGAGTCTGTATTAAGTCAATCGCACACCTCGTTTTTCCGCAGCCTGTCTCAGTTTAGTAGTTAATTGTAGAATTCGAGTAAGCGGAATTAGTGTAATCAAACCATGTCGTTTACGTATATCTCTCCACGGAGAGGTTTCGTCGGCCGAGCCCTCGAGACTCTGATTATATCAAACGCGACCTAAACATAAGTAGACCCTTTGAATTGCTCTCCCAATGCGCCCCTATCTATTATTCCGGTGGGAAGGAAAACACAGCAACTTGAATAGAGTACAAACAATCTGTATACACAGTTCCTATTTCCTCCGAGCAAACGGTAGAGTAGGAGTGATAGTATGGTTTTTTTTGAAAAGCCATATCAATTGTATGTACGGAATATTTTCAATGTCTAGTGCTGGGAAGGTTGTGGGTTTTGGGTTGTAATTGAGTGAATCCATAACATAACATGAGATGACATCATGAAAACAGAAAAGTGAAAAAGGGCATTAAAACGGTCATTGCTGGACATGCACACATAAGGAAAAAGAGGGCGAGGAAAGTGACAGCAAGACGCAGGGCAGAGGATCGACTGACGAGAGAGTGGGGAGGTAGGAGATTGGGAGGTAATATAGATAGCTCTGCTCTGAGTTGGTGCTAGTGGGAATTAAGATACGGGCTGTCCTGCCATCCTCCTCCCTCTCCTTCCTAGTAATGTGGCATTATCTAGGCTGAGTTCGAATGGCTGTTGCGCGGACCGAGCTGCGTTTTCTCTAGCGGCGGCGGCTACGGCTGCACTGTGTTGGCCATAGCCTCCTTGCTGGTATTGTTGCCGGCCTCGCTGTTGTGGTTGCCTGGCAGCAGTTGCACCAGCCGCACGACGGGCTTGAGCGGCTGCGCTCATCTGCTGTGCTTGCTGGCCTGTACTGATATTGGTACCTCGTAACTTGCTCTCGACGGCAGCCACGTCGGGGTTATACCCCATATGTGGTTGCCGCTGCTGGCCTCCCTGAGCCTTGTTGTAAGGCATGGCTGGAATGGGGTTGCCTCCTTGGTCGTAGTAATGCATTTCACCTTGTAATTCAGAGTCTTCACCACTATACTCTTGTTGCTCGGCGGGCTCCACTTCGCTGAGGGGATCAAGGGCTGCACCTCGATATCCGACTTTAAAGCCAGCTTTGCGGCGTTTGGCCTCTTCCTCTTGTCTGTGAACAGCATAACCGACATCAAAGACCTCACGCAAGTTCATTGCGCCAGGAGAGCGGAAGTCAGCGCGGCGAGCATTGGGGTCAATGCCAGCAAGCGGCGCTTCAAGGATCTTGTTATGAGTGACAAGAGGGGTAGCAAGTGGTGGGGCATCATCGGCGGCAGTGGTCTCTTCGTCCGTTTCTCTAATCCAAGGGTGTGCAAGGAACTCTTTTATAGTATAACGCTTGTCGGGGTCAACGGTGAGGAGGTGTGAAACCAAGTCCTGTGCGGGCTTGGAGATGTCGTCCCACCAAGGAGAAAGGAACGTGTATTGTCCACGCGCAACCTTTTCCGTCAGAGCTTGGATGGATTCGTCGTAAAAGGGAGGGAAGCCACATAGTAGGGTGTAGAGCACACATCCCAACGCCCACATGTCGACCGATTTAGAGTAGCGCTCATCTTTGACGATTTCTGGGGCTGTATAGCCGACGGTACCGCAAGGAGTCATCGTTTCACTATCCCAGATGACCTTTGATAGGCCAAAGTCTGCAACTTTGATCACTCCGATACCACCAGAGCCAACACCGGGAATAAATTCACCTTCATCAACCTTGTCTTCATCACCTGGAGCTGGTGGCTTGGGGTTTCTGGTGGGAGTGAATGGTGCTGGATAGAAGAGCAAGTTTTCCGGTTTTATGTCACTTTTTCAAAACAAATTAGCGTCCCATGCATCAACCAAACCAGCAAGAAAATATCATGAGGGGTTTGGTGATATATCTAACCGATGAACAACACCAGATTCCTCGTGTAGATATTCTATCGCTTTTGCCACCTGCACGATAACATGGCGGGCCAGGTTTTCACTGAAGTACGTCAAACGAACGATCTGGTGGAACAACTCTCCCCCGGGACATAGCTCGAGAACGATGTAGTAGAATTGGGGCGATTCCGAGAATTCTATCAGCTTGACTATGTTTGGATGGTCAAGTTGGCGCATTATTTGAACTTCTTTCAGGATGCTCGCTCGCTATGAAAAGAGTTAGTATAACTAGGTCGACAGCATTCCAGTGGCCTGAGGGCATATGGAGGGGTTTTCTCACCTCCACCTGCTTCTTCTTGATGCTCGGGTGAAGGTGATCAATGCCCTAAGAGGAGACCCCCAAAGGCACACCGGTTGGCAAAGAACGAAGAGAACAAGAAAAGAAAAAAAAAAACTCATGGAAGCCAGTGTAATGGGATTGGGTATTGTTTTTTATTTTTGTTTGTTTGTTTGGCCTGGCCCGCAACGCGGCATCCCGAACATACCTGTTTGGAGCTCATTTCGAATTTCCTGACGACCTTGATGGCAACCTCTCCCGACTGTCCCGACTTGTACCGCGCGCGGTAGACGTTACTGAAGGCGCCATCGCCCATCTTCTCAACGAGCATGTATCGTTCCAGGCCAGGGTAGGTGGGCAGCTTGGAGCGGTTGAGCTTCTCCTCCGCGATGATCTGCTCGATCTCCTGCTCGTGGGCTCTGGCCTGGTTCTTTGCAGTAGCGGCCGCGGCGGCCTTGTTCGAGCGTTGATGCTGGTCGATGGCATCGAGGGTACCGGTCGCCATGCCGGGCTGGTACTGCGGCTGCTGTTTCCGTTGAGGTTCTGCGTGGACGGCTGTGACGTTGGTAGTGGGCTCACCATGGGCAACAGACATACGGGCCTGTTTCCCATGGCGGATGAAGTTCTTGAGGTTTTGTATTGTGCTCATGACGACGGGATGTGCTTTTTTCTTTCTTTCTTTTTTCTTCGGTCGTCCCCTTGAGAAAGGGAGTGCAGGGAAGGGGGGAGGGCTGGTGATGGGGGAGGGGCGGGTAGTACGGCGCGGCTGCTACAGCCAGACCTAGTATTTTTTTTCTTTTCTTTTCTTCTTTCTTTTGGTTTTGGGGGGAGGGAGGGGAGGAGTTTTAGGGTGGAGGGAGGGCTGCAGAGGAAAGGGAAGGCCGGTTCTGGGGACCGCGAGTTTGCCTGGCCCCTTGTGACGGTTCCGTGTCTCTCGAGCGACTGTTAGTGACTGTCTGGCTGATGATCTCCTGTGACTTTTGATGCAGGCGGGAGATAAGCGAGTGACGGGGCGAGGAGCCTATTGTTATATAAGGAGCCGAAAGGGCAGCGGAGGCAGCGAGATCTGGGATGTTGACGTCAGTTAAGTGGACACCCTTTGATACTTGAGTTACTTGACTAACAACTAGTGCGCGCAGGGCATGGACGGACGAGCCTTGGTGCTCATCTCATCTCCCCCGTCGCTGCTGCAGGGCCGCCCTGTGGCTTCTCCGTGGCCTCCTCGGCCGCCTCGATCGTCTCGGTTGCTCGCCGCCGCGTCCTAACCTGCCCTTTCGTCTTTTGTCTCTTGTCTTTGGTCTCTATCTATCGCTATCTCGTCGTCTTCATCGTCGTCTTTATTGTCGCTTTTTGTCCCTTTTTGTCGCTCTTTGTGGCTTGATGTCCTTTTTTTCCTCTTTGGGACGAAAATCACGTGAACGTAGTTTTGCATTAGTAATCGTGGCTAGTTGTCTGACTAAGCTTAATGACTAAGTAGATTACTAATCAGGTACGTTCCTGGGCCCAAAAGGGAAACTCACGACTTCGTCTTTTCCAACGTCAAAACATCAAGAGATCAACCAGGCGGAAAGGCGAGAGCAGGAAGGGAGAAAAAGAAAACAGCAGAGACGAAAGCGACAGAGAGGCGGCCGCAGGATATACACAGAGCAAGGCCACGGAGCAGGCACAGATACAGGAGAACCCGGTGACACGGCATAAGCAGGAAAGATAAGCAGCAGGGAGAAGAGGGAGGCTAATCCCCATTGCTTGCTTTTCACCCTTCCATCCTCCTCCTCCTCCTCCTCTCTAGATGCCAGGAAGAATGTATTAGCTCAGGAGGAGAACTGGGAATACGTTGAACCAGCACGGAATACGGAGTACGCGAAGACGAGAGGTTGAAGGCTGGGGTGACGACCGGAGAAGAGGGACGCGCGGGTGCTTATCCTGAGACGGGCGCATATATTAGTGCCAGGGTTGAAGCTCCCTCCTACCACCCCCCGAAGACAAGCACTTGCCCACCCTCTTTTTTTCTGAGCCAGTTCGCATGTCCTGACGCTCGCTATTCGATATCTCACCTTTTTGCCTACCGACTTTCGCCTCGGCAACACTGGATTACTTGGTGCCAGTCGCTCCTTAGGTGCCATCCCACGCGCTCCTTCAGTATCACCACTTGTTCAGCATATTGACGGCGATACCTTCAACCATATCGAGATCCTGTCGTCTATTGGTCCGCTCTCCTGTCAAACTCTCCGTGTTTCCGAAAGCATAGCATACCATAGCACGTCGGTGTGCTGGCGTGCTGGTTCAGGTCAGCACTACTCCGTGATGAAACGGAACCTCCACGCTCCTTACTCGGCTCGAATTTGACGACGATAAAACTGTGGCATGTTCTTAGGGGAGACTTGAGTTATTGATAAGGACATTGTCTCTCGTAATAATGGCGGCCGAAACCGACATTATCCAGGGGCGCGAGAGCAGTGACAAACCTCTGTTGAAATCTCACAAAGTTTTACCGCGGCGATATGATCTTGTCAACGCAGATTCTCCGGTGTTCTTTGATAATGCTGATGATACTGGTGATAACAAAATAATGGGCCCGTCTACTCTCCTGCGCGTACGCTTCCCTTAACTCCACCTGCCATAACCGTCGAAGACCAGAAAATTTCCCAAGACCAAGGCTCTGAAACTTGTCTCGACCCGCAAAACACCATAACACCTTCAAACGGTGTAAACCCGCTCACCCCGGACATCACCCCTCCTCGCGTCACCTCTCGCTCTAAGAAACGAGACGGGCAGAGCCAGCGTGTCACCTCCTCATCTTCAAGAACTACCTCCTTCGCGACAGCCAGAGAGTCACTATCGTCCGATGAGGAGGCTGAAAAGACCAAATCCACTCCTCTGTTACCCTGCAAGCATAGACTGCCACACCCATCGCGCAACCCAGCTGTTAGCCATAAGACTAGTGATGAGACACACTCGGACAGCACTGCGCAGGAGCCCAAACAGGTCCGCCAGCTGTTCGATACAAACGAACTACAAGTACGCAAACGTGGCGAAAAAAGAGCCTCATCTTCCTTAGGCCGCGTCCAGTCCGCTAACCAAGGGTATTCCCCTTCCCATACTCGTCATGGGAGCCTCCGGGAACGAGCCTGGAACGAAAATGGCACTGGCTCATCGACCTCAGTTGAAGCCTTCGCCGCTAGCATCGGCTGGCCAAGTGAAAGCGGCATGGAAACCAATGACTCAGGGCACGTACGCTGTATTTCAACCGCATCAACCACTACTATTGAAGCCGTTGTGATCGATTCTCCGCCGCAAAAGAAGAGGACTCTTCGGCATACTGAGAAGAATGGCTCCCTTCGATCTATCAGCACGCCAACACCCAGCCCACAGTCTATATCCAAGCCGTTGCAGCCGCATCCGCAGCTGCAGCCCCAACAACAAGGACAACCGCGTCTAACTCACAAACGAACTCGGATCACAGACGAAAATCGTCGGAGTGTTGCATCTGACTTGTCGGTTACTACGACAGGCACAGCTATAACTTTTACGAGACCAAAGAAAGTCGAAGATGTCATTCGCGTGGTGGTTATCCCTCAGCGTCGGTCGTCTCTTAAGACTCCCGCACCTCCTAGACCGGTCCTACGCTCCTTGCCTCCAAGCCACCGCAGGCCTTCTACTGCACCAGATTCCGGCGTAGAATCATCTCGCAGTTCACGCAGGCATAGGCGTACTATGTCGGAGTCTATAGCCTCAACCTCTAGTGTTCCTAGTGCCTTCAAGCCAAAAATTCCTACACGGCGGTCTTCTCTATCTGCACCTACGAGTAGGAATACATCTCGAGCAGGCTCGATTTCCGGTGAGAGTTCTCGGATGCTCGTTAGCGCGCCTGGTTCTGCAAAGAAAGATCGCCTCGACTCCAAGCCTCTACCACAACCCCCTTCAGAGCTTGTTAACCTGCCTCCTAAAAAGCAAGCGCCTGAACCTACCGGTATTCTCCCGGATCTCGTTCCAAGCCACTTCGCCTGTCTACAACTTCCATGCCCACCCCACAAATAGTCCTTCCTCCAGATTCGCCTGTGCGTGACCGCGAGGGCTCCACCCGTCAGCCATCTCCACCTCCTGGATCTTTGACGCAATTTCAACACTCTATCGAGTCCCTGTCCTGTTCCCCTGGGCCTGTTGAAATAAGCCAGGCAACGGCAGTCCCTTTCTTTGCCCATAATAATAAGTCCCTGCTGGTTGTTGAACACCCGCTTTGTGAAGCTCGCCCCAGGCCACCTGTGATTTCTCTAGACCATGTTGAATCTCCCCTTAGATACCCCCGCGCTGCACCAAAACCTCCAGGCTCGGATACGCAAAATGCCCCATATATCCCGCTAAAGCGTTCGAACACGGTGCCGTCGAGACCCCGACCTCCACTTCCAATGCAAACAGATAGCAGCAGCAATGGTACTGGGGCTGGTATTGTCCGTCGTCTCAGCTCGGTTCGTCGGAGGTTCAGTTCCTCTCATCGAGCTTCGACAGCAGATTCCATACCTCCTACTGATGCTGCAAAGGATATTCTAGGTACGACACATCGTGTACGCAACAGGACAGCGGGCAAGAAACTGGATAACAAGATGTATCCGTTCTGGCGTCCGTATGGGTTTTGGCAAGATTACGACGATGAAGGCAACTCCAGTAACAGACGCAGCAGTGTTATCTCAAGTAAATTGCTTCCCAAAACTACGACCACAATCACAGCCGGAAATGACTCACCTTCCAGTGGATACGAGAGTGGGCAATATGTTAGCAATACACTTGGAATTCCCCAGAACCGCACGCCATTCCAAGGTCCTATCTCCATGATCCGGCGTGTCTCGCAGCGTTCTCGCTCTCGGCTCAAGTCCAGCCGCGTCGTGAAGTCGCCATCCACCAAAACTAATTTGTCTTTGGCCTCCTCTGAATACCGTCGAGGAAAACGTGTCCGTTCTTTCCGTCCTCTGCATGAAGTACATGACTGGATTACCCGTACCCGCCAACGCCGTGAACAAGAGAAACTTGAGGCCCGCCGGGAGAAACTGCGCCGAGCCATCGGAGGGAACGTCATTGTCGACTACTCCAGCGTCGCCTCGACGATGGACCCAGAGAGCGTCTTTGCTTCGTCTCGAAGGGAGAGAGAAGCCAAATAAGCCCTTGCATCATCCGTAAAGCCTGTTATGCCAACTGAATGAATTATGATACCACGAATGAACTGTAAAGAGTAAGATGAGAATGCCGGTGCCAACACCACTTTATACCAACATTTGCTTTTATAATGATGCATTTTTCGCTTTGATAACGACAGTGACGACGTTCGATTCCCTCCCGTTTGCATTATGATGATGATTGATGACGAAAATGACATAATTTTGACCCTGATTTTCCCACCAGCCCCTTTTTTTGATGTTGATATGTATCTGGTTTGCTTTTAATGTTTCAAAGGCACCTTTCTATTTCTCTGAGCTCGTGGTCTTTGCTGCCTCTTCACTTCCCCCATACATATAACATACTTGAGTAGCCGATTTGAATTTAATAGAGCTCATTTCTATCAATTTTCTCCGTCTTTTTTTGTGTGTGCGGTGTCAGGCCCTGATCCCCGTAGTTTCAGCATACGATCTCGCAGACCAGGGTCAAGAAACGGCTGCGGGGTTTGCGAGGCATCGAACTCCGTCGTCAATACTTCTTTTTCAATATTTGACGTCGAACTGGTTGAGGTGGACGTAGAGAGCATCTGGATATATGCTGGCTGCCGTGATGGATGCAGACAGCGAGGCGTCGACCGCCTCTTCAGCGCGATGGGCTTCCCCTTGGATGCCATCGTCTCTTCCTCTCTTCGTCTCTTCGTCCCCCCGTCTTCTTCAGGTCCTTGGTTCTTCTTCTTCCCCTTCCTATCTCTATGATGTTGGCTGCTTCTCTCTCTCAACTCGAGCCTCGTCGTCGTCGTCTTCGTCTCGTATAAAATGCCGTGTCATGTGACCCTCGCCTGGCCGCGAGCAAAACCACCGACAAAGACGAGATTCCGACTCATCCAGCGAAACAAGCGCTTCGTCTCCAAGCGAAAAGCCCTCGGACGACCTCTTAAACTGCGCCTATTTGCAAGCCACCGAACCTGTGTCGCCTGCTACCCTGCCATTGCCCGCCCACCACGCCGCTGTCCCACACACTTTTCGCCCCGTCTTCAACGCCTTGTACATATTTCGCATTCCCACGGCGAAATCGAGAATCAAAAACCTAAAGAAAAGAAGCAAAAAGCCTGCGCGGCCGCGGGATCAACCCGGCGGGGCTGGAGGGTTCTTTTCGACTGGGATGGTTATAGCTGTTTCGGAGGCAGCTTGCCAGCAGCGCACCCACAGCTAGTTTGATAGAGCAAGATACCTGGAGCCGCGAGTGGGGGTGATGTCGCCAGGTGGTGGACTGCGCTCCCGTGCTGCAGAGAGAGGAAAGAGTAACAGCGGAGACGAGGGAGATAGCGACGATGGTAGGGCTAGGAGGCCGTCGCTGAAAAGCCTGGGTGGAGGGAGACAGAAGAGGCCTGCGGCCGGTGGTGCGCAGAGCAGCTCGCCGCAGAGTGCGACTGGGGATGGAGATGAAGACGAGAAGAGGAGGCACCCTGTGAAGAGAGCTTGCAATGAGTGCCGGCAGCAGAAGGTGAGCGCCCTGTGTATGTATCAGATTACGACTCGATGCTGATGAGATCGTCACGTAGCTCCGCTGTGATGTTGTTCAGGACCCTTTTACGACCTGCACTCGCTGCCACCGGCTAAAGCTGCCATGTAAGATCGAAGCGAACTTCAGACGAATTGGCAAACGCAGCCGTAATGCGGAAATGGAGCGGGAAATTATAGAACTGCGGAGACAGGTCGTCAATGCCAATGCCAATGTGCAATTCCTGGCCCAGCAGCAGCAACAACACCAACAACACCAACAGCAGCAGCATCACCTAAACATCCCTGCGGCTGGCCATCTTTCGGCACCACCTTCCATGCCTTATACCCCATCGACAAGCTCAATGCGTCCTCAACAAGGGGATCAGGCCTCAGCAGACTACATGAAGCCACATGAAGCTGTTGCATCGTTGTTAGACCTCAAGTCCGGCGGTGACCATCTACGAAGCCCGCCAAACCAGATAATGGACGTGAAACGACTGGAAGATGTGACCATTCATTCAGATCGGATTGCAGAGCTTTTCACCAGGTTCTTTACATACTATCACCCTTTTCTTCCCTTGCTTGAGACTCAAAAGACCCCAGACGAATACTATGATACCTCTCCACTCCTTTTTTGGACCATCCTAGCAGTTGCTTCCCGTCGATATCAGACAGATTCTTCTCTTTTAAATGCTTTGTCTGGTCCCGTCATGCGGTTGGTATGGAGCACCCTTGCAGATGTCCCACAGAGCTATCATGTTGTCAAGGCTCTAGCTTTACTTTGCACCTGGCCGTTCCCTACTAGTAGTACCTCCACCGACCCTACTTTTATGCTATGTGGCATGATGCAGCAAATAGCACTCCAAATTGGTCTACATAGGCCGTCTCATGCCCAGGATTTCTCCAAGTATAGAGTGGAGTTGAGAGAAGGCGAACTAAACGATAGGGTTACGACATGGGCATTTTGTAATATTGTTGCTCAGCGGTATGTTACTTCTCACTACTTCCGCATATTTTGCCCCTATTCTAATAATTGCTTCTAGAGTTGCAACTGGGTACGGACAGCCATCGTCAACCTTGTTTGATTGTACCCTTTCTTCCAAAGAGGCTGATTTGCGCCTTCCACCGGAGGTCAGGGTGCGGTTACAGATTGAAAAGTTCTGTGATAAAATCTCACAAACATTATACAGTAACCACAGGGATCCAGTAGGTGTATTAAGTGATAAAGAGCGCAACGTCATGGCATCAGTACTATTCAAAGATTTTGAAGACCTAGAGGGTCAGGTCCGAGCAGAGACAAACTGTACGTCCTCATGCATTCATATAGGAAACCACCGAGCTAACTGGCAGTAGCCATAACGAAAGTCTACTTACGTGCCGCCGGCCTACATCTCCATCTCTCTATTTTCTTTGAAAATCCAACCACTAAGGACTACCGCCAAGGCCTATCAGCTCTATACCTTGCAACAACAGCATTTCTTGAGGAAGCCTTCGGCCTTGAAACATCCACGGGACCAGTCCTATCATACTGCTCCAATTACATATACCAGATGACCCTTGCCGCAGGATTCAGCCTTTTCAAGCTGTGCAACAGCTTTTTTGCCGTCCATATCGATATGAGCTACACAAAGTCTCTTTTTAGTCGTACTATATCAGCCCTTCGTCACATATCCGTAACGAACAACGACCTTCCACAACGATTAGCAGAGGTTCTAGCTCAAATGTGGCGAATGAACGGTGTTGGTAGCCGAACGAATCAACAGTCTCAGTGCCAAAGACAGCCGGGTGAACCCAGCTCATCGGATACCGGAGACTCGCTGATGTTAAAGGTTCGCTGTAGAATGAGTATGTCACTTGTCTTCGACTCCGTTTGGCGATGGCGAGAGGATTTCCAGGCCAGGGGAAGGAATTTCGAAAGTAAGACCCTCTATATACCATGACCATTTTTACTCAGTACATGCGCATTAACCTAACTGTCTCAACAGCGTATCTCAAAAATCCAACAAATCCAGACTCTGGAGCTGACTCCTCCGCCTCGTGTTCCTCCACTGCTCCCATCCGTACATCGACATCTACTCCTGTACCACCGGGGCCTGAAGGCGTAAGTGCAGCCTCAACAGCTGATCCTACCCTTACCTCCCCAGCCTTGACAGCTGCACCCGTAACTACGGGCCCTGAATCTTCTCCGGGTCCAGCCTTGGGCGGCTTCAACTCGTCCTCCATTTCCAGTGGTTTCCTGGAACCGAATTATGAAGTGTTCGATCCTTTGAACTGGATGCTTGACGGCCTTGTAGACTTTCCTTATTTATATCCCGGTGTTCAAGGCCTGGAGGTATAGGCAGGGAGCATACATCCATTCGTCAGGGGCTACTCCTGGTTTTTCATTTTCTAGTTTTTATGGGGATATTTATTTCATCTGTACATGATACCCGTATGCCCGGGGAACAATTTCGGCCGGATTTGGAGCTTTTTACTTCTATCAGGAAGTTTAATGATAATGGGGAATATGACGCTTCTTGCTTACGACGGAGAGGAGTATATAATGGCTTCTGAAATGGCGTTAATGCGTATACTATCACATATATTACCATAAATTGACCCTTTTTGTGCTCAAAGCCAATGACTCCCTAAGGTTGTGGAATTCCAGCCTGCGTCTAATATGAAGCTACAAGGCCTACTCTCTGTGTCTTAGCAGGGTATTTGTATACCTAGGTAGTCAGCGGGCTAAGCGATTATCAAGATCTTCCACCACCACATCTTTCATGGCCACTGATAACGTCAGTAACAAATACGCAGAGCTGATTGTAGTATCATAACCACCAGTGAGGTAACTACGAGGAATGGGAGACGGTGTAGACGATAATTTAAAGTAGATAGTCATTAGATCTTCCATTTTAGATCTTTCAAAGCATGCGTTTATCTGTATGTTGTGGCTCTGGGTCCCATCAACAGCGTGAATGGGAGCTGCCAAGAGCATCATCAAAGAAAAGAACCACGAGAGCCAACCCAAGTAAGTGTTAAAAATGTGGGAATAACAAAGGGTAACTAGTCGGCTAATATTGATAGGGGCTCCAGGTGTAAACAAAAAATTGATGCCCAGCAACAGTAATAATATCAAAATCAAATAGCCATACAAATCTCAAATTACATCAAGAGGGTATTACATTACTGCGCACTTTGAATCTTTGTTCTTCTTCTTTTCACCTTTCAGCTTAGTCCATTGCTCTTTCCAGTCTTCTGACCGTGCAGTAGAATTTAGTCGAATGTCGGACTGAGACGTTAGGATGTTGCGTCCGGTGCGTTTGTCAAAGAGTCCTCCCCCCGTGTTTAGACGACGCCGAGGCACATCCTGAGAACGAGACCGGGACCTTTGAACACCAGAGTTTGAGTTGTCGGAGGACCTGTAATTGGTGGAGAGCCAGCGGCCACTACGCGACTGAGGGTCTCCTTGGGGTTGTTCAGGAAGTGAGCTCGATCCGGATATCTGGCGTTGAACAGGCAAAGTGGGAACATTTGGTAAGGGGTCTTCAGGGTGCGGAGCGTGTGCTATCGAAGCTGCGTTTGGTGAAGGTATATAGGGAGGCCGCTGCAATGCATCTAGTTGAGCTGGCTGTCCCCCTGGTCTGCCCGGCTGTAATTGACTCGGAGTGGCTGTAGCCAAGTGTGGTGGGTAGCCCTGATTCCCTATAACTTGGAATGGCGGGTTGGGCGGTGCACCATGGCCATGCAAGGGAGTGAAACTGGCTGGTGTCGAGGTTATGGGGTGTTGCGTGGGAGGAACTTGAGGTAGAGGAAACGTGGAACCAGTATTAGTAGGAGTGTTGCGGGAAGGAGGGAGAGAATTGATGTTGGCTGTGCTGTGGCCGCCCTGGCTATTGGGTATCTGTCTACTGCCGCCGATGACTGGGTTAGGAGGTGACACATTTGCAATTGGGGATGTGTCGTGGTAGTTTATTGGACTATTCGTGGCACTATTAGAGTGAAGAGGGCGTCTCGGGATCGTGACACTAGGCCGGCTTATGGTTGTTTGCGAACGATGTAGCGACGAGCTCCCCGAGGAGTCTATAGTTGACGTTCGTGACCTGCGTAGGCCGTGGCCAATATCTCTAGGTGGGTTACGAGGCGGAGGCTCCGTAGCTCTAGGTACGATACCTGCCCGAAAATGATCTGGTAGAGGATCGCTGGCATCTTCAGTGTATGGGGGAGGTGGTGGAACCCAGTTATCCGCATCGCTCTCATGGGGCACGACAAACTGTCTGCGACGAGAACCGGAGCCGAGGGCAGGACGGGCTGTCTCGAATCTACTTGCGGCGAGGCTACGCGAAGCTGCTGTTGCCGCTCGTCTTAGTGTTTCTATGGAGCGAGGAGAGGTGTTGCTGTACGGACTGTCTAAGAATGGTAGAGCACTCCTAGCTCCGCCCCCTGGAGTAGATGGGAGAGGCGGTGATGTTGATTCCTCATCGAGCTGAGATCCGGCCGGAGGTATGCTGTTACGCCAGCTCGACCTTGACGGGGCATGTCTAGCAGCCATGGTCCTCTGACGGCTGATTTGAGCTCTCCTTTTCTCAAGCTCGACCTCAGCATCGAGGGTTGCTCCCTGTTCTGGCAACTCTGTGGGAACCGCCTCACCAGCTTCGATAGTGAGTTCCTCGTATGCGCCATTTCTGGGGGAGATCTCAAAATCAAACAGGATGACTCTCCCCCCGTCGATAGGCATGGTGTCCCCGGTAATCATGCTGAAAGAGGAGTCCACGCCCCCCGGGGCTACTGCAACAAGCCTGCATAGTTTGCTAGAGCCGGAACTCTCTTCTTTAACGTTCCGCATCCACCTCATGTCTGTGATATCGTTGGTTGCTTCAATGGGATGTCCTGCTATGAAACTTTTTGAGCCTTCGATATGTTTTTTAAGCCGTTGGAAATTGGTGGCCTCGTGCGATAAAGAGCCATTTTCATCGATGCGAGGGATTGTAGGCTGGGGACGCGCTTCGGAATCCTTTCCAGAATCCTCAGGTTTTGTCCTTGACTCTGGGACTCCAAATATCCATATCCCAGACTTCTCAAAGCTTGTTGCTATAAATTCACCTTTTCCACTAGTAACTGGTAGCAGATTTGGCCGAGGCTCGTCTCTTTCTATATCTGCTCCGGGCCCAACTAGGTAGAGAGTCCCGCCTTTGATATCATCAACTTGGGATATACGGAAGGCCTTCATTCGATTATCGTATCCTACAAAGAAGATGGACTGGTCGCCGCTCTCTGCCGGAGGTATCAAATTAGAGTAGCTGTATCCCTCGCCAACCTCTGGGAACAGAATTTGAGTTGTCCACATCCGACTATGGAGTTCTGACAGGCTAAGATCAAACCCAGGGTCAGGAAGAAGAGGAGGGGATACCATGATAAAGCTGTTGGCGCGAGGATCGTCTGAAGAACCAAAGAGCATGGATCCATCAGAAGAAAAGGTCAAGGTCGATACTCCTTCACATCTTACTGCCCGATGGGCGGTGGATAGAATGTTTTCTCCCAAGGCATGGATCTCAATCCCTCCGTCAAATGCCACAGCCAGAACGGAGGCATAAGGTGAAAATTCTAATGATAACGGAACCTCGTGAAGCTCAATCGTCTGAAGAAGTCTGGCATATTGGTCTTTCAGCTCATATAGCCGTACCCGATGCCCAGAAGATGCAACAGCTAAGAGGGACCCGTCATCAAGTATTGCAGCCGCCGTAGGACGCCGAAGTATCTTCAGTTCATGACGTACCGAGATATGGTCTTTCGTAAGATCTATCACGAAAATCCTAGACGAGCTTAACGCCAGGAGTAACCGACCGTGTGCAGAGAAGATAAATCGTAACGCTTCACCTTGTGGTGAGGCAGAGGAAGAGCTGACCGATGCCGATATAAGCTTCACAACGGTCTGCTTTGGCCGAAGAAAGGCAGCAAAAACATGGCTCCTGGCAATCTGGGCGAGCTTCGATTTCAGGGTCTCAAGGCTTGCTGATTCCAAAACCTCAGCTGATGAACCAGGCGGCGAACAGTAGTCTGCTAAATGATGGCGATAAAGTCTTGGACTATCAGATATCCGTCGCCATGCACGGTTGAGCAATGTCAGTGAAGCAAAGCAGTTTGCATCAACCAAACATAATATTCTAACGGTCAACGTCAACAAAAATGTACCAAGAAAAAATAATAACAACCTATTTAAAACAGTCGATAACTGGGTATCATTTTAACATACCTCTCGATTACAACTTGGGGGAGTCGATGAAATGCAGCCTTCGGTGGTTCCCCTGCCAGGCTCCCATGGCCTCCTTCCAAGCCGTCGCCTCTAGCATCGCACTCGTCCGAAGGCATGTAATCGCTACTCTGTGTTTCATGGATATCTCCAGGCAGGACAGAGAGCCGGTTCCCTTCCATGGTCCTGGCAGTCATTTACCGTCACGATCCATGGTTGTACCCAAAAAGTAAGCGCACGAGCTTCCCGTCGACGTCGCCTCTTATACCATACAGCATGCAGGATTCATATACTCCATACACACCATCCACGACTCATGGAAGCAAAGGGGACAAAAGAACGAGAAAGAGGACCAAGCCTGTAACTAGTAATTCGTCGATGTGTGGCGATGCCTGCTCCAACTTCTCGTTTTATATCTAGTTTAGGACGATCGTTGCATGGGAGCGGCCACCACGATATATCATGCACGTCGTCGAGGCCACCAGGGATGAAACAGGACGGAAGCTTTCGAATATGCCCTGGCGCTCCACGGAACTCCCACGAGCTAAAAAAAGGACGGCCAAATTCCAGCCACGTCAAGCTTAATACAAAAAAAATAAAAATAGCAAAGTCTGGGTGGTGGTTTTATTACATTAGCTGGACTATTTTCCTTTTCCCAGCTCGTTCCCCCCTGAGCCAAAGCAGAAAAAAACCATTGGGTCACATGATGCAGCCAGCTCCGCCAGTTCGAGCTACCAAAAGAAAAAAAGAAAAAGAAAAGAGCGCTTAATAATACCTGTGACTGAGCAACCACCAGCCTGCACAGCTTCTCGACGCACCAGCCCTCTTCCCACTGGCTGGTTACATGCAACTCGACAGCGGCCTTTTTTCTTCCTCCTCGCCTTTTTACTCCGTATTTTTTTGGCTCGCGAAAGACGTTGAGAGATGATGAATCAGCAAAAACCACAATAACACTAACCAATCAGAGGCTATGCCGCTAGTCCGGATTGGAACCAACCTTATTGGCAGATGGACCAATGAAAAGACGTTGATTCGGGCGGGGCATCTTAATAAGCAACAAGGATAAATATTACTCCGTCCCGAGACCCATTGGCCAATTAGGGCGGGGGAAGGCGGCAAGCAGAGGCCCTTGGCCCTTGCAATATCGAAAAAGAGGCAGGGAAGAAAAAGGGAACACATTGATACAACCGAGATGCAGGACGTCGCGGGCTCAAGGACACATCTGAAAGGCGTTGCCTCTGCGTGATGGGTGCGCGCGCCGGTCAGCTGTTTCACGATCAACTGGGAGCTCTGGATCTTGGGACTTGACGCCACATTTTTTCATTCTTGAAAAGAAAAAAAAAATAGCCCCGTTTACCCGATGGTAGTGTCACGACCTTTACCAATGCAGATTTAAGGACTCTCGACCGGCTAGCTATTTAACATACAGGATAACGGGAAGCCTTTGTTTAATCCCTAGGAGAACGCTCGTTTCTATATTATCATAGTGTTGCATTTATTCATTCATTTTCGAGATGGCTGCACCTCCTCGGCCTACCACAGTCGCGCCCAGAGACACTCAGCAATATGCTCTCAGCACTGGATCGCGCCCCTACCGGTCACACAAAGTCCGGGCATGCGACTTGTGCCGAAAACGCAAGTCTCGTTGTACAGTCGATTTGCCTGGCCAGTCATGCCTGCTGTGCAGAGTTCAGGGGGCAGATTGCCATTATGGCGAGGACAAGTCAAGCCTGATAGACCAGTCCGCACCAACTGCCAGTGCCGACACTAAGCCCTGGAGCATGCCTCCCGATACCAAAGGGCTGAAGAGAACCCATGATGAGATGAGCTCGACGCCTCCTGCTAGAAATCTCGTGGAAATCCCACAGGCGGGCCCCAAGGAAAATCTTGTCAAGCTTTCGTCTAAAGCAGAGAATGACCAGCGCTGTAGGCACGGGCCGGGAGAGTCTGTACATATCATCGGTCCAGTTGCTGCGGCCGATGCTCAGGTTATTGAGCGGTACAGCGAAAGGTCGAATAACCACAGTCCAGACCGAAAGACACCGTATAATGTCTACTCCAATGATCCGAGAAAACCAATTCTATACACTACTGTATCGAGGCGACGGCAGGGTCTCAGGACGACTGGAACTCCCGGTGAAAACCAAAGGGAGGTTATCGAGCAGGTATTGGGCCCGTTCAAGCATGATCTAATCAAGATGTATGTTCCAGTTATTTCCCTCTCTGCATTGCATAATGTATCAGCCGCTCACCGGTCTCTCCTAGATTCCTTGACAAGATTAATGCTTCATTCCCAATATTTGATGAAGAAGCATTTTTGAGTGGGTATGAGGCTCAAGATGACAGTGTCCCGCCTGCATTGCTGTGTCAGGTATATGCTACATCATTAATATATTGGAACCAATCACCGATCCTCGCTCCACATCCAAAGCCTGATGTCAGGTATGCCGTTAACATGGCCGTGGCTGCGCTGCACGAAGAGTTTTCGGCTCCAGGGCTGTCGACACTGACTGCAGCTCTGATCGACCTAACTGGAAGACCTATCTAAGCTCAATGTGGTGGATTCCATCAACAGTGGCCGCACCGTGGCCCTTGCGCATTGTTTAGGCCTCAATCGAGATCCAAGCAACTGGAAATTATCCCGTGCAGAGAAGAACCAGCGTATTCGGCTCTGGTGGGGGGTGGTCATTCACGATAAATGGTAAGATCATGGACTCGTTTCGTATTTAACGCTTTAGCCGTGTAATTTTATTTTTAACTCCAGGGAATAGGGCAAGTTATGGCCATGGTGTACCGCCGCATATCTCACGCAATCAGTATGATGTTCCTCTTCCCACAATCAGCGTCCTAGTGCCGCAAGCAAATCCCACGCAGCAAAGAGTCAGAACTGCGCATTGCTATATCGCTTTGTGCCAGTTAACTGAGATTCTCGGCGATCTTCTTCCTTTGGTATATGGACTCCAACCGAGACCTTCGAAGGAGACATCAAAAATCCTCAGGAGAATGAGATCAGACCTGGATCGATGGGAAGATTCTTTGCCGGATTGGCTAAAAGTGCCACAAGACCAAGACACCCCGTCAACATCGGGAGCCAGCAGCATGCAGCTAGCCTTTTTAGCGCTCAAAATGCTTGTTTGTAGAGTTGAGCTCCAAGTAAGTCGCTGTATTCCCTCTGCCGGCGTGTCAGACAAACACAACGGCAAGTAAATGTTCATGACGCTAATCAATTGGAGGAGGAATGGCTGCAGGAAGTTAACCCCTCAGACAACCCAAACACAGAGGCCCGTCGATACTTCCAAACAGAATGCAGGAAGGCTGCCGAGGAAATAGTTCAGTTTATGCTCTCGCTACGAAAACCGCAGTACCAAGAGTTTTGGATGTCCTGTAAGCCGTAACCGAACTTGGATTTTCGTCTACAGAAGAGGCCAACGAGATAACTGACAATAATAACAGACAGTTCATACCACTTGACATCAACAGCAACTCTTCTCGTCCGCTCTGCTCTAGAGACATCTGATCCAGAGATTGCTCGATCCTGTCTCAATAACGTCAGCATTCTCCGCGGTGTTCTTGAAAAAGCACGTTCTGAAAATGACTGGGATGTTGGCGACATGTGCCTTGACCACTGCGAGAAGATTTTAAGCAAGCATACCACTGAGGAGGTTGTACAGGCTTCAGAGCTCAATCGAAATGCAACCATAAATCACCAGGGTTCCGATGCCACCGAAGCTGTCGCAATGACACCGTACGATCGAGCAAACCACAATGATATTGTTGACGACATGATGTCCATTTCCGGTACATTTGGAACGATGGATGGTTTTCCTTTCGATATGACCGGAATCTGGGATGTATCGGGCCTGCAAGACCAGGACACCAATTTCATGAACATGACGCCGTTGCCGTAGGAAAAGCCGAAAAGGAAATATTAGAAATTCCGCAGGCTTCCTTGCTTGTGGTGTATATATTCATTCATTTTTATTTTTTTTTTGTGTTTGATTGGTTTATGGGCGGCCTTTTGTATGGATTGAATACCCCCCTGTATTTATTATATGTGGCAGCCGTGTATCATATATATCATTGCGTCGCATCTTCTGCTGATGAACTGGCCATGAGCTTCTATCTTTGCTTGTTTGAGAAAGGAGAGATGAGACAGACGGATGGCAAAGGGGGGAAACGGGAGTTGAAATAGCTGTGTCGTTTGTCCAATTATCCGCGGGCACTATTCTATGTTTTAATATTTATATGTTTGACCACCGCAACCTTAACTATAATAAACAACCACCAGCTGGCCAGCTATTTATCTTTATACGGAGTACTTGTAGACCAAACAACCTCCGGGTTCGTTAGCTTGCCAGCCAGCCATCTTCCCCAGGCCGATCACTCTGACTTTTCCTCTCCGATAAGGCTAAAAGTTTTCCGCAGCATCCATCAATCTGGCTTCCCGATATCTTTTCCCGTGCCGCAGTTTATATTGGTCATTGAAACTGTTCCCGGGGCCCCGTATTTTGAGTAACCAGCTAACTACCGAGGTGGTTAGTTATATTTCCTCTGGATGTGGAGAAAACCGTTGGCTAACACAACCGAGCTGCCGGCTCTCCCTAGACTAGAATAGAATTCCGTGGTTATAACATGCATTATCCAGACCGGCACATGCGGTTCTCAATCATCCCGTGGCAGAGATGGGCTGCTTCCGAGATTGACCCCACAGGTGTGAGCGTCTAGGGTCTTTGAGATGCATTGTATTGACCAAGGAGAGCGAGCCAAGGTGTCGATGACTTTATTTATAGGTTTATCCCTACCAAGGAGACGATGTCCTGGGTTGGACGTGTATCGTTACAGATGGAATACTCCGTAGTCAGGGTCGCCTTTATTTACAGACTCTTTCTTTTGGTGTTTAATTATAGATAATTACGACGCGGTCATACGAGGCAGCCAATGTTCCTATTCCTAATACGAGTGGGATATAACTAGATAACTAGTACAATTAACGTACGCCAAACACGACAACTGCAGTTCAGAAAGCTGAAAAGATATTCAATCCGTGGTGAGAAGCTGCTAACTAGTATAAAAATGTTTACTTCAGAGATATAGGAAGACATTTGGCAGTTAGGGCTTAGCTGACGGCCGCTTTAGGCCATCAGGAATGCTACATTCGGCCACGACGCTCATGATGCCGATGCTGGAGAGCCGTCTGTTGTTGCTCTTAGGCAAAGGCTTGGTGTTGTTGAGCTCTAGTACTATGGGGAACCAGATATGTCTGCGTACACATTTGAGGCATTGGCCTTATTTAGTTTGCTAGAGTATAGAGTAGATAGCTTATAACCTTTCAACATCTGAGTCTCTTCTAATAAAAACAACCATGATTATATTAGATCTGAAAGTGCTGGTATACCGAGTTCTGCTACGTTTAAGTATAGTACATGAGGGTGGTATCACTATCAAACCACAACGGATGCGGTAGGAAGGTTGCTGAAGCCACTATGGCATGAGACTGCTTTCAACACTGGTTTAATTATCCGGCACCCTTCCTTTTCTTATCCTGGAGAGTCGAGATACGTTTCAATAAAGTACATTTTTTAACACGCTTTAAACCATTTGCGAATATGGAACTGAAGCTAGCGTATATAGCATCAAGCGGGCTAAATGATCGTCCCATTTCCAAAACATGATCCAAGAGGAAACGCCAAAAGTTGGAATAGTATTATGCTGCACATGCCAACATCCACCGGTATGCAAGGGAGTCTAAAAGGAAGGGATTAATATCGAATGTAAAGGGTTAGGGTACAGCAATGTAGGCAGGGGAGGGAAGAGTCGTAAGATAACACACAGTTGGGGGTTTCCATCCTCATGTCCACATGAAAAAAAGAGAGGTTTGATATAAAGACAGGGTAGAAAGTAATTAAAAAAAAAGAAAAGAAAAGAGACGAGAAGGACGCAGGCGAAGTCTCCATATAGATCCGTGGATTAGTAGCCAAGCTGTACAGGAGGGAATAAAACCCAAGTCGGCGTACCATTCATCAACATTTCCCCCTTTTCATGCTTTTCTTCCGGCTGGAGATCACGTCCGATCGGGTCCGAAGGCGGTTTTGGTAGTTTATTTACCATCATTTCCGAAGAAGCCTGTCAAGCTGTTCTTCATGCCTTTCATCTGTTCTTCTCTGGCCTTCTCCTCTTCGGCAGCCATTTCAGCCAGCCATTTCTCGCCGTTCTCTCGGATCTCCTTTTCGATCATTTCGTATTGCTTCTGGCCTCTCTCACGGATTTGATCCCATAGCATTTTTCCTTCCTCTATACTCCCTGATTGGCCATCTTCAAGACCAGCTATCGATGACCCAGCGGGCTTTATGCCAAAGAGGGAACTAATGCTACCTACACTGTGTTTCGGTCGCTTGGATCTCTCTTCGGCAAGCTGCTTCTCAAACTTGTCACGCATGGCCTTTTCACGCTTGGCGAATTCAGCTGGGATGAAAGTTCCCTCAAAGGATTTGAGGACAGGTCTGACATCATCGATGCCCATTCCAGCAACATATTCCAAAAAGGGAATCAGAGCAACGAGTGACTTGTCCTTTGAATCTCCTTTCCACTTTGGTAGTATGATGGCGTTTTCCGGCTGGCGTTTGGCGTGAGGAGCATGAGTATCAACCATTATAACTTTCGAAAGGTCGCGGTTTAGGTAAGAAAGGTCCTATGTGTAGCATGTTAGTAAAAACCGTGGCTGGAATGTAGAGCACAGGCGAGGAGTTACCTTAACATATTCACCATCCTCATATTTGGTGGCTTCTCTGAAGAGTGGCCACCTAATGATTCGGTATGGATCAAGTTTTCGTAGAACCTGGTCTGCCATCATGCTAGGAACAGTTGTGAAAAGAACCAACTCGTAGTACTGATTGAGATAGCGAAGGAAGTAATCAACACCGGGTCTCTTCGCTACTCGCCATCCATGCTCACGGGTCCATTCGCTGTGAACGAGCAGATCTTCGAGACTGATGACTAGGGTGTATGGCTGTCTAAATTGAGGATCTTCTTCGGGCAGGAGCTTTTCAAAGGCAGGGTCCTTGTAGTAGCTTGTGATGTCAGACATGCGGGCTTTGATGCGATCGAAGAGAAGGCCGAACCCCCACCCAGAGGGTGCATTTGGGTGTGCATCTTCCTCTTCCTTTGTATCCCAATTGCGGCCAAGGTATGCGGTGCCAGCAATAGCGAGACCCAGGAAGGCGGCAAAGGTCAAATTGGTCATCTTGTTTCTACGCCTTTCAAGGGACGAAACGTATTCGTCCTTTGGAGTATCGCCACGGCCCCCATCATCCTCAGATTCCTTCTCTGGATCTTCAGTCAAATTGAGTCCTCTACTGCGGCGCTTCGCTTGTGATTCCACTTCAGCACCCAAAGTAGACGGAATTCCTCGTGTCAGGTCTGGAAGTGGGTGTTGTTCTTGCTGGCTGACACTCTCCGGCTCCGCCTTCTCGTTCTCACTCTCGGCGGACTGTTGTTTTGATCCAGCCCCGGCCTTCACAGATTGAGGAGCTGTATTCTTTTGTGACTCAGAGGATGTCTCGAACTCGACTTGTTCTTCTGATAATTTGTCTGTAGCGGGTGTCTTGGGCTGGGGGACAACTCTGGGCTTCTGGCCGTCTGACAAAGGTCCCGACGAGGGAGCCGACGACGGGATTGTGTAGCCACTGGGTTTCGATGGCTTCTTGGAGTCGCGGGCGTAATATCTGGCATGTGAGGAGGCGAGGGACAGTCTGGTGCCAGCTGTTATGGCCCTCTGCCTTGCCAGTGGAAGTATAGAGCGTGAGAGCATCTTGGGCTGTGTGTGCGGTAGCTTGACGTCGTTTGTTCAACAAATATTAGACAACCAGCTTCCCCATCAACTCATATCATGGTATTATTAAAGGGATAGTAAAAGGGACGGCCCAATTCCTCGCAGCAGCAGCTTCGTCCTCTGCGTCCTCGAGTTCTCTGACGTAGCGAAAAATTGATGTCTATAAAATCTGAAAAAGCTTCAGCTTTCCCGAAAGGGACTAGACCCGCAGAGAGTCTAGACACGTGACATAAGCTTATATAATCGTATAATCTTTCGAGCCTTTTTCTCTCATCCGAACTTTTTCTGCTTCAGATTCTTCGTTCTCTTCTTTCTCTCTCTTCTTCTTCTTCTTTTCTTTTCTCTTCTTCTTCCCAGAAAGTTATTAATCGATCCCAGTGAGCGAAATTTGACACCTTGTTCGCCGTCAGTGCCCATTGTGTTGTAATAGCTGGGTAGATCAAGGCTTTATGACATATCTCATATAGCCATCGCGCCACCAAGAGAAACAGCTAGGGCTTCCTATGAGTTGCTTGGTCTCCGTCGGTGTCGACACATCGGTTACGTCCTCTGTCGTTTCGTGTTAAACTCGCTCGCTAGCAGCAGCTTGGTGTCCCGCTGGAGAATGGTAGGCAAGCTACCTGCGTGGTCGGGACCTCTGCAGCTTTGAGCCTCGTCTGCCTTTATCGTTCCTTTTTCGGTTTCGGCCCGGCAACGCCTACCATGATACCGCCATCCGCTAAGGGCAAAAGCATGAGTGGCCAGTCGAGAGAGCGAGGGCAGGATAATGAGTGTAGATTCTTCGATCTGCCGTGGGAGCTCCGGTGTAAGGTGTACTCGTACGTCTTTTCGGGGCCGCCTCGAATCGTGAGGCCTGTTAGGCAAGCCCGTAAACCAACCGACAAAGAGCTGGCCTCCCCAAAGTTTGGCCGGCATAGGCGTACAAGTGTCATGTTGGCCTCCCGCCGTTTTCACGACGATGTATCCCAATACCTCTACTCCTCCTACACCTTCCGCATCTTTCCCGTGCAACATCAGCCCTCCATCGTGCCGAACGTCTGCGACCTCGCGCCCCGATACAAGAGTGCGGTGAGGGTTCTACGGCTCGTGCTGGGCTCGAGCTGGACCGAGCCACCGGAATCCTGGGTCGTCAATGAGAAACTCGGGCTCAAATCAATGGAGGGGGTCCATACGTTGGAGATACTAGTGCTGTGCGACCCGTCAAACCCAATGTTTGAGCCATTCCGCATTTCCAAGGATTTCTATACCAAGTTCTCATGTCGGCTCCTACACGGCATACTGAAAGACCTCCCTAGCCTGCGATATGTTGTCATTGATGGCTACTCGTCGATCGAGAGAAATGGCGGCCTGGTCAGTGGTCTGGTTCAAGAAATTCAGACTACGAAGAAGAAGATTCGATGGGCTGGTCCCTTTAAATCATCGAATTCATCTACTGCCATTTGTTGATATATATAAGCATTTAAGCATTCGTTTGGTATTTCACGATTCCCCCGACCCCCCTTTCGTTTTATATAAAGAGCGCTCGCACTTTCACTGTGTTAATAGACTTTTGTTTTGATATATACACTATAGACTAATCTACTTTTTGTTTCTCATTGATCAATTAAATTACGAATGGGAGCATTATTACGTAGAAGGCAGCTGTGTGTCATAATAGAGTCATGGTTCGAAGAGAGAACATAATGCTACGTAGGCAAGAGGCGTTATATTTCCTCATCAGTCTCCATCATGTCTTGCTGGTGGGTTTTGGATCGACTATCTCGAGCTAGAGATGCCTCCTTATCAATCATCTGTCGGGACACGGCCACAATGTTGTCTTCTATAAGCTGCTGACCGACATCCTCAATATCTGTTACGGAGAGAAAGATTCCGAGTTAGTCAAAGCATAAATAAAGATATCAGGCATTTAAGGCGGACTTACGTTTCTTGGGGTCAAGTTTTCCAACATAGCGCGTCTTGAGCTGTTCTGGTGTGAGCTCTGACTCCTCTTTAACCCTCTTTTCATATCCTTCGGCAAGTCCAACAAGCTTCTGCAGCCGCTCCACGTTTTCCTTTCGTTCCTCCCTAAAGTCGTTCATTTGGAGAGCTTCAGTCCATACGTGCTTGTGGAGGTTCATGAGCATATTCTCTTCCAGTCCTGTCTTCCTGTAGTTGATGGCAATACTGTAGTAATGACGGTTGAGGCCGTGAATCAAAGCTTGGATGGATGGTTTGTTGAGGTGTCCAAGGTTAGATGTGGTCTGACGAGGCTCCTGGCCCATAACAAGAGTCTGAGGAGATATTAATCGGAAAGCGTCGATGACAACCTTTCCTTTGACGGATTGTATAGGATCAACGACAACGGCAACGGCACGAGGGGTGAGTTGTTCGAAAGATTGCTGGGTGTTGATATCGACGGAGGAAAGCCAGCATCCAAAACCAGGATGGGAGTGGTACCATCCAACGACGGTTTCTGGTCTGCACACTCACTTGTGAGTAAAAAAGACAACAATGGTCTATGAAGACAGTAGTAAGCGGGAAGCTGTATCACTGTACCTTCCTGTCTGTCGGAGCATCTCCATCATTTTTGTCTGGAATACAGGGTCCACAGCTTCGACACTGACACCAGTACCGCTCTGGGGCATAGCGAACACGTCCACAACTCTGACAGTGTATTCGTCAACAAACTCTCCCAGCATCAAACCCATGACTTCCATAGGTACACCTGCTCGACCATGCCGTAACATCTTAAGAAGCGCCAGAGAGGATATATGAACAGTCTCGGAGTTATCAATAAGGTTGGGAGTATCCTATTCAGGCTCCAGGTCAGATACGCAGTTTCTATGAACGAGCAAAAGGCGCCACGCCCGCAAAAACAGAGCAGACATAGGGTAATCTCTTACCCCTTGAGGAGCGTTACTCATGCCCATGCCTTGGGCAGCTTGTAGCATCCGGCTAAACCGCTCCATGACGATAGCTTGTTGTGCCTTGCCTGAGACGAAGCTTTGAAATGTAGCTACGGTGAAAACGGAGAAGAGGGGGAGTTGCGCGCAAACAGCTGCTATATCTCTAGCCGCCAGTCACCAACTGAGGAGCAAGGGGAAGCAGCTAAAGAACTGGCAAAGAAAAGGTGAAAGTTGAGCTTGTTGCTTTTGCTTGTTGCTGCTCTGCCTTTGGCTTTGGCTTTGGCTTGCGTCGTTTTGGCCGAAAAGCGACAGCTGGTTCCGATGAGTTAATCCGAACGCCGAGTCTCTGCTTAGTCAGCCGTTCTGTTAATCCATTTCAACTCCCCCATCGCCCAGGAAGAAAGAAGAAACATTTCATCATTTTGCATTCTACCTTTGCTTCCGCTGCTGCTGCAAGCAAAGCTCTTGACAGAACTCCTGGTCTACTATATTGTTACCCTCAGTGTGTTATTTACGAGGCTATGGGACCTACCATTGCTCTCTAACTGCTCAACTTCCTCTCCCCTTTTCGCAGATTTGATTTACTGCGACAGAACCACTATATAGGAAACCGTTCTTGAAGCTCCCCTGTTACCCAAAGCTTGCCCATCATGACCGGGTTTGCACCTCTGGATGCTCCCGTCACAAATGGGTCGACGGATAAAAAGCGCATCGCCTACTTCTACGACTCCGATGTGGGCAATTATGCATATGTCGCCGGACACCCCATGAAGCCCCATCGCATCAGAATGACCCACAGCTTGGTGATGAACTATGGACTCTATAAAAAGATGGAGATATACGTAAGTCCGACTGAGCTGTTGATTTATGATTTATGATTCATGATTATATTTTGCTGCTCTACGACGTGGAGGTCTAAAATGAGAAATTGGTAGCTGATGGCAAACAACCTGGTTTACAGCGCGCAAAACCCGCGAGCAAATTCGAGATGACGCAGTTTCATACCGACGAGTACATAGACTTCCTCGCCAAAGTTACCCCTGATAATATGGACCAGTACGCAAAGGAGCAGAGCCGTTATAACGTGGGTGATGATTGCCCTGTGTTTGATGGACTTTTTGAGTTCTGTGGAATCAGCGCAGGAGGCTCTATGGAAGGTGCTGCGCGCCTTAACAGAAATAAGTGCGATATTGCAGTCAACTGGGCTGGCGGTCTTCATCATGCAAAGAAAAGCGAAGCAAGTGGTTTCTGCTACGTTAACGGTAGGCCTTACTCTTCGCTGTTTTCTTTCAGGTTTTCCCCTGGAGAAAGAAACTGACAACTCTTTATTTAAGACATTGTTCTCGGAATTCTCGAACTTCTGCGTTTCAAGCAGCGCGTCCTTTATATTGATATTGACGTCCATCATGGTGATGGTGTCGAGGAGGCTTTTTATACCACCGACCGTGTTATGACGGTCTCATTCCATAAATACGGAGAATATTTCCCCGGGACCGGTGAACTGCGCGATATCGGTGTCGGCGCGGGAAAATATTATGCTGTCAATTTCCCCCTCAGAGATGGCATAGATGATGTTTCTTATAAAGGCATCTTTGAACCGGTTATCAAGCATGTTATGGAATGGTACCGTCCAGAGGCTGTCGTCCTTCAATGCGGTGGTGATAGTTTGTCTGGCGACCGTCTGGGATGCTTTAACTTGAGTATGCGCGGTCATGCAAACTGCGTTAAATACGTCAAAAGCTTTAACCTCCCGACACTAATCCTGGGAGGAGGAGGCTACACAATGAGAAATGTTGCTCGAACGTGGGCATATGAAACTGGTGTGCTTGTTGGAAATCAGCTTCCAACAGAGCTTCCATATAACGACTATTATGAAGTAAGTTCTCGGATTGCCTAAACCCTTTACCCTGGCGGCATGCTTACCGAATTATAGTACTTTTCTCCTGATTATGAATTGGACGTCCGCCCCTCAAACATGGATAACGCCAACTCTAAGGAGTACCTGGAGAAGATTCGAATGCAAGTCGTTGAAAACTTACGGCGTACCACGTTCGCTCCGTCAGTTCAAATGACGGATGTCCCAAGGGACCCACTTGTCGACGGCATGGATGACGAAGCCGATGCTATTCTTGACGATCTTGATGAAGACGAGAACAAGGATAAAAGATATACAAAACGACGGTTTGATAATTACGTCGAAAAAGATGGCGAGCTAAGTGAGAGTGAGGACGAAGAATCTGCGGCCGCCAACGGTGTCCGCCGTCAGCCTAACAGAGAAAGGAGACGAGGAAATATCAATTACCGTCACCTTGATGGTGACTCGATTATAGACAGTGGGATTGTCACTCCTCGAGATGAATCATCCATGCCTGAGGAAGAGCCTGAGCAGGCGGATAAGATGGACGAAGGAGAAAATACAGAAGCCCCCGCCAAACCCTCCCCTCCCGCTATTGAACCCTCTACGAAACCAGATACACAAATGGCGGATGATGAGGCTCCAGTCGCTGACACCAATGGCACCGCCCCAGAGGCCGAGGAAAAAGAGCCTGCTGTCTCCACACCTGCTTCAAACTTGGAAGTCCCTCAAGAGAATATTGACGGGGACACAACAATGGAAGACGCGGATGTGAACATGGACGAAACTCTAGAGCTAGAACCCCCTGCTGAAGAACAGGATGAAGCGCCTGTTACCAAGTCTCCTGCACGGGAGACGACACCCCCAAAATCTCCAGCCCCCGAAGAAACCAAGCCCAGTGTCCCGGAGCCAGAAAGCATTGCTACGGAGCCTACACAGACAGCTGATACCACGGAAGCCAAAGAATCAAAGCCTGATACCGATGCGGCTAATGAGACTCCAAAAGAGAAATAGTAGCTTGTTGGTCTTCCTTTCCTCTCTTTTTATCCTCGGGTTTTCTAAATTGATCACACTTGCAATGTAACTGTTATTGGCGCTTTGGGGAGATATCTATCCAGGAGTTTTGCTTTGGGGTCCAGCATGGCGAGGAATGACATATGGAAAAGGAGGCGTCGGCTGTCTCTGACGTACGTTCCATGAATACGTCAATTTTCCTTCTCTGGTTTCTTTTCACTTTGCCATTTGACAGTATTTTATTCTCTGCCAGCCTGCTTTGCTATCATCTCTAATTATCTACTTTGTATAAACCGTGTATCCTTGGAAACTTTCTCAGAACCTTACCTAATCTATCATATGATTTCCAAATTGAGCTTTATTTTAGGTCTAGGGTAAATCACGTGAAATTAATAACGCTAATCCTCTTTAGATCAACCAGAAAACACCGCCAAGATTTTTCTTCCGCCCACACTAAGCGAAATCTATCTTTGCTGGAAACCGTCGAAACGCCTGAATTTGAAGATCGCAAGCTGTCAATTCTCGGATTCCACGACCACCCATCCTTCTTACGTCGTTTCCCCCGTGTCGGTAGAAATCTGTCATCATGTCGAAGAGAGGGTAAGCCAGGTCTCCCGCCGGTATACAAGTTCTTGCAGTGAGGCTTGACTTCAAGCCTAGGAAGCGAGATGCAGAAAAGCAGAGCAGCGGTCGCGAAACAGAGGAATATAGCTAACATGACTTGTGCGATATTAGTCGTGGCGGTGCTGCCGGCAACAAGCTGAAGATGACCCTTGGTCTTCCAGTGTACGTATCTACGATTTCCCCAGTATTCGACATACAAACTCAACAGCTCTTTACTTGTACGCCATTCGTCTGTGGAGGACAAGAACACAAAAAGAGGATGCGGGTCATTATTTAAAGAAGAGATGAAACGGATGGTTGGGTTGGCCAAATTGAGCGTGGACGAGGGATATCTTTCGACTGGAGAGCGATAAATGTTCAACTTTACTGATGTCTATAACCCCAACATAGTGGTGCAGTCATGAACTGCTGTGACAACTCCGGTGCCCGAAACCTTTACATCATCTCCGTCAAGGCCACCGGTGCCCGTCTTAACCGTCTCCCCGCTGCCGGTGTTGGTGACATGGTTATGGCCACCGTTAAGAAGGGAAAGCCAGAATTGAGAAAGAAGGTCATGCCTGCTGTTGTTGTCAGACAGAGCAAGCCATGGAAGCGACCTGACGGTGTCTTCCTCTACTTTGAGGACAACGCTGGTGTTGTAAGTACCCGTTCCTCGATACCAAGATATTTCAATGGTATACGCGAGTTGCTAACGTGTGTAATTGATATAGATTGTCAACGCCAAGGGTGAAATGAAGGGATCCGCCATCACAGGACCAGTTGGAAAGGAAGCCGCAGAGCTATGGCCCGTAAGTCATATCTCGGATAATAGTCAATTAGCTGTAATACCGTGATAACTAACTATTTCTTCCTTATCTAGCGTATTGCCAGTAACTCTGGTGTTGTGATGTAAGAGGTTGGTGGCAGGTTACCAGGGGCGTTGATTCTTAATTTTTATGTGATACGCAAAAATACAACCATATTTTCTCGCCTTCCCCAATGATTGGCTCTGGCGGTTCATTCTTGTTGTATGGGATCATAGAACTACCCCATGCGGGCCTCACTTCCGAGCCTCGGTGGGAAAATACCCGACTTTGACTGAGATTAATACAGTTAAATCTCATATACAACATAAGACTCATTTTCTTCTGTAATACTTTGATGGAGATCAAATATAGTATGAGTATTTTAAGTAGTAATTGGCAGATACACGTCGGTTTGTCAAGTATATTCATTCGGCTCTATAGGTAGAATAAATGCTCTATATGCGTGTATTCTGTCTGTATGAGGATTGCCGATACCTTTTCTAGCAAGTTGAGCTGTCATACATGATTAAATGCCACTTTATTGCTATGCGTAATGATAAAATTTGACAAAATAACGCCAGTAATGCACATTATTTGGTATTAGAAACAACCCAAATAGTCCCTCCGAAAATCTATTCAAATTATCATATATTCATCTAACTTCACTGTCTCCCTGGTCGCGAGTTCCTAGAGGTAACCGGCTTATGATGCATCTTGCTCTTTATTTTGCTTCCCTGGAGCTACCTCTTTCAGTGGCTTCGGGTTTGGAGTTTTCCGCTCGTCAGCAAGGGACGATTGGCCGTAGATCAAGAAGACAGTCATCCAGGTCGAAGCAGCTATGAGAGTCACCAATACAGTGATATGGACTGCCCACCAGACATGCTGAACACCCAGCTGGCAGGTTGTAATCTCGTACTTCCATTCTTGTGTGGAGTCAGCATCAAACCAGACCGACAAAAGCCCAGCATTGCCTCCGAATTCTCCCATCATGGAGCGTAACGTAACCTCTCGAATAGCCGGAGTTGGCGAAGGTGTTGCATCAACTCCTGTGGCGCTACCGGCTGATTCCAACGCCTCTGTGGGTATCTCGGCATAATATTTCTTTGCATTCCATGACCACGCAGTATCCAATATGCGTTCTGCCCTAGCATCTGCACTATCATTATCACTGGCTGTTTTCCTGTCCACATAGTGAATGACATCACACCCAGTATGATCGTGGCCAGTCAAGATTAAACCATTACGTCCTTTCCCGGAATAAGGAACGTCAATATCTCCGGACATCCCAAATATACCTTGCAAGATACCATTATGACTAACATAGTCACTTAGATGATTTTGCTCTTTCAAACCACCGGCCTTGAACCGCACTTGACCATCTTTAGGATGTTCATCGTCTTTATCGTGGAACGAAAAGTAAGGTGGATCGGTACATATTCCCTCTCGTTTATGGAGCGGGAGATGAGTCAATAATAGAGTAAAGGTTGTTCTGTCTTCGACTGGGTATGAACGGTCAATCACATCGTTAAGGTATTGATATGATTTTCCTTGTATTGAAACGTCTAGCGCCGGGGTATCAAAGGTAAGGGTGTTAAGCACGACCAAATGTATAGAAGGAATCAATCCCGGTTTGCTACGTGTACCATTGAGATCCAAGGAAAATTCTGTCATCGGCAGGTTAAATCGGACATCCCAATTCGCGAGACCAAACTCCCTTTCAAATCGATCTATTCGTTCCTGGGAGATATCACCCGCATAGCCGATATCATGGTTTCCAGCAATGTTGATAATCCGATTTGACCAAGTGTCTGGTTCTATATCGAGAACAATTCCCTGACCCATACTGACTCCCGTTTTTTGGGTATATCCATCTCTCCCAGTAGCCATCATATCATCAGGCACCTTCTCACCCCCTCGAAAAGTCCTACTCCAGTATCTCCTTGAACGGATATCAAATTCCTCGTCTGACACCCATTGGCTCCCGATAAGATCCCCCAGGACAGTGACATGAGTAGGGCGACTCCACCACGACAATGTCCTGTATATATGCGCAAGATAATAATCGTTCCCCAGAAGATCGAGTTGTTTGCGAATTGTTTTACCGAGTCGAGGGATGTCCGTCAGTACCACATCGCGTATACCTTCCACGGCAGCAGAAAAACGCACAGAGATCGAGTCTGCAGATATTACATCCTCCCAGTGCTTCTTAATCTGCGGTATGAAGGCATCGTCTGGCTTGGGCAATGAAGTGTCGCCTTCAAGCTGTGGGTCAGCAAGCACGAGTAACCGAAATGGCGCGGGCTTGAGATTATGCTGAGAAAAATTATGCAAGCCAAAGTGGTCGCGAACGGTATTCAGATAAGCATCACTAGTATAAGGCGGGTAGAAGCCGGTGCTGCCGTTTGCAGAGGTCGGGAGAGGAAAAGCGCATCCGTGGAATAAGGGGTAAAAATAAAGATAACAAAGAGAGACAAGGGATACGGGCAGGAGAACAGCGAGAGCCCGCTGGAGAAGTGCGGGAAAACACAGATGCATTAGCATCTAGTGCTTCTTGAGAAGAACGAACGAAAACGGAGGGCCTTGCTGGTATCACGAACTAGCAAAGAGATAGGAAGGGAGGTTTGACGGCGGAGAGTTTGGTTTCTTTTGATCTTCGTACTTAGATTAAGCTCAGCACCCGAGGCGTGGGTCCTTGGCGCAGGTAACCACATTTGATAGAAGAAACCATCAAGACCGCCGAAGAGCATCTTTCGTTGTAATGGATTGTAGTTGGTACGGCGAAATTATCCTACATAAACTAGAAGTAAGGCTTCGGAGGAGCCTCTATGCCATCATTTACTCCGTCTACCTGAGCTGTTACTCAATGACATGAATTCCACCTAGGATATAGAAACTATCATACAAATAATGAACAGGAAGCAAACAGAGGTCATAGAGGAAAGCCATATATTAAAGATCGTATTAAGTAGATAGTATCGGTAAATGTGGGTACCGCTAGGATCCCCTTTGTCAAATGTAGGTAGATCGTTGCAGTGTAGCGTAGGGTAGGCGAGCCCACCATAAACATCAACAGGTGCAAGAAACAAGCCAGTAAATAATCAAAGAAGATTCCAAAATATGGGGTGGTAATGGAGGGGCAAAAATAGATAGATTAAGCGAGGAATATATGGGGAGTAAATAAAAATAAAGGGTATATCCATGGGGACGCCTGTCGTAATGCTCGAACATTCTACTTGTTAACCAATCAAGTGAGTGAAAAGGGGAACGGAAAGGAGGTAGGTTTCTGATGGGTGGTGCGAGGGGGATGCCCGGAGAAAGAAAATATTAGGAGTAAATGCTATAAAGTGGTGAAATAGGCCGTGTCGACGTGGGAAGCAGAGAAGTGAGCCCTAGAAGGTAGGCTTGGTGGGTGGTAGTCACTTAACTGGCGGTTTGAGAAGGATCCACGGAAACCGAATCGGGGAAGAGAGATGTAGAGCCAGTATCTATATCTCCAATCTTCTGGAAATCGATAGTGCTGGTTTCACCAGTTGTTGCAAGGGTTGCACTGTTCGAAGTGGACGTATGACGAGAACTCTCTTCCTCTGGCTTTGGAGGCCTTGACGTGGAATCAAGAGGAGGGGTAGCGGACGAATGAGCAAGCAAGCGTGCTTGCTTCAAGGTGATGGTCTTTTGTTTATTAGTTGTCTTGACGGGGAGATTCAGATCTCGTTCAATTGTGGCTTTCATTATGGCCGCCATCCAGAGACGGCCTTGTTGGATATTGTCAACTTGGAAGAAATGGATGGCTGGTTTAGTGAACTGGACTGCACGGGAAATTCCAGCCTTTGGTGGAACCAGTTTGAAGATGAATGGCGGTTCTGCTGAGCTGTTACGCCTGGAAGTCCCAGTCTTTTCCTCGGGCTCAATTTCTTCAGGTTGAATGTCGCTGGTAGATGAGGTAGTAGGTAGGGCTTTGGTTCTTGTCAGGGTGGCGTGTAGAGACGTGATTGCATCTTGATCAGCCCGGAAGACACGGTGAGAGGATATGTCGATTAGACCACGCTCTTCAGTGTCATCCTCGGAGTAGTAATATGAAAGACGACGGCCCTTAAGGATGAACAAACGCGGCTTCCATGTTGTCATTAGGTTGGAAGACTTCTTCTTCATCCAACCGTAATAGTCGGCATCCTTCATTTGTTCCTTCGGGGTTTTCTTCTCCAGGCCACGTCGATAAGCACTTGTATCTTTTTTCGACTTTGTTCGTTGGCTTCCATTCGCGTTCTTGGTTACCAAAAGACCTTCGAGTCTGGAGCTCTCCATGCTATCCATTTCCAAACTTCTACTGGTTCCAGTTCCCGATGGTGTACTTGAATCCGTTCGAGTGGGGGATTGTGGTAAGTCCCTGCTGGATGCGGGTATGGGAGAACTGATACGAGTCTTTTCACTGCCAGTCACGGCATCGGATATAGCACGAAGGCCAATAGTCCTTCTTACCTTCGGTGTGATAGCCTTCAAGCTGGAAGTTGAGGGTAATGGAGACGAACGTCCAGAGGCTTCGTTATGATTCTTCCCATAGCCAACGATGGATGACAAAAACCCAGTTGGCGACTCAGGCGTTGTCTCTAGGTTGGTAACGGTCGGTGAGTGGGATTCATCTTCAAGTAGCTCAAGGGCACTCTTGGTGATATCTTGAGATTGCGTTTTGGGGTAGAGCGTCTTCATAGTAGTTAAGTCTCTCAGGGAACCCGTACTGCCGAATCGAGTGTGCCTCTTTTTCTTATCATCATTTACTGCAGCAAGGCTGGAATGCCTAGAATGGCTGTAACTTCTCTTGCTGGAGTCTCTCTTGCGAAGAACCCTGCGCTGCTTTTGCACTTCGACATCACCACCAGAGAAATATCCTCGGTCAAGGTCTGGAGAATCACCGAAACCGTTACTGGAATCATCGGTCTTGTTGCTCTCAGTTTTATAAAACTGCTTGGTTGCCGCCAAGGAACTGCTTGGTCGCTGCCCGTTGTTGCTGCTATTGGCGGTTGTAGGGCGGTTCATAGTCCAGCCACGGTCAAAGGAGGGCTTCTTCTCATGGGGTGGAGCGGGTGCTTTCCTAGATGCAGAAAATGCACCAGAATCTGCAAGTGGGAAGACGGATGTGTTTTCTACGGAAGAGTATCGATGGTGATTGCTCCGGCGAATGGAATCTGCGGAAGGTCTGGTAGCGGCATCGGTATCATGTGGTTGAGATAATGGAGGAGCGGAGGCCTGTGTTCCATAAGATGTGTCACGATACTTCACGGAAGTCCTATCCCTAGAGCTTCGTGGGTTGTGATGATGTTTCTCACCTAAGCTAGGGATGCGGGGAAGATAAGAGCCCGACATCACCGATTTGGTCTGGGATCGGTCGTAGCCTTCGGGTGCGTGAGAACTTGACTTCCTCAAGTGCCTTGGGCCTTGGATCTCCTCTTGGAATGCTCTTATTTTATGCCACGTCTTGAGTCTCCTGCCCATGACTCCAAAATCAAACTCCCTCATATATATGAATTCCTGATCCATGTCTAAGAGGACGTCACCAGAAATCTCTTGAGATTCAAATATGTCGCAGTGTTTTGGATCAACCCCGATTTCTCTTAAATGACGGGCCATTTGTCGATGATCCCACTTTCGAACCTGTGCTTCGCTCGGGATTTGTTCTTCCTCTTCATCGGTTTCCTCGCCGCGAATGTAGGATATGCGGTGATCGGGATAACTGCTGTATTCACTGCTGGAGTCATGCACGCTGTGATTTTCTTGGGTTGCAATGCTATGCCGTGGAGTACTGAAGTTGGTAATGTGTTCGTCAATTACACTCAATGTCTCATTCAAAACAGGGCTTTCCTCTCCATTGAGAGACATGTTTCCTAGTGTCTCACTAATCGTCCGCTGAATGGTTGGCGAAGGCTGTACAGAACCCGCGGAAGCCGGACGCTGTTTTGATGAGTGGCTAGTTATTACGCCATTGCCTAATTCAGCTTCTGTAGTAGACAAAGGTTTCATGTCGATGGCACTGACATGCCTTGAAGGTTGGGGTGTCGTCTCGTCATTCGACACTGGAGAGACAGGGTCGCCACTCGTGCCTAGAGATGGAGAACCGGCCTCAGAAGTAGCAGAATCCCAGAGCGGCTCTGCGGAGAGCGTAGCATCCTTTGGCTTCCTAACACCGATCTTGGGAGCGATCACAGTATAAACTACGCCACCGAGTGTTAGCCAGACTAACGGTAGCATTGCTAAATCTAGGATAGCTTACCCCCAGGAAACAGGCCCGTTCGATTTTCGATTACGTGCCTACCAAGATACCAACCATCTCCGAACCCTTCATCAAGCTCGAGAAGCTCAACTTTGTCGCCTCGTCGGAGGGTTAGTTCATCCGCGCCTCGAGCGTCAAAGTCATCTATTGGAAATAAAATCTATGTCAGCAAAGATGATGAGATTTAGCAGAAACGCTTTAGGAACAACTAACGGTTGACCAAAAGGATGTCGCCCGGATGAGCATCGCGTGCGCTTGTTGGGCGTTGTGGCATGTTCGATTATATATTAATCACAATCACCCCTTAGAATAGATCAGGGAGAGGGTATAAAAAGGAGTATTGAACACGTCGGGCTTTTGGCGCCGTAAGACAGCTTGACTCCAGCAGCAGGCAATCCCGTGGAGGGGACAGAGAAGGAGCTTTGGTCACAAGATAACCCTGGTTCTCGTAGTCGTACCGAGCAAAGCTTGTGACAGGCCGTTCGAAAGGCTGGGATAAATATTCAACCCGCCGGGTGCGACAGAAAGTTGGATATAGACCACGGGTCAAGGAATGCCGTGAGACGCTGACAACCACCACAAAGGGATTAGAAGAAGACGAAGTGAGATGAGAGCCGGCCAAAATCCAATTCTCCAGAGCAGTGTTGGTTCCAGTCAAGCTGCCCAACGTTGAAGGGAAGAAGAGTGCGAGGTGGTCCGTCTGTTCTGGCCTGGTTCGACTGGCTTGACGTTGCAGTTGCAACTAACCGAGCTGAGGCGGCGCAACGGGTCGATGGTTAGAGGGGCGAAGGAAGCTCAACATGCGCAGGCAGTGAGCATGCGATGAACATCGTTGCAGCAGCAACTCGGTAGAAGGTAAATTGACAGCAGTGGGAGCCGGGAGCGTTTCGTAGACGTCAAAGCAGAGGCAGCAGTAGAAGAGGAAGAGGAAGACGGCGACGAGGAACGAGAAAAGCAAGATGTCGACGTGGGACGAAGCAAGGCGAGAAAAGGGAAGATTCGCTTAGATAAGCTGAAGATTACATAAGCCCTTAGGTAAGCTGAGACCGAAAGGAAGAACGTTAGTCCGCGTAAGTTACGGCTGTAAGTGACAGTACCCTCCCGCAGGCTCCACTCTCTGCAAAGTGACTGCCAAGCTCGGTAACAGGCGGTAAAAGGTTATTCAATGTGTACGGTAAAAGCTAATTTAAGCGCCCTCCTCGAACTTTCGAAATATAAAAAAGAAAAAGGCCGCTGGCAGATTTCCTTGCAACTGCTCTTGAAATTACTAAGAAAGGGGAAGAAGAAGGGGCACAAGAAGAAAAGAAGCAGCCAAGGAAGGACAGTAAAAGCAGTTTCTTTGTCCCAAAAGGCAGATCTAGTCAGATTCTTGGTTTGCCCTGGTCTGTTTTCCCTCTGACAAAACACTGACGCCAGAGGGGCAAAGACGCAGCACCCTATTATATACGGGGTACTTAAGTATAAGAGCCAAAACATCTTTGCTCCACACACTAAACTTGTGCTAACAACCCAAAGAATCCCCTTCTTATTTTCTGCCTTTCTCACATTCCATATCTCTCTGCCCTCATTTTTTTTATTTTTTGCTATAAAAGCCGGTGTAGGATTGCATGTTAGTGATCAAGCCAGCTATTTAGTAACACAAAAGCAAAAAGGAACTACCTCTGCATGATGTAACTAGAGGTCCGGATGTATCCCATGGACGTGACGCAAAGATGATATCCCCAAATTCAAGAAAACAACCGACATCGTCTATAAGACAACAGGCTAATGATTCTGAGCTTGTTGCGTCAAATTCGACTGCTAGCCGGTTCCTAGGAAGCAGGCCAAAGGCGTGGATGCAGAATAAAAACTTACCTGGCCCTGCTCCCACTATCACCCGCCGTCCTTCGCGGCCTCTCCATACCACTAATAAAACCCGGGCAGTCCCTAAGATAGGTCCAAAAGACACCCCTTACCCTTCTGAAAAAGGTCCGGGAAAAGGAAACATACCAGCGTCTAAGGAGCCTAAGGATGCCGCGCCTACGCAATGTCTTTCTCCAGTATCGTCACCCATGCTTCCTCCGGCTATACGTATCACGCCGGACCCTATCATTCCAGACTCAGTGCAGCAAGCTCAACAGGCCCAGCAGTCAGCGCCCTCAGAAAAAACTGTGGAGCAGCCAACACAGCCTCTGCCTTCTCCAAACCCGAGTCATAGGTCTCATCCAACTGGGAACACACCTGGTGCTGACCCAGTGACTGCTGACATTGGGGTGTCGACTGCCCCAGACCTTCCAGCTGAGGAACATCATGCGGCTTCTTCATGGCCATCACCGTCAAGCATGATTCCTCCGCAGCAGAGCTCTCAAGCTCCTCAAACAACTAAAGGTAGCCCTCAGGCTGGCCGTTCAACTGTCCGCCAGATGCATCCGCTAGTTGAAGTGGCTCAGCGAAGTGGACAGGATGGAGGCGATCAGGATAAGCATCAAAATAAGCGCCCGCGCCTAACATCCTTCCAACCGCCAACCGCAACTTCTGTTTCTGCTACTCCTATTAGTCCTATTACTTCTACCACAACGACACCAAGACCTATTATCAATACCCTCGTCACTACCACCACGGCGGCTACTACCTCTGCGCTTTACGCACCATTATCGCCGCAACTGCCGTCTCTTATCCCTCTCAGCCCTGGAACAGGAGTAAATCCGCCTGGAAGCAGCGCATCGCCCCTTCAGCAACCGCCTACGGATCTCTCGCCACAGGCTTTAAACTCCTGCGCAGAGTTCTTAAGCAGCATCATCCCAACTTTTCAGCCATCTGAAGCTACTTTTATCTACATGCTAAGGGATGCCTGTGTAGGCTACGATCTCCAATATCTTGCCCTCCATCAGCTGTACTGCTTATCCGTCAAATCATCTGGGCTACTTCCGGATATCGGAGAACATGCAATGAGAGGTATCACAACGGTTACAGGTTTGATTTGTCCAAGTACAAAACTTTCTAGCGCCTATATAGAATACTTCAGTTCCTTTCCGTCTGACTTCTCAGCCCTCGTTCCCCAAAACCGACCATACGCGGCTGCAGTGGAGGCTGTTAAAGGCTGGGCGGCCTCGTTGATAACTACCTGGCCCGGCTTCTTTTCTAAAGTGATAAGTCGTGGATATCCACCACTGCTAGACGAAATCATTACCTCTCTCGGCGTCCTGTCAAGTGTTATGCATGGTATATTCTACTCACGTTGCGTCTCTACCCTGGTTGCAAACCGGGCCCCAGGGCTCCGAGAAGCGTGGAGGGTTATCCTCAAGAAGAATATTGAGTTTTACAGAAATCGTTTGAAGAAGGCCAATACCTCAAACCCTGTCCCAGAAGTGCAAACCCAGGGGGAAAATAAATACCTAGTAATGATGTATCAGAGGATAGGTGAAAAACACCCTCCTCGAGGTACTTCTTTGCCAGTTACCCAACCAGTTGTTCCGCAGCATACAGTTTTCCATCAACAGCCGCGCTATAACTCTCTTCCCATGTCCCAGCCTCTTCGTTCCAATCACTCACTTCCTCCGCGTCCGGCGCCGCCGCGCCCGATACCCGTGTTAACCACGGGTCAGCAGCAGCATATGCGGTTCCCGGGTACTGCCACGTCCATACCACAGGCTTCAGCATTTCAACCACGTCAGCCAATCTTCCAGTCACAGCCGCCGGCTGTTGTTCCGAGTGTTGCTGCAGCTGCATCTATGGCGACGCGTCAAGCATATACTCCTGCAACCCATCAGCTAGTGACACCCTCTACTGCTACATATAACCAGATCAACTCTTACCACTTGCCATCCTACCAGGCTTATCCAACTCCTTCCATCCAACCCCCTTTACAGGCCATACCTCAACTTACTGGGACACCACTATTCCCTCCGCGTGGTGCAAATGCTCTTCCACCGGCCAATCCGTCTCCATCAGCTAGCCACCATCTAGCTCACTTGAGGGTTGCCAATGTTTCTATGTCAAAACCCGAGTCTCAGGAGCCTGGCGAAAACTTATTCCATTCCTTTGAGTCGTTTGCCATACCCCCTACGTCGTTGGATTGGAATCAATGTAACTTTCAAATCCCATTCACGCTATCGCAAAGTCAATACACCACACTTCCGCGACCCCTTCACCTGCCCAATACATGCCATATTACCCAAGGTGTCTTCGACGGGTGTAAGGCTTATCAAGTTAAATGCATTCGTTTGACTAATACTCTTTCTTTGACTGAGGAGAAATGGATGGCCGCTGAATGCTCGTGGCCTACGGCCATCTACATTCATATCAATGGCCAGGAACACTTCTTCCGACGAAAGTTTCATTTCGGAAAGGATTTACCAGTTCCTATCAGCAGGGCTCTTCGTCAAGGTACAAATGAGATTAAGATTTCTCTGATTGGTACGCCAGAGGAACGCAGGAAGTATACATTCGCCATAGCGGTGGAAGTGGTCAATGTGGCGTCGCATAAACGAACTCGAGAGGCAGTTCAGACTCTATCACAACCCCAATCCCTCGATATCATCCTCAACAGACTGACCAACAACACAGTTGATAGTGATGAGCTCTGCTTCGTTGACGATTTCATTGCTATCCCCTTAATCGACCCCTTTATGGCCCGTATCTTTAATATTCCTGTCCGCACAGTGACCTGCAAGCATACCGAATGCTTTGACCTCGATACTTTCTTTGATACAAGGCTTTCTCGTGTAGCAAAGGGGCCTCATGGTATGGCAGAAGACTGGAAATGTCCGATTTGCAATGAGGACGCACGACCGAAACGTCTTCTTATAGACCAGTTTCTTGTCCAAGTTCGGAAGGAGCTAGCTGAGCGAAAACAGCTAGATGATGTCACTTCTATAAAAGTTCGGGCTGATAAATCTTGGGACATCATTACGCGTCAATCCGGTACTGGGAAGGCCGTCGGAGGTTCCTCTCTGAGGGCCGACGAAGAGGTAACAGCCACAACTGTCTCCATATCCGCTTCTCCTAGAGCAGCCCAGGCACCTCCCGAGATTATTGAAATTGATTGACGTGAGAGATTCATAACTGAACAAAGGACGTCTACGATGTGGCACTTAACTATACCCCAGTTGCATTCAATCGCTACTTTTTCATTGCTTTGTTCTATTTTATATTTTCACCCGTTTGCCTTCTTCTTTTGTTATCTTTATTATACCCCTCAGAAGCTGCTTGAGCCCTTCTGTTCTCTAAACGTTCCCTTTAATATCAATATTATAGATTATTCCTGTTGATTGGAGTTCCATTTCTTACCTACTTTCTTCCCTATTGGTTTTGGCTTAACGAGTGTGTTTTCTTAGTTTCTGCAGAGTCAACATCATTTTGGTTATCAAACAGAAGATGGCTAACTATCTGTTCATGTCATTGGGCTAAGTCCTTTCTTTTCCTTTCCTTTGATACTTTGTTTTGAAAGCGGTTGTTGTGAATCATGCTCTTATTTTAATATGTACCTTTATCCCATGGTCGAATTTGTTTTGTCTTCTGACCACTACTACCCCCTTTATGATGGATGATTGATGATTTAGATTTCCTTTATTCATAACACTTGCTTGAGCGATGCTAAGAATTGAGCTAGAGTATTCATTATTACTTCATTATTTGATTTCCATTAAAGAGGAAAATATAAAGAGGTTCTATATCCGGTGAGTTTCGAAACCGCGTAAATAAAGCACGGATACGCAGAATATAAGAATCGATATAATCAAACTTGGCTTTTTTCTCCATTTCTGCTTTCCTTAACAACTAGGGAGGTTCAACTTGGGCCACTCTAAGTATCCATTTCACCTAATCAGTATAAAATTTCCGGAGGAACTTGACTCCTTTCCGACTATGACAATAATCTGTTTTGTATTTAATTATATAACCTTTTTTAGAGTATTGAAGGGGGTAGAAGCTGTCATTAGTCGTTCAAATATATTCACTTCCTCACTTGTCTTGCATGTTTAACTAGGTTCTCTATCACACCTTCAAAGGCTTCTTTTTCTCCAAGCTGCCCATCTCGTTTCTTCAGCCAGTATTCCAAAACTTCGCTGGCGCGAATAGTAAGTTTTTCCAACATTTGTACATGTTCTGTTATTTCTTCATCTGTATAGCCATCAAGCGCCGCATCTGTCGTTTCACAGAGACGGCGTGTGGCTAGAAGGTCCAGGTCTGGAGGAGGGGTATTACCCTTACGTCGAGGCGTTGACGGAACAGGTCTAGATGATGAGCGGTTAGAGTCGAAAGATGTAGATGATCGACATTGCCCTTCTCGATTCTTCCGTTTGCTTCGAGAGCGAAGCAACGTTCCACCTGCTCCTGACGGCTCTTCACTTGAAACCCGCGCAGCGTCGCGGTTCATAGAAGGAAGAACGAGTTTCTTCTGTTTTGACGCAGGAAGGATTTCATCTAGATCAACAGGGACGCCAAGGGAGACAAGAAATAGGCGGCGGATACGTGACTTCGTCCAGTTTGGAGGTTGGAGTGGAGGGGGTGCAACTAGTTGAGACCAAAGGGACATGGAGCGTTCGGTGGTGAATATTGCGGAGGAGTCAGGAAATGGATCAATAGGAGGTAACGAAGATAGATTTGCAGAGCTAGGGAACAGGGTATCAAGATGGTCAGAGGTAGCAGATAGAAGGTCAGGGAGGGACTGAAGGGGACTAAAATCTAGGAGAGGCGGCTATATTTATTATTAGCACCTCTATTTACAGTTAAAAAGACTTAGGACTGTTGGAAATTTTTGCTAACTCACTAGGACGGGAAGGTTAGGGGGCTCGATGGAACCAGCATTCGACTTTGGCATAGCAACATCAGATGTTTCTTCTGGTTGTTGAAAGCCATCATCAAAATCACCAAAGTCATCATGATCATCATCTCCGTCCCCTCCCTTGAAGTCATCGAAGTCGTCACCAAACCCGTTATCATTATTGTCAAAATCTACCCCGCCTTCAGTAAAATCATCCAAGTCATCGCTAGTATCGATTAATTGAGCCGAGTCGTCGGCAGGGTTGACTTTGGTTCCAGGGCTATTTGTATCAGGAATTTGTTGTCCTGGTTTGGTCAATCGTTCCTCCAGAATAAAATATAGGGGCTAAGAGAGATGTTATTTACCTGGAACATCCAGAACTATCTCTTCAGCATCGGGAGCGGCATCACTCGGTTTCCTACGGTGGGCAGTAAACTTCCGTTCCTCTCCTTTCTTGGGTAGAGATTCTACTCGAGAGAGCAGTGTTTCTGGGAGGTCACTGTCACTCATAGCATCTTCCTGATCGCTTTCAGGCACGACAAGCTGGGGGCTTGCCCTTGGATCCCCGAGCCTAAAAATTCGGTCAGGTGGGAAGTCTGCTTTTCGAGCTTCGTACGCCTGTGTTCCTGGCTCTTCTCCGTATGCTGGCGAGTCTAGATCTACCTTTTCCACGACGGTCAACGGTATCGGAGTCCCCCCGGGCGTTAGTGGTCGTTCTGGGTGCGCTGGGTTATGCGGTGTATCAGCCTTTGCCTCCCCAACTATGTCAATCTCATCCGGAACAGCATCTGCTAGTCGCTGCTGGTATGCAGGTGACCCAGGTACCTCCCCATGCCTCGGCGAGGCATCAACCTTCTCTACCCTAGTTCTGGGGACCGGCGATTGAGAGCGAGATGGCTGCCTCGACCTGGACGTCTGGCCTTCTGTGGCATCGGAAAAGTGCTCATCGTCACTCTCTGGGTCTTATTCAGGTCAGTCTATCAGGCTCAGTGCTGTTTCTCTTGTGTGTCTACAGGCAGGTATACATACTATGGTCCGATGCCCCAGGATCTTCAAGCTCAACTCCCTTTGGCGGTGGCTCCAGCAAAACACTAGAAGGGCGAGATCGAGGTTCCGCCATGGGTATCTGCCAGTTCAAAGACAAGGACTATAAGTAGATGTAGCAAACATGACCTGTCGCTTCGTCTTCTGTCTTCTTCCTACCATAAATTCAACTGTTGAAGTCGAGAAGAGACGGTTTCTGCCACCCAAAGGCGGCGTGTTTTGGTAACTTACGGATATTTAAAATACACCCCAATTCTACCTACCTTCTGTTCCGTATTATTACCGCTTATGTCAGCTAGACTCGAAGCTCCATCTTTTGATAGAAAAAACACATCCAAAGAAAGCAACGAAGAAGCAGGACAACGAAGCGCCCGCTGCAGCTCTCATCTCGGCGTTGCGCCATTCCTCACGCAAGATAGACACTGATTCTGTATAGTCCTACCTCCCGGTAACCCCGATTCTCACGAATTAGATAAGGGGGCACTTCAACCTGTTTATTCGCCGTGCTAATATATCTATTGCAGCCAGTCCATGAACCGCATCGCGTGAAGCCTAACAACAGCCGCGCAGGACTCAAGACTTCCCTCTCCTCCATCATGAACTTCGGAAGTGCATCTACGAGCGGAGGCCCGTCTCCGTTTGGACAGGCAACATCAGGCTCAAGTGGTGGCCTTTTCGGTAACATTGGCGCAGGCGGCCAGTCCACATCGACCTCCTCACCGTCAATATTTGGTTCGACTCCTGCCCCAGCAGCAACTGGCAACCTATTTGGCGCGCAAAAGCCTGCGACCTCGAGCGGTACCTTTAGCTTTACCAATCCTGGTCAGACGTCTGGTCAGCAGAGCGGCTCTCCTATCTTTGGTTCAGGAACCGCAACACCAAACAAACCAGCAGACTCCTCAGCCCAGGCACAAAAGCCATCAGGCCTATTTGGAGCAGGCAATCCTACCACAGGAAGCTCGAATCTCTTTGGAAGTACAACTCCTGCTACCACTAAACCTGGTTTGTTCAATAACATATCAACAACCCCCGCTGGCCCACCACCGCAAGCACAGCCCAGTGCTCAGAAGCTTCCTTCCTTTGGACAGCAAAACTCCGCTCCATCAGCACTCTTCGGGAATGCACGCACTTCTAGTCCATTGTCGACAACATCTCCCGCCATCTCAACACCAGCTTTTGGAGCTGGCGTCAGCATAGGTCAACAGCAGACGAAACCTGCTGGTGGCTTGTTTGGTGCCGCTGGCGGTGCAGCAAATGCCTCTACCGCAACCCCTGGAAGCATGTTCGCCAACTTAGGCCAAGCTAAACCAGCTACCGATACCCCTAAACCGAGCACCAGCACGCCATTGTTCGGGAATACTGCGTCTACGACGACAACCGCTCAGCCTTCTGGCTCACTTTTTACACCATCATCCGGAGCTTCTACCCAGCCTGCGTTTTCCCTCACACCAGCCTCCACAACAACGAAACCGTCCACATCCCTGACCGCAGCCCCGACCGCCGGCGGCAACACCCAGAGCTCTCTATTCTCTCTTGGCAATCCAGCGTCTACGGCTACACCAGTTGCTACCACAACAGCTACGTCTGGTGGTCTTTTCAGCACTCCTAAGCCAATCATATCTACGGGGTCTACAACACCAGCTACCACCGCCGCTGCCGCGCCCGCAAGCAACATGTTTGCAAACATTGGGAAACCAGCCACTACTACAGCAGCTCCGTCCGTCACAGCCACCACGACGACGACAGGTCCTTCGTTGCTTGGTGCCACGGCTGCCACTACTGCATCGGCAACGCCCGCGACCACCGCGACAGCTTCAGCTCTAGCCATTACGAAACCAGGAGCTACTGCTACTACAACTGGCACCAACCTTGGGGCGTCAACCGTCGGCCCAGCTCCACCAGCACAATCTCGTCTGAAAAACAAGACAATGGACGAGATTATCACCCGATGGGCAACAGACCTTACGAAGTACCAGAAGGAGTTTCAAGAGCAAGCTGAGCAGGTAGCTGAATGGGATAGGATGCTAGTTGAGAATAGTACTAAGGTGCAAAAACTGTATGGGAACACTGTTGATGCTGAGCGAGCCACGCAAGAGGTCGAGCGGCAACTCGCCTCCGTCGAGAGCCAGCAAGATGAACTGAGCTCTTGGCTCGACCGATACGAACAGGAAGTTGAGACTTTGCTCTCCAAGCAGGTTGGAACAGGAGACAACCTCCCTGGCCCAGACCAGGAGCGTGCACGAACGTACGTTACTCAATTCGTTTTCACTGGATACTGAGAATATGACTTACTTACTGGTGTGTGGTAATAGGTACAAACTTGCCGAACGGCTCTCCGAGCGCCTTAATGAAATGGGCCAGGATCTCACTAGCATGATCGAGGAAGTTAATACCGCCTCTGCAACACTGAGCAAGACTAGCAAGGCCGATGAACCGGTCAGTACCTTCATTTATACATCGAGGAAGATTCAGGAGCTGACGTGGAAACCATTATATAGATCTCTCAAATCGTGCGCATTCTCAACTCTCACCTCTCTCAGCTTCAACTCATTGACCAAGGAACTGCTGCTCTCCGCGCTAAGATCACTGCATCTCAGAAGCTGGGTAACTCCATGAGCGGTTTCAAGAATGGTACTCCGCGTGTTGCCGGGGGTGGCAGCGGAGGAGCTGCGGAAGATTTCTACCGCTCTTACATGGGACGAAGATAGGAAGTCATGCCAGCTAAATTTCCCCATGCTTTTTTTTTTATTCCCTATTTCCTTCCTTGATGTTAAACTCAAGTAACGTGTACAACTGGTTATGGTGGGAGCTTTTTCATCGCAAATCATTAAATAAATAACTCCTCCCTTTTTCTTTTATAATAGTTTGGGCGTTTTAGAGCAATGGACTAATGATTGGTTGCTTTCTATCTTAACATCAACGCAATTGGCTAGCTATTTAGCTACTGGTGGGAGCTCCAATAAGCACATGTCCCACACTATGATACAGCATATGTTCAATTTTTTTTTTCTTGGAGGCTTAACTACTATGTCAAATAAGAATTTGGCTGGTGGACATTCAAGTGGAAATACTATGAGTGGGGAAGTAGAAAAGGATAGAAAGGGAACACTATATACCAAGGGGCGGATGGTAGATAGTTTAGATTCACAATCGACCCTTTCATGCAATAGCTTATGATATGTCTCTAGTTCTGTTCACCACCCTGGTTCTTGGTGAGCTCATCACTAGCAAACGCAATGTTAGCTTGTTTCTACTTTGTTTATGTGCATGTATTACAGAGAGGGATTCATACATGTGGGCATCAAGCTCATCGAGGTGGGCACGCTGCTGCTTGAGCTTCTCCTTAAGGGCAAGAAGCCTAGTAGATGTAATTTGTTAGCTGTGGTCCTCCCTCCCAAGATTTATATCGTATATCATACTTCTCATGCTCCTTCTTCCTCATGTAGAGGTTCTCCTCAGCAGATTCCTTCTTGGTCCAGGCATCGCTATCAAGTACCGGTTAGCCATTCCCGCTGCAAGAATATGCAAGTGAGAGAGCACATATCGTAGTAACTCACCCAGAGTGCGAGCCTCCGGAACGGGGAGCGCCGGTAGAGCCCTCAGTCATTCTGACGGCGGCCACGGAGAAAGATCGGGTAGCTGGCAGCCTGCTGGCGCGGAAAGCTGGTCTAGCGAGTTGGCGGAACATCGTTGAATACTGCTGGAAAAGCGATAAGCTGTCTGGTCCTGTGGAATTGTGAACACAGAGAGGAGAACGCTGAGATCCGATGCGACTTACTGGGTGGTTGACTTGCTGTTTTGTTTGGTCGTCGAGAGTCGAAGCTTGCTTGACGTTGCTTTTCGTGTTTCTTTTCCGGTAGGGCCTAAAGGGGACTAGCGTCGACTCAGATGTGTCATGTGACCATTACTCTTCGGTAGAAGCTGATAATTTATCCGGTAGATCACCTGATAAGTCACATGACTGCTACTGACCGGCCATCAGCAACCCGTACTTTACTTACATTCTGACGGAAGACGACAAATAGAGCAAGTTAACGTACGGGGCGCAGCAGCTCTGCACCAGCTGAGGGTTCACAATGCTGGCACCCGCCGTTCCCGTGTCTACGCCCCAGCCCAGCACCCGTGGAGTGTAACCAGAGGCAGGCAGCAGGCAACTAGCCGTCGAGACTATATGGGAGATCCTTAGTCAGAGCCAGTAGTCGCCTTATCTAAGCAGGCTAAACCCAAACGGGCGCGCGACCCGCCTTTCCCCTTTGGCCTGTCTCGAGCGTCCAACAAAACCTCAACCTCGTTTCCATCCACTTCCACTCCTTCTCTTCCTCCCCTCTGTTTTCCCCCCAGCAACGTCGCTAGTCATCCTTCTCCTGAACACACACTCGCACCAGCAAACCACCCTGCCTCCGTCTCTGCTACTCTTCTCAACTCCTCGTCTTTTCTTTCTCCAGGTAAGCTGCCCCTCGACGACTCTCTACCTGGTGTTCTTGCGTTTGTTTCACTTGGGGGGGGCGGTTTTGGTTCCTACTCTCCCAGTGCCCTGCCGCGCGCCAATCCCACCACCAGCAAGCCTGTGTGCGATGGGAAGACAGCCTCTGTACATGTCGCATATGCCGTCTACTGGATTCGATGCTTGCTCCTGGCTGAGCTCTTGATCCTGTAACGCGCCCCGAGTCGTCGATGTTATCTCTTGAGGGGGGTGGAATAAAAGGGAGGGCGTTCTTTACCATCTCGGCCGTCCGAAGGATCCCGGTCATGGGAGCCTGCTGGCAGCCTCCAGCAGCATTATATACTCTCTACTACTTATCTCTGGCTGCTCAGTCGACGGAAGGGGTAAAATTTCGACTCAGTGCCATGTACACCGCTGTTCTGCGTTCCTGGGAGGCAGTCTCCTTAACCCCCTGTCCCGATGAAGTCATGGTTTTACTTTGGTTCTTGTAGTTGATCCATCAACATACCCAGCTCTTAACATCAACGCAGCCGCCCTAAGAGTCAATGTTGTTTAGCAATGCTGATGTCAAGAAGTATTTCTAGTTCAAATCAGCCATCATGGGTCACGAAGACGCCGTCTACCTTGCCAAATTGGCCGAACAGGCCGAGCGTTATGAAGGTAAGCGCGTTCGCAATGCATATATCCCCTCGCCCGAACCGTCGAGCTGACATTTGATGTAGAAATGGTTCAGAACATGAAGATTGTTGCTTCTTCGAATCGGGAACTATCGGTAGAGGAGCGCAACTTGCTGTCTGTTGCCTACAAGAACGTCATCGGTGCCAGACGTGCCTCCTGGAGAATCGTTACTTCCATCGAGCAGAAGGAAGAATCCAAAGGAAACGAGGCTCAGGTCACCCTCATCAAGGAGTACCGTCAGAAGATCGAGGCCGAGTTGGCCGATATCTGCGAAGATATCCTCAAGGTTCTCGATGACCACCTCATTGCCTCTGCCGAGACTGGAGAGTCCAAGGTCTTCTACCACAAGATGTAAGGTCTCAAGTGTCGTTTTTTCATACTATCATATCCAAGAACTAACAAGTTATCTGTATACAGGAAGGGTGACTACCACCGTTATCTCGCCGAGTTTGCCCTCGGTGAGAAGCGCAAGACTTCTGCCGATAACTCTTTGACTGCCTACAAGAATGCCACTGAGGTCGCCCAGACTGACCTTGCTCCAACCCACCCCATCCGCTTGGGCCTTGCCCTTAACTTCTCCGTTTTCTACTATGAAATCCTCAACTCTCCTGACCAGGCCTGCCACCTTGCCAAGCAGGCCTTTGATGATGCCATTGCCGGTATGCTCCATATATTCTATAATTATCTTTATGTATTTTTTAGTCATGAGCCGCATGATACTAACCTTGTGACTCTGCAGAACTCGACACTTTGAGCGAGGAGAGCTACAAGGACTCCACCCTCATTATGCAACTCCTCAGGGACAACTTGGTAAGATATAATACTACTCTTTACAATTTTGGTCACATAACTAACCGTTATCATTACAGACCCTGGTGGACTTCCTCCGAAGCCGACCCAGCCCACCGAGGCCCCAACCCCCAGCTGAGGTCAAGGAAGAGGCTCCAGCTGCACTGAGGAAGCCCCAAGGAGTAAATGGGTATGGGATGAGCATTTAGTTCTAGATCGGAGGAGTTCATGATGCCATTTCCATTTTCACACCCATTCCCACCCCCTGTTACTTCTCTATCAAAACACCTACCGCGCTCCATCCCTGGGTTTTTTAATCGATAATGTCACTTAGGTTTCTTTGCAACACTCCCTTCTTCCAAGCTCTGCCTGCCACGATGTATCCTGGGGAGGGTGTGACTTTAGTGATGTATTTTTCCACCTATCCCTCTTCATTTTACTCTCTCTGTCTCTCCGTCTATCTCCCTTGCCCATAGAATTGTCTTTCATTGTTTGAAGCCCTCATCACCGCCTAAGGGACCGACCGATCAGGAGAGATGATAGCCTGCCAAACAGCTGGAGGAAGAGAAGTGACAATGCCCCTAAAAAAACGCAGAAAACAAAAAGGCCTAAAAAAACATGAACAAAAGAAAATCACCAGAGGGAGAAAAAAGTACCATTACTACCTCTTTATCTTCTTCTACCTTCTACTTTTACCTACATTCTTCCTTTTCTTTTACCGGTTTTCTCTCCTCAAAGATACTCACTATCCCCCGTTCCCCTTTTTGGACGTGTTTTCTTTCTACCCAAAAATAGGTTTGATAGTATTAGATTTTGCGCGGACGTACACACTGTACTAACTGATCTAACGCGGCAGTTTCATACTTTACCTTCTGGCTTTGTCTTTCGACTCTGTTATCACTTAGTTAAGGGGGATGGTAGGTAGGTAGATTGAGTAGTTGAGTATGCCGCAAGAATGGACTATCTATTTATTTTGATATTGTACCACCATCATGGCCTTCAATGCTCCCTAGGCCATACATAGATAGAGATAATACCTCCGTTACCCACTAGCTATTAATCTCTCTGACCCCTAAACGGAGTTCTTATGCCTCTTTTTATTTATCTAGTCAAATATACCATCCCCAACATCCTTACTGTGTGGCTCCTCCGCTAGATCGTCCATCCCAACCGTCAACAAACCCCCTTTTGAATTAGTCTAACTGGGTATTCCACCACCGAGTCAGTAAAAGGGGCTGGCGGTGTTAAAACTGTTTAACTACAGCCAGATCTTCACCGCTATATATTCTACCCACCGCCAAACGCGGCTATAGCGCCTGTCAACGCCCCTATCGTCCCTTTACCGCCCTGATCCCAGCCACGCATCATCAGCGAGAGCGTAAAGGGGGTGAGAGAGCTAGCATCGATCGAGCAGCCTACCACCCATCTTCCCTCGAGCACGCCCAAGTTACTTAATTTTGAGTACATGTCATATACCGAAAGGCTGTCGGTACAGTATTGTAATGCGCATCCCGGACGATCGCACATCACATCACATCCTCTTATAGACGGGATGCTGCTTGCTGCCTGTAGCTTGTGGAGAATAAGGCGGACAGACATATACTTAACTACCAAGTTTACCCATCAGTTACAGCATGCATTCATCCGCCGCGGCGTTTTGGCTCCAGCGAACGAGCGTGAGAACACGGTAAACACAAATAGAACTCAGCTGAGTGTGGGTGATACAGTTATTTAGTTAATTACGTAGCTAGCAAGCTATAGCTAGCTACTGGCCACTGGCTGCTACCAGCCAGCCTGTTGATCGCGCGAAACGGGAGGAGCGAGAAAACACAGCGTAACTAACGGCTACTGGGTGTCTGATGTCTCACAAACAAGTTGGATCAGTCGTAGCAAGCAGGTTTCTCCCACCCGAGTACGGGATGGTCGCCTTGAGTGCACGTACATGTACTTGCATGCCTTGAAAACCACAGCTCAATTGAATATCTGTCTATCTTGTCTTATTTTGCCTTGGTTTTATGTAATGGCTGCATGAGTACCAGATCCGGTTGTGTAATGCATCCCTCCATCTCCCAGGCCATCCAAGCCCTATCACATCCCCGTATATGCATGGGGTAGTAATCTTGTTACGTGAGTGAATTATTAAGTACGGCGCCTCCCGTGCTTTCATTTATTGTCTTTCTAGTTAACCGGGCAGGCGAGGAAGTATATATTTGTTTGTTATATAAGATTATTATATAGATACAAGCTAGGTGGCTCAGGATGTATGTAAGGTAGCAGGAGGCCTAGAGCTGAGGGTAGCAGGCAGAGAGCTAGGTCCATGGGTGTAAAATGGCATTAAATCAGGATTGTTTCCCTGGGGGTTTGGCGTCGTTAAAAATTCCCAAGAAGGTAGGTAGAACTATATATAATGTTAAGGGTAGGTGTAGAGGAGAAACGGTTTTACTAGAATCCCTGAACCAGACAGGTATAGAAAAGACATTATATACATATGCAGTAGAAAAGAAATTGATACGCGAGAAGTTTTTTTTGTATCTTGCTTGTGCCCACGAAATGACCAGAAAAGGAAAAAGAAAAGATAGGAAAAGAGTAAATAAACCCAGGCGATGCGACGAAATGACTTTTTTTCAGATTTTGACTCATTTGGGTTGAAGGAAGACTCAGTCTAGCCTAAATCCGGCTGAAGAGAAAGAAGAAAGAGCGAAAAGGAATAAGGTAGGTAGGAGTCATCTGTTCCTGCCAGAGAGAAGAAAGAGAGAGAGAGAGAGAGAGAGACATGCGTCGTAAAAGCGCCAGCTATGGAGCGATGGCAGAGGCGAGCAGCCCACCGAAGTCCGTGGCTGGCTGCTTACATGCATTGAGTCGAACCAAACGCATCAAAGTGCTTCAGAACGGTGTCCTGTCGTGAGGTCGGGGAGGAAGGGGAAGTAGGTAGGTAGCTACCTGATGATATCACACTACACGTATATTAGGACACGCGCAGACGCAGGCTCATGCATGCACGCCTAGCCAGTAACTAAGCGCACCCTGAGAAGAAAAGGAGGAAAAAGCAACGAAGTGACAGAGACGAGAAGGGGTGGTTTAAAAGGGGAAAGTAAGGAAGGAGAAAAAAGGCCAGGGAAAGAGGATGAAGACGGATGCAGAAAGCCGTTGGATCTAACCCAGGAAGAAAAGGGAGGGGGGAGCGAGTGGTCCGGTCAAGCCATGGTCAAGCAAGCCAAAAACGTCAGCCCATCGGCCCAGGGATGCTGCATGCATGCATGCGGTATGTGTGTGTGGTGTGGACTGGTTGTGTGGCGCACTGCTGGTCCCTCGAGTTAGAGAGCCGTTTGTTTGATCTGCGGCCGAACAGATATCGTGACGTCGTGATCCATGATCCGTGATACGCCGGCTACCAGCGATGCTTTTCGTTTTCTTTTTCTTTTTCTTTTTCTTGTTCCCTTTTTGTTTTGGCCCTTTGCTTGTCTGTTTGCCTGTCCGACTGATTGCGATGGTCTGCCCCCGTTTGCTTCGTGTTTCGTTGGGCAGCATCCAATCCACCGGCCCGGCTAAAGAAAAGCCAAGCGGCGCTGACAAGGAGTCAGGTGCGCCATTTCCCCTATTATTCCATGTCCCCGGCTATCCGGTCAAAAATCCGGGGTATTGTCATTTTTATGTTTTGACTTTTGCTTTTTCTTGTGTCGTCGACTTGGATGAACCATGGAGACAACGAAAGTATCGTCGGTAAGGGGTTGTCGTCTGAAGGATGCCATGCGCAAAGGGGAAGATGTCGATGGCTGGGGCGGCTTCAGCCGGGTCACATGGTCTGGTGCTTTAGAGTAATCAAAAACCGCCTTTAGCCTGATGGAAAGCAACAAAAGGCGCTGGGAAAAAAAAAAAAAAGAGAAAAACCAAGGGAGAAAAGCGAAGGAGAAGATTAAAAGTAAAATTAGGTCGTAAGAGCAACGGCGTCTAAAGAAGAAGTAGAAGAAGAGCTGTAGACGAGGGAAGCGACAAGACGAACAGGGGGGTATCTGATATCGCGGCCAATTCATTGTCCAGTTGAAACAGAAACCAAAAAATCAACACCCAATCGATACTCGAACCATGGCCAGAAGTACAAAGCAAGTTCCAGGAAAACCCAAGGCCCAAGATAAAATAAAAAGATAAAAAACGGTCCAGGTGAAGCGCAGTTTGGCTGGTCTTGTCGTTAACGGGGATAATAATTAACAGGAAGGAAAGGTTTGTTTTGTTTTTATGAAAAAGTAACTTCTAGCGCCCTGTTCTGTTGTTTGGGAGGAAACGTAGCATAAACGTTATATAGCATCACATAGCATGGCATCGCAAGACAGGCAGAGGTAAAACGGGGAGGTCGAGGTAATGTCGGTTCCACGAAAGCAGGTCAGGGAAGTGAGGAGGGTTTTGCGTATGAGTGTCAGCTCATGCCGATAATAATGTGTTGCTGGTTTGTTAGGAAAGGGTCATAAAGCGTAACCGGGTCATCAAATTAAGTAATGGGACAGGGGGGTCGGTGGGTGACGGAGTTAGAAGGTGGCGCAGGGATAGCCATGCTGTTCTGCCCGGTGTATCAAAGTCGTCCCCCTTGTTCGGCATGTGCCATGTGTGGTCGGGGGTTTGGGGTCGGAGTGAATGGAGTAAAGGAGATTTGTGGTTAGAGCGGTGTAAGAGGTGGCTGGGGTTGGTGGAAGTAAGATAAAGTGTTTTTTGCCCAGTTCGGATCGAGCTCGGGTTAAGAACGACCTCGATGGCTTCCAAGTTGAGAACGGAGGGCCGAGCGGTGACCAAAAGCCGGCAGGACAAGGGGAAGCCTGGTTATTTATGAGACTTCTTGCCCTTGCCTGCGCCGCTGGTCGAGGTAAGCTCAGTCTTGGTAGACATGGTTCTGGTCAAACCACCGATGTAGTCCTGCAGGAAGCGGTTCTCGTTCTCCAGCTTGTCATGGTCCGACTTGACCTCATCAATCCGGTCGGCCAGAGCCTGTAATGACGACTGTAGCGTCTTTGCTTGCCTATTTACCATTCATTAGCCGGAGGCTCAGAGCAGTTAAAGGGAGAAAAATAGATAACAAAAGGGCACCCACTCCTGGAGCGTAAGTCTCGCCTGAGTACCGAGTCTCTTGATATCTGCAAAGTTCCTTCGTGGGCTCATTGCACGAGCGTCATCTGGCGGAAACTCTTCCTTTTCGATCTCAATTTCAGGATGGTCTCGCGGAACAAGTATCGAGGCGCTAGGTTTCCTACTAGCGATGCGGGGACGGTCTGCTCTAGATTTCCGCTCTGACTCTACGTCGGAGCCAGAAGAAGATGAAGAGGCTGGCGAGGGATGTGAGTTCTCGTTGTCATGGTTCGCTGTGGAATGGGTTCCGTTGGTGGTGCCGTCGGAATTGCTATCGTTTGGGGCGGGGGAAGGCATTGTGTGGACAGGCTCTGAGGAGTTGTAAAGGCCGGTGCCAGCAGCCATAACGCTGGATTCTAATGTATATGTGCGAGGTGGGTATAATGACGAATATAGCCCCGGTTGACAGTCGACTTTCAAGTTTTGTTGTCCCACGCACTGCGTTATCAAGAGAGGGACAGCACGGGCTGACTTTGGCTGAGATAAGAGAGAGATGCGGTGACGGCGAGGTCCTAGTAAAAAGAGCGAAGAAGAGTGCGAATCCCCAGGAATAACTCGGGGGATTATCTGCAGGGAGCGAATGTAGTCTGTCTGTCGTTGCTGTAGCTGTGGTGGTGGTGGCCGTGTCTTCCTCTTCCTCTCTCTACCTGCAGAGAGACCGGAGATACAACAACTGTAAGGCGCGGGAAGCAAGCCAACGCAGCAAAGACAAGAAACGAGCCGGCCGCTTGACAGGGAGCGGACAGAGACGTGAATTGGCAGATGCTCGAAGTTGAAAGTCGAGCCTGGTGCCGAAGATGTGTGTTGTTGTTGTTGGTGTTGTTGTTGTTGTTGTAAGAAGTCGAGAGAGAGCGAAGTAGAAGCAGCAGCAGGAAGACGACGAGAAGAAGTACAAGAAGTCTAAAGCGTCCGAGGGAGAAAGCCGCAGTTTAGGCTTTGGCGGGAGGAGCCAATCAGAAGACAGTAACAGTGGGTACCTGTGTACGGTCTTGTAACTAAAGATACAAGCGGTAATTTACGCTGTAAAGCTGATACAAGGGAAAAAGACAAAGACCAAGGTGAAGACGAAGATGGAGATGGAGAAGACGAAGGGCGAGTTGGAGGAGTCCACGGACGCGAAATATATAGAAGACCGCGGAGGAGGAGGCAAGGGTGGTTGAACGAGCTGGCAGAGGCAGACGGCGAGTGGCAGATACGGTGAAGGGGGGGCACGACGCCGTGAATGGGACGGGGAAGGCGGATGGGATGGACGATGCAGACAGGCGAAGAGAGAGCGAAAGGGAATGAGAGGAACTGAGGGAGAGAGAGGGACGAGGATGAGTGAGAAGCCGTCAGGTCGTCCAAGGCAAATGACAAGGCAAGGAGGAAAGGTACAGGCCCGGTCAGCATCCGGTCAAATCGTTAAGCAGCAAGCTATGCATATGTACGGAGTACAGAGTACACATAGTTATTGGGTTATCGTCATCGATCGATGGCCATAACTAGTCAACTAGCCCTCGACGCTGGCAGCATAGGCTAACTACTACACGTCACAGAATATCCCAATGCAGGCTGGTCCCAGCGAGATGGATCATGGATCATGCATGATGTATGGCGGGCAAGGCAAGCGCTTTCTTTCATCGCGTCCTGCCTATCGCTGGAGTGGCCGCCGTTGAACAGCCAGGCGGGCTTACTGGCTGGCTAACTATACATACTTGGTTAGTGGCACGGTAGGGGCCGGGTTAGTTACATGGACATGGCCGGAAAGCTCGCCCGTTAGGATCAGAAGCCCGGAGCAGACCTGCTTGATTTGTGTACATATATGGAGTGTACGGATATAAGTATATGTAATATGTGATACTGGACATCCCCTGCTCTTAACCATATACTTTCGGGATGCACGGAGACTTTCTCAGCAGCATTACTTCTACGATTACAACTGTACGTAAGGGACGGACAGCACGGAACTGTGCTCCTTTCAACGGACGGCTGGTGCCATCACGAAGTTGTCGATGTAAATACGGGATTGAGTATGGAAGGTGAAGTTGCCTTCATGCTCCTTGTATAATATCCCTGACTTGAAAATTAACTTATCATTTAAGTACCGTTGTACGGAGTAAGCCTTAGTATATACTCCGTAGCCATCGTCCATCCCACGGCCGACTATGTACACTACCACACCATGTTGACCCCCTGCTGATCTACAAGCTCTCCACCACTCGGAGACAGGCGAATCCACCAAGCAACAACTTGCAACTTGTTAATAAGTTATTCATTCTTGATTGATATTCTTCTGACTGGGCAACTTGACTGAATCAATTATTCAGCAGCCTTTTTTCGGCTACAGCTTCTTCTATCTTCTCTTCCTTTCGGCAGCCTTGTCGCAAAGCGGGCGTCATCCGATGTGCCAAGTCTGTTCTCTCAACTGTGCCAGACATGATTAGTTAGGGAGGATGAAGTATTGCAACCCCCAGTGCGAGGTTATACACTTGCAAAGGTACTTTAAGGTTGTTCGTGAAGTAGGTGTATATATATATATATATATATATTCTCACTCCCTAGGGCAGTCCTGGCTTGCTGCTGCCTGCTGCAGGACATGTATATGGTTATCCCTTCTTCTGGAAACTTTCGACGCCTTGTTTGATACTTTGAGTCTGTGGCCAAAATAATACGCACAGGCAGGCAGCCACAACCTCCCTCTCCTTGCCGCCCCCCTTTACTCTTCACCAACCACAAATTATAGTTTAAAGCATGAAATGGAGAATGGATGGGAACTGATAGAGGAGGAGGGATTTTGACATAACAGGCTGATTAGGGTGGGGGACCCTTGTCTAGTAATCAGCTATAGAAAGGACTTGATATTATTAGGCATTTTTTCCCTTCCCATCTCTATCTCCCTTCCCACCATCCTTCCATGCTCACTTATTCAGGGACACAGTCGCAGGTTAAATGCTAGAAAAGCGCCAATTATCTCGTCTTCAATAAAAACGTCTTCTTTCCTTTTTTCTCCCTAACGTTCAAGCATCTCCTGGTTCCTTCCAATATGGTTCTGGAAAACGATCGGAGATGATGCCAGGCGATCTTCAGAGATATCAAGCAAGCTGTTCATTAGGTGGACATCTGCCGTTCTATCTCTTTCTCCCTCCCTCCCTCGCTCTCCCCTTTTTCTTGTTTTCAGTGTTTCAAAATCCTTCAACCTCTCGTCTATCTTCCTTTTGGCGCTATGATTACCCTTCGCCCAAGAGTTTCTTTTCTACCGCTCCCGAGACGGTGACAACTGGAGGTGAAGGTCAACCTTATCTTTAAAGCAATTAGCTTTGCCTGTCGCCTGACAGCACGCCATCCTTTGATGGTAAAGCATGTATGTAACTCCGTATATGGAGTGCCGTCCTGAGCGATTAAATGTATTATTCTTCGTAAAACAGAACAAGGAGACTCGTTGGTTGGGTGAGAGAGGGATTAACCCCCTGTTTAGTGTCCAGTGTGGATAGATAATGGAGCCCTTCTCATTTTTTTCTTGGGTCAGCATAAGTACTCTATATATCGCAGTTTGATGGAGATTCTATAACTGGCTATGTATTTGTGTTATCATCGCTCAAGCTGTTGAGAAACATAGTTGTTCTCTAACTGAGAGCCCCAGTCGACGAATACTTGCCTGAGGCGTTGTTGGCGTGGGGTTCAACTCCAGACATCATAATGGCCTGTGATGCCATTTATTTGTGCTATCTCGCCGATCGATGATGATGCATGCTGATCAGTGCTCGCCATAATTCGTGGAGTACATACCAAGTCGTCACTCTATTCTCTGCTCCCCACACGGCTTTACGGCGGTTGAAAAATTCTGCTTTGCCCAGTATTTGCTCAGTAAAAAAGAGAGAAAAAAAAAAATTCTTCTCTCGTCCTCGTTCTCTCGCGCTTTGATTCACTGCAGGCGTATAAGGAACTCCATTTTCACTAGCGGCAAAGCGACTAGTGGGCGGGCGATGACGATGAACAGTATTTCCACCTCTCGGCGTCGCTCGTCGGCTGGGTGCGAACAGACGTCAAGAGCGGCGAATATGTTACAAGTCAACCCCATCCACCCTCCTTTACTCTGTAATTACTGTTAGTGCATGGTAAAGTAATTTCAGTTTCTTGGAAAACGTTATAAGCATATTCGCTGAAGATCCACGGCATCTGATGCAATTCAGTTTCGCTGGGCATAGGATAAGCGCCAACTCAACCTGGTAATTGGGGCATATTTGCCTTTAAGACACCAACAAACATATCTTTCTAACTTGGGACTGTATGAAGATGTAGTGTATAGAAGTACGAGCAGCTCGATGCCACCCCCATATCTCCGCTCCCATGCAGTTTGCCCAATCCTGACGCTGGCCCTGCCAAGCGGCCACCCGTCAGGTAGGTAAAGTAGGTTGGTGGTATGCGTAAAAGACGAAAGTCAAGTTGGGGCAGATGGTGATACTTCGGTGCGAGCAGGTCAACCACCTGTTCACGGGTCTCCTGAGAGCATGTCTGCCTATAGCTGAGGCAGGTCAACGAGACAAAACTGGCCGTGGTTTCTTCCCAACCCCCATCCCCCGATCTTTGTGGCCCCGGGTGCCGTCATACGGCGACATATACGTCATAAAAAAACTGGAGCACTTCCTGATGATCGTTCGCCCTGTAGCGTTCAGGTTGCTGACACAGACTTGAAGCAAGTGAGTGGCCCTGGAGGGATTTCCTGTGTCTCCCGTGTACCACAGACTGCCGTCCACTAGCTGCAGTACGTGGTGTCTGGAGTATGGTGTACTTCGAAGGTAGCAGGTAAGGCAGGAAAGTCTAGGGGACAGCGTAGCGTGACCCTGCCTCCACCAGGATAAAACCTCCCGGCTGCCCACGATGCTGCGGCGAGCCTCGTGAGACGAGCTGGCGAAGTAGCGGTAAGCTGCCAGGCTCTCTCGCTCGTTTCTGACGGCGGTCCTTTTGTTTTTTCCCTTCCCTGCATCCCTTGCTGACCTGAAGCTGCTCATGAGGTCGACGTCATGCTAAAGGTGACCAGGGAGACGATGTTAGGTAAGACGGACGGCCGGCGGTTCTGCTTTCTCTTCCGAGAAGGGCCCGGAATCGGAGCTATATAGACCCGTAAGCTTAGTCACCCGTAAGTTTGTTTGCTTTGTCAGCAAGACGTCGTTTCTTCCAACATCGCGAGGACAAACAAGACGACCGGCTTTTGATATCTGGTGCAGCTCGAGTGACTTGCTATCACACCTAGCTTGCTTTGGGTTGACGAAGCTGCATGAACGGGACACTGACGTATCGCTACCTGACAAACCCGCGGTGATGCGGGCGTTCTCATCGAAATGACAGTACTAGCTGATACAAAACCAACCCCCCATGCATAACGACGACCAACCCGCACCTTAGTTATATCCTTGACGACCAGGCTGTCCGCCTGCATATACGCAACGCACAAACAAACACGCCAATTATCCGGGAAATAAGCCTAACAGAGTTAATCCGGGCATCCCACCTTCAACCTCCCACTTCACACATTTTCCTCGTGAGGCAGTTGTCACTACTCGAGAGTGCTATGGGAAATCAAGGAAATGAAAAGCAAAACGGAACCAAATAAGGAGAGAGGGGAGGAAGAGAAAGTAAGATGTACATATACTCCGCATACTCTGGTTTAAACATATACATAGGGAGTATACGGGACTCCGGCTATCTATATATAAGTATGCTCACGCAGATGCAGCCCCCGTCACCACGCGGGATGGCTTTTCTGTCGCCTCGGCCAGCTGCATCAGACATTCGCATATGTATGCGCTTCCAATTAAAGCAAATGCAAGCTCGGCATCATTCCCTGGCATCATTTTTTTCTCACTTTTTTAGGTTCCTATGCATTCCTATCGCTGGACGGGAACCACGTTGCGTCTCTGACAGGGGGTAGGGAGGCCATTGCCGACATCTGGTCCCCTTGTGCGGTCTCTCACCACTCCTGGTTGGCTCGTCGGCTACTGGAAATACGAACGGCTATTGACTCCCCTGTATGTCTTTAAAACTCAACTCTCTTTGCCTGGACACAGAGTTCATCCTCCCATGGCATGTGCCTGGGGTGTTGTTGCTGTTGATGTTCAGGCGGCGGCAGCGCTGGCTAGGGTGCGGATGCTAGCGCGAACGTACGGGGTGTCAAATGTTGGTTTTCGCTCTTTTTCCCTGCCTTTGGGAAAGTTATCTTTCAGCACACACGGACGCGGGCTCAAGGCACGATATTAGAAACGTACCCCTGCAAAACCGGCGGTTCAAAGGGTCGAAAAATGCCTTTCACATTTTCCATCACTTCCGTGCCTCTTTCTCAACAAGCAGGGCCCAAAGCGGATGGTTTCACGGTGAGCCATTTAGCTCGACAATGCAATGTTCATGTGTTCGTGTGTTCTATATCTGCACTTGACTGCTCTTCATGCCGGCGAGATGCACTTCGACATCTCATGCACCGCACAAGGATCGGTATCTCTGTGTCGACGGACCAGAACTGCCCATTATCTTCGTTTGAACCAATGTGTCCAGGCTGGCAGGTGCTTTTCTAAGGGTATTTTCTTCGCTGGCATGGGAGATGCGAATCCTATGCGGTTTCCCTGTCCTATGTGACATAGCGATCCGGGCTGTCCATTGTAACCCAGGTGGTTTTTGTGCAACTGACGGTTTATCATTCTCTTGAAGAATGCTTTCTAGACCGTCGAATGAGTGTTTTCTGATGACTTTTGTATGATAGTCTTCGCGCATGAAGACATGATCAGCCATGGCGCTTAGATCGAGTTCTTTGTTTGTCGGCGGATATACCTATTCTCAAGCAGAGGGTTTCCACGGTCTAGCTATATATGCTAGACCTTGCATGAGCTGCTCTTTTAGCTGTGTGACGAGGTGCGGAGAGCGGGTGTTCGCTTGTTATCCCCAGATGGACAAGGTGTGGTTACGCAACCTGGCGTTCCACCCGCAAGAAGCAGCTCCGTTCATGATGAAGAACTGGCGGGCATCTCAACTGTCTAACATCGGGATACTTCTAGACAAGGGGAGTAATGTGGACCAGTCTGAACCTCCTCGCGTTGTTGGACAAGCCCGAACATCCCGGAGGTGCATGTCTCATGGCCGACATTCCTCCCCCAGCTCCCTCGAGCGGGCAAGGGAAATTTAGATGTGTGGGAGATCGCCAGTTTGTAGTGGGAGGCAGGGAGTCTCTGGAACAAGCATCACAGAAGATGGGATGGATGCTAGACGTTCCTCGCTATTCCCTTTTCCACCTCCGTCCTTGCCTGCCGTGTCTCAGCCGAAATTTGTCATCGCTGGGTCTAATGTTCCTGATGCATCAGGTTTGCTACTACATGGACTTCCGATGTTCGATCCTAAAACCTCCTTAGAAAAGTGGCCTAAGCACCTGGCGGCGAACAACATGCGAGGAGGCCTGCTGTGTACGGGGTACTACAGACCTAAGTACCGTGGGATGTACACCCCTTGCAATCAATCAAGCCAACCATGACCAAAATAACAACTCGCCTACTCCGGCCCATGTAAGCTAGTTCCTGCGGGAAGCACATGGTGCGGCTAAGCTGCCTTGTATTTCTCCCCACTCTGTGATCGGAGCTGGGGGAAATGAACAGACCTCACATCAGCCAGCCGGAGAAGCAACGAATTGCTAAGCGAACGAGCAATCAATTGAAGCCCATCTCGCATATCTACCACACAGAGTACGTCCGGGTATTTTGTCGATACGGTGGTGTGAGGGTTAGGCTAGCGAAAAAGCCGGAGAGAAAAGGACCCCAAGCTAAACATGTAAGCCCGGACATCTTTCAGATTTCTCTTGCTTGGGAGACGTGGGTGGCTGATATCAAAAAATAGCACCATCCATACCCTCGGAAAGTCAGCGCTTGATTGATCGGTGCTACCGATCCATGTCCACGGGTGAGATCCCCTACCCTTGCATGCACGATTACTTAACTATCGCCTATGGATCGTGATTTCTGGTTTGATGGTGAGATACAAGGCCAGTCCTTTTTATTATCACCCCCGTTTTGAACCACTGGCCTTCGTTTAATTAATCACTTTACTTCATTTTCTTCTTCCTTCCCCCCCGTCTCTCTCTCCTTCCTTTTTTTTTTTCTTTTCCGTTTTTCTCCCTTGCCGGTTGCTTGCTTTTGTCACCCAAGAACCAAGCTGGATGCGCCTCTTTTGGTCCCATGTCCACTTTCCAGGCAGCTAGAACAAAGCCATGCCTATTCGGGCTTAGCGCCAGCCCTTTGGCCGGCATGGCTTTGAACTTCCTCTGAGATCTGATATCGAGAGCACTGCAAGAAAGACTTGCGTCTCTCGCGGAAAATACGAACATAGGCGTGCATAGTATTGGCGGGTACTATGTCCTCTGCCCATTCTTTGACGAAGCCACATTCCTTTACTCAACGCCGCCCGGATGCGCAGTGGGGAGTTGGCGCATACTACTTAGTTATCTCGCAACCGCAAACGCCGCATTTTGGTCATGTCTTGAAGTCCCAGGCCTGAAAGAAAAAGAAAAGAAAAGAAAAAGCCCTAGACAAAAGCCGCAGTCGCCCAATGGCTAAGAGAATGATGGTCAAAAAGGACCTCTCTCACGATACCCGGTGGCTATTGGTTGATTGTCTACCAGGTCTTATTGTGTTTGCTTTTCGAAGTCCTACTGGACTTGTTCCTGGGCCATTTGGATTGTGACTATGCCTAATGTCCCGAATACATTTCTTCGATGTATTCTCGATAACGTCACAAGGCTCACTGCGAGTGGGTTTGCCTCTATCATCTTTTCTTTTTCCATTTCTTTTTTCTTTACTCGGAAAATGTTCCCATACCAATCACCTGTCAAGATGAGATGATTTTTTTGTTTACGCCATGATATATGGTTCCAAATTCGGCTCTTTATTACCTCTATTCATGGCAACAATCCCCTATCCCCCCCTCCCGGCTTACTAGGGCTAAGCCATGTCCGCGGGATGGACCACCAGGGCTGCTCAGGCTTCCAATCTAGGCCCAACTAGTTATATCCTCACACTGGACACTGGACATCTGCCTACCGGAGATTATATCAAATTCAGCGTGGCCATGACGGCCTAAGGTTACGGGGTTGTCATCTACGCTAGCTCTGAATCAACTGACGAGCGCATCTCTGATGTACCCAGACTCGCAACCCGCCGTTTCATCACCTGTAGGTAGCTTGACGGCATTCTGTGGACCATTCATGACTGCATGAGACCCCTTCGCCGACCGTTCCGGCAACCAGTAGTCATTGAATTTCTTTTTCTCTATACGTTGCGTAGGCCACTGGGTCGACCAATATGCCATCCCTTTACTTCTGTGGCTTTTCCCACTGGTTCGACTTGCCTTTTCTATGGCAGAAATGCCCCCGCTGTTGGCAAATTTGTAGTAATTCTACTGGAACCGGGAACACGGCTCAGGATCCATCCCACCGTTTCAGTGGCTTGATTCCTGCCTTTCGCTTGGGCTGCATCTTTTACGTGATGGAGTTGGAAGAAAGGAACAGGGCTTTTTTCTCAAAGCTAGCTGCCGACCTACACCAGATCGGTACGGAGCATAAGGACTTGGAACAAGGCCTCCTTTACATAACACTTCTGCCATGTATCTTCATACTTGTTCGGACTGCAAGTACATAGATAAAAGGCAACACCTCTTTCCATGCTTTTTCATAGCATCAAGGAGACGTATATGGTTCTGGGAACTGATTCTTCTCGCTCTGTCAAAATGAACTTCTCCGATCAGTCAGCCTTGAATTTTGTTCTAGTTTCCCAGGAGTATGACCACGACATTCCTGGAAGATGGCCCGTCGAGTCCATGCTTTCTATCCAGAAAGCCGTTGAAAGTCAATCATGGATGACGTTCAGCTGGGTTCAAATTACCTCTATTCTTATAGTTATATGGCTACTTATTGTGGCGACTCTACGAGACCGGAGAGAGCGGCAGAGGAGAAAACGCTTCAACTTTCCTACGAGAGAGTCGTTTGCCAGAATGACCGTTCGTGATGCCTGGGCCATTCAGCTTAATCTCATGGACACCGAGACCTCCTTTTTCTTCATGCTTGCACTGAAGTTTGCCATTTTTTCGGTATGATAAGCAATAAGTTGCTCTAGGCTGAGTTTCTTACATACATACAATCCCAGCATCATATGTGCTAATTTATATATACTATAGGTCAACGGTATACCTTCCATTTCTGGCTTGCTGGTCAAGACAAATAAGCTCCCTTCGGAGCGTGTTCATCTACGCTATTCCATGACCTCAGTCATGATCGCTGAATTTCTCGCCTTCCCGCCTGATGATGAAAGGGCATTACAGGCTATATCTCGAATGAACAATATCCACCAAACTTACCAGAAGGCCGGTAAAATTTTAAACGATGATCTACTATACACCCTTGGGCTTTTTGCTTATCTCCCTGTCCGGTGGGTCGGTAAATATGACTGGCGTGCACTGACTGACATGGAGAAATGTGCACTGGGTACATTCTGGAAAGATATTGGTGATTGTATGGAAATCGACTATTCACAACTACCATCCTTTAAGTCTGGCTGGAAGGATGGTCTCCACTGGCTTGAGGAAATCACAGAATGGGGAGATCAATATGAAAAAAAGAACATGGTTCCCTGCGAGAGCAACCGGACAGTTGCTCTCTCCGCTATTGGTATCATACTCTATATTGTTCCTGACTTCCTAAAACCGACGGCAAAGAAGATGATATTTGCTTTACTGGAAGATAGAATGATAAAGGCGTTGATGTATGTATGCTGTCAATCCTTTGGAATGTGTCTTTCTATGCTAACCACGTCTACACTATTAATAGGCTTCCTGAGTCATCCAAATTATATAAACTCTCCGTTGAGGCTATACTTAATATCCGACGTTATATAGTCCGCTACTTCTTTCCACCTCGCCCTTCGTGCATGCGCTTCCAACCCCTGGCTGCAGAGCCTGACAAGGATGGCAGGTATTATCTGCAAACATACGACTCCAAACCTTTCTACATCAAACCCACAATTTCATCCCGCTGGACTTCTCCTGCTGCTATTATTAGAAGGGTTCTTGGCCTGCCTTTGCCAGGAGACAATGGTAACGAGTATTGCCCTCGAGGGTATCGACTGGAAGAGCTAGGTCCCTCCTGGATCCTGGAGAAAAAGACAATCCAACAAGATGTTAAAATCGCTCGTCAAAGATTGCACGAAAATCACACCACTGGCTGCCCCTTTGGATGAGAATTATTCGTATGTTGGGATATTGGGTTGTGGGCTAGGATATATAACTGGGTAGGTAATTGGTCACTATCTTCATTTTTTCGTCTTTTCTACTTTTATCTTTTATCATTAGTTACTTTTACTTCTTTTCCCTTTCTACTTCCTTTCTGCACATTTTTCTACCTTGGCACGTACCCGTACCTCGCTTTGGCGGGCTACGTTTATATACGGAACTCATATATTGGAGCACCTTAATATATACCTAGGTAGCTGGGAGGCTGGCGAGATGCTTGGACTTTACCCTACATTCTTTATTATTACTCATTGAGAACCCCCTTTGTTTCTTAATCAACTATTATTGCGTTCTGCGTGGGGATACGCATACATAATAATGAAATACCGTAGAAAATAAGCTACAAATAGCTGGAATAAATGTCCAGGCATTGTTTCACAGGGGCAATTGCTTGACAAATCAGGTATTTCAATATTAATGAGAATCTATTGATACCACTGATGATAGCTAAGAATAACTTGATAAAAAAAGAACTCCCCCAGCCGTCTGTTTGGCGCCTCGTATCCCCATATCCCCAATCTTTCAAAGACATATTCCAAGAAAGAGTCACAAAGGTAGATGTGTTTATAAGTAACCTGTGTACTATTGTTCAAGTCCCATGTCAGCGTCTCAATGAAGGTGTTGTCTCCCATTGGTATAAAGCCTTGAACACTGCGAGGGCACCGGATTGTGTTTCTAGTGTACGGCCCCGTCCGCGGTCATTCACATCCATGACTGCCTTGGCAAAATCACGTCTGGTTCCAGCACTGCCTGCTTCCGACTTGGAAGCCATAGAGCCTTGAATTTCACGAGCGACAGGACGCAGCTGGCCACTAACGATATTGCTGGGAGCTTCCTTGGCAAAATGTGTTCGGTTTCCCTTAGCCTGTAGGAATGCAAGGTCGGGGCTGGCGCGGTTGATTGGCGGGTCAGAGTTGCTGTAATCCACGGCACCATGCGGCAACACAACAGCATTTTCAGCACTGTTAATCTCGCTGTCAGCATATTTGGGACCCCACCACATCCCGTATTTGCCTTTCTCATTCTTAGTAACAGATGCAGCGTGAGCATTGTGCTCGACCCAGTGTAAGTAGGATGCACAAGTTCGTTGATGCCATCTAAATGCGTTTCTTCGATCTTCCTCGCTAGTGTTATCGCCTCTCGCCGACTTATAGAGTGCTGGATCAGAGAGCATCCTCTTCTCTTGGGGGTTAATCTGTCGACAGAATTCTGCGAAATGATTAAAGAATATACCTTTGAATGTTTGTCCGTCCTGCGAACATAAGCCAGTACTATCACATGCCTCCTCTAAGACTCCTCCCCTCCCGAGCCCATGCCAAGTGTGATCTGACTTTGCTGGCCAACCCGTCGCTTTTATCACATTCTTGACGAGGTTGTGACCATCTTCGAGATAGTGCCTCTTTCCAGTGGCCAACCAAAGACCCCTGAGCCCGCTCAGTATAACTCCTTGGTTATAGGTGTACACCATTGTGTTCAGAACATCGCATTTGCCCGTTCCAGGATCCTTTGGAGTCCATCCGTGTATGTGGAACCCATCCCCGTACAGACCGTTGGACCCAGTCATGTTTGAGTCTTTAAGCCACTTATAGGCTGTTATAGCAGCGTCCAGATGAATGGGATTGCGGGGTAGGCTCACCAACCCATCGCCCTGAAGCTGGCTTTCCACAATTGGCGAGTCGATGGGATCACCTGGAAAGTAGAGGTACATATCAATACTTGCTGATATGAAGAGCTCATTTGTGATAGCGTTCTTATAAGGAGTAAGCCAAGGGCTCCAAATCATGCCACCACCGCAGAGCAGCGTGTCCCATCCCCGCGCTGCTAAATCATAGAATACCCGCGCCCTGTGTGCCGCAGGGGTCCTGTATTGGGTTCCATGCCACGAGTGGTGATGGTCTGGCCTGCTGTTGGGATGGCGGCCAAAATGCAACTCTGAATGCAAGTTTTGAAATTTGATGCTCTCCAGCCACTCCAAAACAACCCACAGCATGTCATCATAAGCTTGCAGCCGTATCCCAAAGAAGTTCTCCCCATGCCAAAAAGCTGACGTTTGCTGGAAGTAATAACTGATTAGGTTCTCGGTGGACATTGCCGCATCACCATAGCAGCTCGACTCTGGCGCATCGTCTGTAAAGTCGAGCGTGGACGACAGCAGAGATAGGGCGGAAAGAATGTGGGTATTGACGACTGCTTTGGTCCAGTCAATGCCTGTTGGCCAGGTCGCCTGCCAGAGGCTGAAGTAGTCCGACTGCATCACGTCAAGGGTCTCAAGCATCGTCCTTAGCGTGTTACTAGCAGGGGGCCAAGAAGATGGAGGTGAATGCCCCGGAAGAGGCTCCTGTTTATTTTCCGAGTGTTCAACACCAGCTTTAGGCTCTGCTCCAATGAGCGGGACCTGTTGGTCGCCGTCAATGATGATGATCTGCTGCGAGATGTCATCATTGGCTAGAACAAACGGAGCCGCCGAGGTACCGGCACTTAAGGAGAGGATTGTTGATATACATATAAGGATAAATAGGGGGAAGTTCAAGAATGAATGGTGGCCGCTGGCGGGCCATGATCTGACGGTATACATGCTGACTGGTGTCTGCCGAAAAGAAAGAAATATCCCCTAAAAATGAGAGCAGTCCAGGCTATTATAGCCGCCTGAGGAGGGCGTTGAGTTCTCGCATCGGCAGTTTTGGTGCTCGTGTGACCAGCGCTGGGATGTAGAGCGAGCGATCAGAAGGTCGGGGACAGGCGTAGCGGTGAAAAGGAAAGAAAGCCTGCGCATCCACAAGTCCGAGATGCTGGTTTGCTCAGATGTCTCGTCGCATGAAATAGCTATCAGACGGGAGCATCACCAGCGTGCGACAGAGATCTTGCATGCGCTCTCGTCGCCTCCCCTTATGTTTCATGCATTGGAGTTTGAACCGGACAAAGTTGGGGAAAGTCGTTGCGGGGAGAAGCAGCAGCCAGCCTGGTCCACTTACGTAAGCACAGCCTTGGGACTCGTCTCAGGCGCGCTTGGCTACAGGCAAAGAAGCGGCCCAAGATGCAATGCGTGTGGAGGGCGGGATGATGATAGCCTGCAGTGCGGGCTTAAGCCAATATATCGAAGAGGTCTAGCTGTTTAGGGCACTCCCGGGAGTCGTTGGGAGTCGGTAAGCGGCTGAAAGAGAGAGCATGCTGAGTATCAAGATTGACGAGATACATTTAACACGACCGTCCATTTCTACAAAAACATGTCTAGCAGATGAACCTCACTGCGATTGGTAGTTTTGGAGTATTGGGTTATCTGCCGAGGTAGTGTGGCTGCTACCGGAATGATTGAAATCCGGCTGCTTTGGACTGTATGGTCTTGAGAATGCGAGTGATATCAATTTAACTAAAACAAGCTGTCAGTAACGATCGCTAGTATATAAGTTATGTGACGATTGATAATCGTAATCAAACGTACCTATTCTACTTAGATGACAGGGAGCCGACATGGCCTTGAGCTGCCGAGTGAGGGGGCTATTAGCCCAGCTAGTAGCAGTAGACTGACCAGCATCACAAGCGCGAAAGGGCATAGTCGGCATTTTCAGGCTCTTCCCATTCCTTCATTTTGTGCCTCTAAATTGCTTGCCGCCAAACTCGAATTGTTTGGGCACGGAAGCGTAACTATAACAAGAACCTAAGGCCAAGATCCAATGTAATGGTCGATCAAATATCCACCTGTCGCTTCATTATTTGCCCGTGAACACAATCGGATTGCTCTTTGGGAGACGCCTAAGATCGATCGTTATTCCCCTCCGGACTGCGGCTTCTTTCACGGCTCCGGCTTCGTCCTCTGTTTCCACCACGCCCGCGGTTGGAATTCTGGCCGCCACCAGACTTCCCCTTAGACGAAGGAGGAGGCCGTACGAAAGCGAAGTCAACTTCGATTGTTTGATCGAGCAATTTGGCGCCATGCAGCGCCTTGATAGCTGCCTCTGCCTCTGGGAGGGTCGGGTATTCTATTAACGCGTATCCCTACGGGAAGAAAACCAAAGTATATTAGCTCACTGGTTTTAAGACAGAATAAGACATGGGAGGAAGGATATTATTGAGTGGAGTGTGTACAATACCTTCACATAACCTGTCCTTCGATCAAGATTTAGATTGAAATTCTTGATATCTCCGTATTCCGCGAATAGATCTGTAACATCCTCCTCTGAAGCCTCTTCATGTATGTTCGTAGCAATAATGATCCATCCCTCAATGCTGCGCACTGCTGCTGCTGAAGCGCGAGTACGTGGTTCGGACCCAGATCCAGACTGCTGCGGCTCTGGGGAGAGAGGAGGGTCGACTTCCATTTCGCCTGACATGTTGGTTTCCGTTGTTCTTCCTATTGTATCTGTCTCCCTCGCAAAAAGCCGGTCAGTGATGAGCCCAGGTGCTCGCTACAGCTTTTTCTCTTTCTTTATGGCTTCTTGGTTGTTGAGGGGCGATGAGAAGTGAAGCTTAGGCTCAATTTTTAACTAGAGACGGGATTATGTAAGCGAAGTTTCTTTTGACCTCGTCGTTCGTTAAAAAGTTGAGGTGGAAAAAACTTGACATATTATTTTATATGCTCTGTGTTATATGAAAGGTGTGATCATAACTATATACATGGATGCTAACTAATGGTATATACTGTCGGTGGGATATATTAATCAGGGATGCGAAAACGTGGACTCCTCACAAACACTTCTCCTTGCGTCTGTGCCCCTTAACCAAGCCACTAATATATATGTTCATGGTATATATATACACCCAAAACTACCATGTCACGTCGCGGTTATATATTGTGGCTGTGGCCGACGACATCTATTTGGCGCCAGAGGTCTCGATAAGGAAGGTTGCAGCTGAATCTGCGTGCATGGCATATTCGGAGTGAGCATCAAGATCGAATCCGTTCAAGCACACAGGGTCTCCCTTGTTGCAGTATTCCTTCGTCTTCTCCGGTGCGATGTTCACAAAGGGGACGAAACGGCCTGGGTCACCGAAGACCACAATTGCCGATATCTCCTCGTGGGTTAAAAGTTTTCCGGCGTGGGTGACCATTGCACCCTGTGAATATCCTGCGAGAACGATCTTGCTGTCGGGGCATTGGGCAACGGACTGCTTTACGAGATCGGCCATTACCGGGCCTCCGTTGAGACCTAGGAGCAAATTTCCCTGTGCGAGGACTAGTTAGCTGAACCGCACTGCGTACCTATATACCCAGATACATATAAAGGGCATCGACATGGCATTCCAGTGCTTCGGATAAAAGAAAAACGGAGAGCATACCTCTGGAGTGGCGTCGTAGTTGACTCCCTGAACTATGACCTTGTTGCCTGTCTTGGCTCGAAGAGCAGCAGCAAGCGGCCTACCAATTCCTTTACCCATGTTGCCCATCTCATTGGTCCCGCGGGCAAAGATCATAGTCAGCGGCTGGCATGGCGCATTGTCCAGGATTCCGTTCTCCACCAGGTCGTCCTCAGCGATCGATGCAATCTGAGAGCTTGTCTGTTCCTGATGTTTTAAGACTTCGTCGAGCTTAACCAAGGCCTCGAAGACTAATACAGAAGCATCTTTGGCAGACATGTCCCCAGCTCCTAACCATTGCGGTAGTTTGTTGTCAGGGAGGACAGCCTTCGAGGCTGCGATATGCGCTTCCCTGGCACCATTGGGCGCGGCTACGGCGCACGCCACGAAGCCCAGAAGGACGCACGACTCAAGCTTCATCTTGACTCTAACAATATCTATAAGAAGATACCGAATAGCTTAATGCAGGGTTATGATTCTGCTGTGGCTTGGTGTGTAAGGGGGGCGGCGTCTAGTGCAGGCGACGTTAAAGCGTGGGTAGAGGTGACTCCTATGCGAATTTGGACGGTTGGGAGGCCCTGCTGTGTTGGACAGGAATCGATGAGGAAGTAAAAATGATCTTTCAATTAAGTATACTGCGAGAAGGTATACCACAACCGGGGCACCAACGAAGGGGGTAAAAGGCGTCACTGACAGCCACACCAAGGGGATAGAATGCAGAATAAATACATGAAACCCCCTTCTCCCGGCTTTTTTCAGAGCAATGCCTTCCAAAGTAAAAGCCAACGACAACACGAGAACATCCAGTGCCAGCGTGGCCAAGGCATGTGAAATGAAACCTTGGGTTCCATTCTGTCTGCACAAAAGGGCATCTTCAGGTGGGGGGTCAGCTAGGCCGATGCGTTCCTAGAGTTAGAATGGGAAGCGGATAACCAATAAGGCGGCAACATGCGATTTTAAAAGAGCCGTGTAAATACAGAAATAACTAACTCTCCGTGCTCCCGTCGGAGCTCGATTCCAGCTTAAAATATGTGTACAACATTCTGGCGACCCAGTTCGATAATCCAAATTTTCGGTTCAGTCCGATGAATGGATCTAATCTGGAGGATCTGGATGGCTTTCGTCTCTCAGTGGCTCACATGCTACGTAAGGCCAGAAAAAGCATCAAGCTACTGGATGAACCAAGAGCTGATCACATATTGATATCACCAGTATCCTGGGTTACGTGCTTTAGTGTGAGCTCATTAACAAGGAACAAGGGGTGAGCTGTCCGAACTTGCAGGGTGATCATCGGTGCGTCGATGGAGACGGTGCGTCGATGGAGAAACTGCAACATGGAGGAGAACTCGTTAACTGCTTAACTCTCTAGTTAGTTCGTCACAGCGATGCCTGAAACACCGGTAGAACAGATTTTGTTTCTTTGCCATCTACTCCGTAAGTCTCCATCACCGTGGCAAGAACTAGAGGATCGTGAATGTGAATCTCGATGCCTCCGTGCTGCTGTCTAAGGGAGTTGAATCAGCAAGTCAAGTAGGACTCTGTACTTTAGGCAGCTAGCTAGCTATCATCAGATGACGTCCTGTCTTGTGGCTGAAAGCCGGCTGAGGATGCCGGCGCGCAAAGCCCAGCACCCTCCCTGGCCACCTTGTAAAAAAAGAACTCTGGACTCCCTGGCCAGTGATTAACCACAGTTCGAGCGAGAGTTGAGCACACCTGCAGACATCGGATTCGTGATGTAACTGGCAGGCCGCCAGCCCCATGCGAGTTATGCGGAAAAGTTGATCCTGGCACGGCGAAGGATTACTCCGTTCCATACCGGTCGAATGATAGTTGTAACTAACCCTGGTTCGGCCCAGTAAAAATAGATGGAACCACCGAATCCCGTATTGAGGTTTGCTTGTGTGTGATGCGTCACTTGAGTACGTTCTTGGTGCGGTTATGTACTCCGTACATCTGTCCCAGGACCCGACTCTAGCGCTGGCCAGGGATGCGACGCTGTTCTCAACCTCGGGTGTTTAGGGAGACGAAGTTACTGAAGACAAGGTGAGAATTCGATATAAGAATATACCATTTGAATGCCGGCTCAAGCAAAAGTGGACTTAGCTGTCTTGCAACGTCTTCCGCTCGCCCGATGGCTTCCCCGCAGGCAGTCTTATGTAGAATGCAGTGTCCTTCCAATGCCATCTCTTCGATACCTCCTCAGGATGTGTGTATATACCTGGCAAAGGGATAAACAAAAAGAAGGATTCTTTCTGTCTCTTCATCCTTTCAAAGATATCAGAGTACTATGTATTCACTGTTCCGGTGGAGCTGGCCTTTTGAGAAATCCGTGAAGTTGAAGTTGTATCTGGTTACTTCATGTCTTCTCTCTGGTTCTTATGTCGGCCAGAGAAGATTGAATGGACAGAATGAAGGCCTGTCTCGGCATCAGCCAAAAAGGTGCCTTCCTCTGGCCTAAGTCTTTGTTGATGTTGACCTTGAAAAGGCCATAAAAAAACTATCCTGTCAATTCCTATAGGCAAGAGATCCATTATCTATCTATCTCCTAGCCATCAATAGGCACATTTCATTCCTTCTATCTGGCCTATAGTCAGATAGGCAGCAACCATGAGCATGCTTGAACAGTGGCTTCAGCATGAATATGCACCCCCCACTGTGGATAACAAAGTCTTCAAGCTTCCCCTGGTCCCAGAGCCAGTACGGCCAAAGCAGTTCCCATTCCGTGACAGACAGGATATCGAGATCATCCTTCGTGGCGAAAAGTCAGACCATTACGCCCGTCTTTGCAAGGAAAACGCGGACCTCGAAGTCTCATTCAACCCAACCGGCGGAGATTTTACCATTACCGAGCGTGTCCAGGACCCAGAAGAGCCATGCCACTATCTGGAGGTGATCGCTCATCTCAACCGCAAGAACTCGGAGCTTCTGGATATCAGAAAATTCTCTCAAACTACACTACTAATTGCATTTGCCATTGCAGATGGGAAGCATCCGTGGATGGAATATCGCCAAGCTGGATTTCAAAGCGCACGCCTACCCAGCCTTCTTAGCCAAGCTGTCAAAGCAAGATGGCCGCTCTGCTATATCAAAGTCCTCCTTCCACTCTCAAAACACCCTCGTAGCTGGACTGCTCTTCTCGCCCTGATGACTTTCAAAGGGGTAGACGATAAAGACCTGAAGGAGGTGAAGGAACTCTACAAAGCTGTGGAAAGATGCCAGAGCGAGCTGTTTGATATCAGCCAGCGCCCAGGATGCCCTAGCTCGCTTAAGGAGCTGATCGATAAGGAAGAGGAAATGCGCAAGCATATTGAATTAAGAGACCCGAAAACCCGAACTGCGTTGATCAAGCATTACGAAAAATTAGTCGACGACATTGCCGTTGCCCAGAAACGAACCATGTGGCTGAAAGAGTCAGATAGACTTGCTAAAGAGCAGGAAGCTGTTTATCAAAAGGTTGAACTTGATAATTAGGGCTGACAGGAGCCCTATTATCCCACTTTTTTTGTATCAAATTGATTTCAATCTCTCATTCATCAGGTCCCTTTGTCCGTTGCTTAGCAATGGAGTTTGAGCTATTAAAGATGGGCATTGATGTTCCTATTCTCTTTACTTAAACAATACCCCTTCAATTCAATCGCTTTATTCCTATAACTAATAAACACAATGCTACTGACTACTTAATTCCTGACAGGTCTTAAAAATCATCAAGCAAATAATATGCAGAGTTTTGTTATCCGAGTGGAGTCTTGGTTCATGCTATTCTAATTTGATTGGGAATGGAATAGTGTGGTACCCCCTTAAACCACCTAAAGAGTAGAGAGCACTAGTGTCGGGGCAAGGAAAAGGGAGAAAAGGATTATGGAAAAGGGGCACCAATGAAGCATGATTGGTAACTGAAAAGAAGACGATCTCGGGGGGTATTATGCTATTTATACACAGGCGCTTTGTTTCACGAAAGCTGTTTTCAACCTTTTTTCACGTTTTAAATTTTTTCTAGCCATGGGCAGGGGGTCTACCGCTTGTTGTTACCGCCTCTCAGAGCCAGGATCTGGACCATGCGGACAAAGATGTTGATAAAGTCGAGCTCAAGGCTGATACTCTCGTTAACAACGTCCCTCCGTACAACACCTCGTTCAGCCAAACGAGCATGGTAAAGGATCTTCTGGATATCGTAAAGGGTAAATCCACCAAAGACAGCAAGACCTCCATACAACCAAACGCGCTCAGACCACATAAGAGTTCTTGTGGCTGTAGCTGGTAGAACCAGGGGAGCAAATCCAGAGAGAGCAACAATGGCAACACCAGCGAGAAGCGGGCCACCAAGGTAAAGGTACTTCTCCTGCTTGGCAGTAGCACCGACAAAGGCGATTGAGCCCATCATGCCGACTGTGTAAAGACCAGCACGACCGAGAATGGCTGGGGACATGAAGAATAGAGGTGCTAGAACGGCCGCTTGGGCAAGGTTGAATCCAGTCCACAGAGCATACTTTTGAATGTAGCTATCAAATGGTTAGTAATGCTGAATAAACGTGGTAATGTATGGAGAGTTGAGCCACTTACTTATCGGGCGATGTGTAAAACGTTCCGTACATAGTTCCAATGCTAGCTACCAAGCTGGCACCAACAACAACCCATGGGTTGGTTGCCATGAGTCGATAAGACCACCCGCTGGTATGAAGAGCACGGGCGGCAATGCCGATGATTCCAATACCCAGACCAGTGTGCATGAATGTCTCATTCAAGAAACTTCGTTCGTAAGGGCGCATTCCACCATCTTCTCTTGTTTCCCTGTTGAAAATGAAGTTTGTTGCCACAACAGTTCCTCCGATGATGGCGGCACCGTATATTAGTTTCTGGGTCATATTGCTGGTATCTCCGGCGGCGGGCTGATATGCCTTCTGCATATAGGTACGTCGGAAGGCATCCTGGAAAGACTTGCGCGCTTTACTGGTTGGAGATGGAGAGGAGATCTGAGATGGTGCGCGGCTAGCTGGTGACGATGATGGCTTGATAGGGCCGTTGTGGATGAACCGGATGGTGGTTGATACTGTCGTTGGCTTGGGAGCCTGTTTGAGAGCTGCCGATATAGCAAACGGGCGACGAAGGACGAACGCCATGATGTGAGCGGATATTATTCGAATATCAGAATGATGAAATATAATGATAATTGCCCAAACGGATGGGGCTAGCGATGGCCTTTTATATATCGCAAAAGAGTTGTCGCTTTTGTTTCGTCCGTCGGTCGATGTTCTTCATATCCGAATGAATATTCGAGAACTAAAAGCCGGGTTAGTCATCGACCACGTGACATGCTTTGACAAGGTGGGTCTGTGGATGATCTCATTGTGGCCTTCCGGAGTTTAGGAAAGAAAAAGGCGAAGACGAAGAAGAAAAGGAAGAAGAAGAAGAAGAACGGAGACGAGGAGAGAGACGGGGCTTTGGAAGACAATTCGTGACTCACAGTGAAAGTCGGACGCAGCTATAGCCTTACCTGTGGCTCAGCATTTCTGTGACAATGTCGCTTCTACAGAGTGTACAGATTGCGCATCTTCCGCCCTCATTAGTAGTCCATATTGCGCTCTATCGCGATGTGAAGAACTCACCGTTTCTAAGAGAGCAGCTTATCTCTGGAAACTCGGCATATGAGTACGCTTTTATTGATGCTAGTATGGTATGACGTTGAAGCTTCATGTGGTTTTGATGTGCCTCGTACCTATGTTATAACCCAGATAGGTGTTGACTCGCAATTTGTGCGCCAAAGTAGATACTTTCGACCACCCATGTCCTTGCGGCTGCGTTTAGAGCAATAAACGACTACGAGAATAAACGATTAAAGTCAAGAAATGTGCATTCGGAGATAGTGTTTGCTCTAAGCCCGAATAATAATGTTAGTATTTCCTGTCACTTGATATCACAACGCCGAAAGCGGGAAAGATTACGTCGAATTAACCAGTCCTGCTTGAACATAGATAGCGGATGCTTTCCGTCGGTTTGGCATAACGGATTCAACTAAAGATCTCCTTGTGGTGAAAGTTAGTACGACTCCAGATATCACACATGAGAGTATATCAAAGCATCTAGGAGAAGCTATCGAAGGCACCCAAGTGGCATTCGACGATGCTACTCTCAGCCAGATCACAGATATTTCGAAGATTCAGAAGGCGTATAAGCTATCAAATGTGGTAGACCAAAAACCATCCAAGAAGCCAACGGTGGATGCGGCGGAGAAGACTCTCAAGAAACGGCTAGAAACCTCTATAGTCGGAGCTATTGCTTTGAGAGGGTCTTGAACCTGCCAATTTTATTCAATGGAAATAACTTGTTATTCTCAATTTTCATACCTTTTGGCGATCTTAGAAAACACTTGAGACATCACTGGTGGACAACACTAGCAACATTATTATGCTTGCAGGAAGACAAATGCCCAGTTACTCCGTATAAAATATCTAGACTGAGATTTTTCTGCCCACCAAATAAAAGCCCTTGACCTGCACATGTAGCAACGCCAGTGTCGAATGTTTGCATCTTGATGAATTCTCAATAACGATGGATGTCGTCTAGATAGGCTTTAGCCTCCTGTTGCCCCGGCTACCAAAGTGGTTTAACGCCAAGACCATCGAGTAGCAAAACGCGAATCCAGGCATCAAACTCAACTTGCAGCGAACACAGGCTATACCAGAGCCGGGAAAACTTTTAACAGCCCCCCGTACTGTATATATGCATCTAAATGACTAGCCGAAGTCTTGACGCTCTCGATGTCCTCTTGCCACCGCAGGTGAGACCCGCAAGCCCGACCACTATCTTGCTTGCTTCTCCCACTGCGACACCTATTGATATATCCTCGGGGCCAAAATCCAACCCCTCTCGTGATTTCAAACCTGCACCCGAAAGCCACAGTGATGTCGGTAATCAACCGCAGGTAAATGTTAGCCGCCAACAGATCAGAGCTGTTTTGGGTGGGAAAGCAGGCGCAGAGAACCTACCCGTCCCCAGGAAGAAGAGACGAAAACTTGGAGACAAGGGTGGCATCATAGTTGGGAATATGGAAGACTCAGCAGGCTGCGCTCGAAGCTGCTCTCAGTTTCTACCAGACGAGTCCGCTGTGCAGAAACCAAAGGCGAAAAATCCTAGGAAGTCCCAGAAGAAACAAGATGCAGAGACAGTAACGAATTCAAGGCTGAAAGGGAAAGTTATAAAGGCGTCCACTGCCTCCAAAAGAGTGCTAGATGATAGTCGCGCCTTGAATTCTGCCGGGAAATGTGATTCTGAGCTGAAAAAAGCCGGAAGCATTATTTGGGAACCTGATGGATTGCAGCTTGAGGAAGCTACTGCAAGAAGGGATTACTGGACACCCATAAAGGACACAAATGCGGCCCCTATTGGTTTTATAGGGTCCCCAGTCTCTACGCAAGTACAGAGAGCTCAGGATAAAAGCAAAGACTTCAGAACATTGGTGTCTGGGTTCAATCTTTCCAGAGAAACGCCTCGTGACATTGACTCTGATTGCCAATACCTTACTGAAGGACCAACAACAAAACAGCTTTTAGAGGTACGACATCTCTATAACCAGAACTAGTATGTTCTCCTATTAATAACTTGCCTAGTTTATACCACAGAGCTTCCCCTCAGGCAAGCATTTGGGGCTTGAGGGTTTCGATGCAGGTGCATCCAGTACCTCAGAAGGGAATGGCCAATGTAAACCAGCCAGGAAGCCCAGGAAACCTGCCAAATCCAAAATCACTACAATCACCTCGCTAACTACACGGCGATATGAATCGCCATTTGCATCAGAAAGTGACTTTATTTCACTTGACGACAAGGAGGCTGAATCAATTCAACCTGCCCGAAAAGCCTCTTCCTCGAAGCGTAATGCTACAAAAGCAAAACCTAGATCAAAGGTTTCCAAGGACGAATACCAAGCTCAATTCAAGCCTGCCCCCACAGCGGAAGCTCTGAAAGCTATTGAAAACCAAGCACTTATCTTCGGAACCTCTAGTCAGCTAGAGAGAGATTCCAGTCCTAGTGTGTATGGGCTAGATTCTGGGTCTGGGTTAGAGCACAACCGAGTTGAGAGTAAAGCAACTAAGAATATATCTAGAGAACCCTCCACCGGCCTCGGGACCTCGAGATTTTCTAAATCCAAGAACTTGTGGGGAGCAAGTTCTCGTGATCTAGATGGATATCTACTGAATGTTGAAATGGTTGACCTGATTGATCCGACTGTCCCAATATATAAACCCCTAGATGAGCAACAGACTAGCAGCGCCAACAGGGGCTCTGATAATGCGATTCATGAAGAAATTCCACCACCAATTGAGCCTGCAAATGCCAAGAAGGCCGAACAGCCGACTCACACAGTCGTTGATATCGATAATACCAATACTATACAAAACTCCCGTGAAACCCCAGATACCCGCAACAACCAAATTCGGGATGCCTGCATGCCGGATTTTGATCAACTTACAACCGCTGCTCTCGTAAGCAAGGTGGCTTCTTTTGGCTTTAGGCCGATTAAAAAGCGTGAGAAAATGATAGAGCTATTAGAGAAATGCTGGGAAAGTAAAAAGAATGCCACCGCTAGGCCAGAAAAACCACAAGATACTGCTCCAGAGGTACCTTTGAGTGCCATCCCAACCCCTGTGGACGCAGTCTCCACTACCGCGGCCAGTATTAACCCTTCTAAACGGACAGTAAAACCTAAGAAGGCCACTTCCGATGAAACAACCCATTTCTCACGGGCAAGCCAGAAAATATCTCACGGCCGGATGGCTTCGCCAAAGACTACAGGGAATACAACCCATTCGAAGGACATCCAGTGTGACGTCCGACCTGATATAATAGAAATAGAAGACTCTACTGATGAAGGCCTACTAGAGTCACCTAAACAGCTTAAGAACTCTGATAATCTCCGCCCTTCTTCTTTCGAACCCTCGTGTGATAAACCCGAAGGGCCGGAAGCATTTCAAATTCGAACTAAAGAAGGCAGTTTTAAGGGGAAAGGACCAGCAGAACTCCCAAATATATTTATACAGATTACAAATGCCGTTAAGGCTCAGCCTCGCATACGCAGCGTCAAGGGTGTTAAGCAACCAACATGGCATGAAAGGATTGTCATGTACGACCCTATCTGGCTCGATGATTTTACTCTATGGTTGAATGTGGAAGGCTTTAAACGCATCCATGAAGACCGAGAAGTCCACACATCGTTGGTGAGAGATTGGTGTGAAAGCAAGGGAATCTGCTGCTGTTTCAAGAACAGGAGATGAGCGTACATCCATATACTTCTTTGAATTGTGTTTCATGGGATTTGTTTGGGCGTGAACACGAAGTTTTAGATATTTGGTTTGTATGGCGAAAGAGGCTTAGTCTTTTGGATATCCATTCAATATAGCATCTATGCAACCCACCATTTGACCCCAGAATAAAGTTAAAAGGAAATCAAATAGCTGGTATGAGAAAACAAAATCTGGTCCTCGGCTGCTGCGTATTTGATTTACAACTCCAGATTGTAAGTATCACATACCGGAGAAGTAGTTATAGCTGTCAGGAGGATCCTGAGAAGGGTCGTTATCTCGTTTTTGAATCCTCGTTTGTTGATGTGATTCTTCTTGGCCGCGTACCTGACCTTGGCTAAGGCCCTGCTGAGCTCCCTGTTGCTGCTGCTGCTGAGCTCCATGTCGGTAGGGACTTTGGCCCACTTGTTGAATATGCGTCGGCACGGGGTGGTCTCGTCCAGTATAGGGGTTTGAAGCCACCGGCGTATGATATGTAGGAAACGGGGAAGGGGGAGCTACAACTCCAAATTGTGAAGCATCTTGCATTGATGGTATCAGTCCTGCAGCGCCTAAATAGCGCATATTAGCCACGTTTCTACCTATCTTGCGAAGAGTTATCCACATACGTCTGCTTGGTGGGTATATAATAGGAAATCCTTGCCCTGGCTGATGAGCCGCTTGGTGGATGGCGTGAGCCTGGGCCTGGGCCTGAGCTTGGAAAGCGTCATACGGTGTATATGGTTGTGATGCTCCCTAACTATAGGTATTAACAGGCTAATATAATGAATAGATAGGTTGGTAGCTACCTACCATCGCCAGCCCAGATGCTTGTGGACCGATCCCACTGCTAATATAGTTTCGTAAGTCGGCAATTTCCGCACGTAACGATCCGTTCTCAGAATTAAGCCTTTGGTTATCGGCTCTTAGGCGTTCGAGCTCTCCACGAGTATATGACACGCGAGTTATGGGGTCTGTCTGGGTGCATGGTAGATTGCCAGCAACGCAATTTGCACAGCCAGTAGAATTTGAATCACACTTCATTTTTCGTCCCTGTAGCAAGTAGAGTTTAGTAAATCTTCGAAATGTATGGGTTTGTGGTAGATTTTGGTGTATTTGGGTAAGCTGAGGAAATAGAAAACCTCAGGGTTGATGGTGAAGTATGGGGATATAAGTAAAGTTTGAGATAAGTAATATGGTGCTTGACAAACCATGGCGAATATAGATAGGGAAAAGAATCAGGATGGGTGTCATGGGCCTTTAGAAGATTGATTGAGCTGCTGTCTTTAGGCCAAGAGTGAATACAGCCATCTGGTACAAGTGCGACCTGCCAAAATCCCAATTTGGAGCTGGTGTTCCTTTTGATAGCTTTAATTTTGTAAACAAGGCATACAATAGAACTAAGTGAAACCAAGCCATAAAGTGATGTAGTGTTCCTTATGCATCCAAGTAGAACAAAGTATGGCTGCTCACTCAGGAAATAGCCAGAAACGACAGTTTGATGGTTGGAATTTTCAAGAGAAAGTGGAAATGGTTAGGAGAGCAAAGCGAACTTACCTTGCATCGATCGCAGGCCTGGCCAGTGCGATTAGTAGAAGACATTTGACCCTGCACCAATTGAGAATAGTTTGGTTCTGGGCTATGCTTCCCTCTTCGCGGCTTCTTAGGGCGTCGAGAAGGAGCTGTGGTTTTGGAAGTAGATGCTGATTCTGCCGCTGTAGTCTGTGTCATATGTTTCGCAGGAGCTTCAGTATTCTCCTGTTCTTGTTGCTGGGAACTTCCTTGACTATTCGTCTCCTCGTCTGGGCCATGGGTATCGTCCCAGGGCCCTTCTCGGTCGTCATAATTAGAAGGTCGTTTCCGTGATGCAGACATGGCTCTTTATAGAGAATAAGTATATCAATATAGTGGAATTTTGAGATACTACTAGAACGCTGTAGTAGCTTGATTCCAGCCAAAGAACGGAAATTAGTAGGTATAATAGCGTGTATCTTGATATAGGGTTGATCTGAGGAGAAGAGCTGCAATCGAAATGTGCAGAAACGCAGTATATGTACTGAAGAACCCTTCTCCATCTCTTAAACTGTGTCTTCTGGCTATTGTGTAAGGATAAAAAGAGCTCTCTTCGGCTCTTTCCATCTTGTACACAGCTAGCACACCCCTTAGAGCCATTGATGACGGAAATCTCCATGGCAGATGTGGCAGTGTAGATTCATAGGATCCAGTACCCTTTCATAGACAGAGACTTCGAGAAAACAGCCTTTTGTATCCGTTAACTTGAGAGTAACCCATTCATTTGACCCATCGACGGCTTGTCCGCCCGAGAACTGCTGGAAAACAAGGCTGCGATAGCAAGAAAGCTCATTTATGCTATCCTCTGAGTTCAAATCTTGTCCTTGGAGGCCGAGCCCTTTCAGAATATCAAGAATCGAGCTGCTTTTATTTCACCGTGGAGCTATCAAAGCAAAATCTTAATCATTTCACTCCACTCGATCAGCAGGATAAACGGACATTTCGTTTCAACAGACAGCTTCCTACAATGAATAAGTCGTAAACAAGTTCCAGCTATTTCTCTTTTACAATTCGTGCAAGAAAAAAAACTGATCTTTGAAATGGGGGGATATTTGATCAAGGCTTTGTTTTCTCTTTGGGGTTTCCTACTATAATAGATTGATAAAGGAGGCAAGCATATAATGGGCTAAAGGCCAGCTCAGCCATGCTCGAGTACTCCCTTTTTAGAGGGTAGGAGAAACGAGAGCCATGTGTATCAAGAAGAAGGGGGCCATGATGATGAGTGTAGATGGGTCGAGTCGGGCGGCGCGGCTGCAGGAACGACAGGACACGACCGAGGCCCACGACAAACAGACAAGCAGTGACAAAGAAACGAACGGCTTTTCTTGTCTGTGGTTTTCGACCTTGGTCTCATGTCGGACTCCTCGTTTTTGCTGGTATCTTCTTTCATTATGTTGGTGTTATTCGGCTGTGTGGCCCTGGGGTCGATGGGGCGATCTTCGAGGCCGTTATTTGAACTGGTTAGCTAACCAGTTTTGATATCCTGTGATAAGCTCTGCAGTAACTGGATGTTCAAACGGAAGACAGATACTCTGTACTACCCATGATGAAGCGGATCTAAGAATGAACCTATCGGGTGGAAGTTATTCAAGCATTAACCGCAGCAAAGGTTGCTTAGTAAATTTCTGCTTCCATGGAATCAAAACTTTACTAAGCAGAGGCTCCATCCATTCCTCTGCATTATTAGTGCGCGTCGATAGTTTGGATCGAGAGAGCACAGCTCCCTTCCTGATACATAAAAAAATCTCACTGCTCCTGCGTCTTGGACGCATTTTCCGCCTTATTTCACGCCTATGCTCAGCCTGATGGTTTGCAACTCTCCAGCCATCTACAGCGAAGGGATCCAAAGGCGTAACAATGCCAATGTTAAGTAGGTTTCAAATGCTCCAATATATGGCACTCGTACGTTCTCTTCACTCAAACAATAGGGATACCGAATTTTCACTGGACTAGATGTCACTTCATTTGCCCTCCTTTTTTTTTTCTAGACCTGCTCCTCAAAACCTGCCGTTCACTCCTTGCCTTAGCCAATGCATCGCCTTAAAATTGGTATCTTATATCACATATGTTTTTCATCTATCTTAACGCCAACCACCCCCAGAGATAGCCTCAAGTCTCCTTTGATGCCAGGCAAGAGAAGAGTAGGCGAGGCGAAATAAACAAAACATAGAATCGCGAGATGAGGAAGGAAATGAAGTAAAAAATAGAGAAAATATAAATGTGCACGTTAGGTTGGTTTGGATTTTGTCAAGATAGCGTATTCAATCGTATCGTTTCGGGGTCGTTATATTCATGTGGGAAGATGCAAAATGGGGGAAGGAAAACGGGAAGGAGGGCAATTCAAGAGTATATAGATCGGTGAATGTGCAATAGGCAATGGGTAAATAGTCGTAATCCAAGAAGGCAAGGTAGCATGGTACACAGTACAATGGGGTATTTAAGTGAAGCGAAGAGCAAGAAGGCGGCTAAGCTATGAATGGGCTATGTGTGATCCAAGAGTGTTTTCTAGTTCCCAACCAAAAAGTATGCGGAAAGGATGGAGGACGGGGCAAAATGGGATGGGATCGAAGGAGCAAGTCATAACTAGAGAGAACATCGTACAGAAGAGTACAACACAGAAGATAGATACTGGCTAAAATTGAGGGTATATTGGCATGTTGTCATCGGGTTCGCTTGCCATTATGTGCAACAGTAATAAACTCAATTCTGTCCCGGTATCGGTGCTGGAAGCCATATTCCAGCCATGAAGCAAGGTTTTTGCACTGGCTGACATCCAGCACGCTGAGCATTGAGCATCCGTCGGCCACAGCTTCGACACCAGTGCCAGTTACGCGGACACAGCCGCGCACAGAAAGTTCGCGGAGGTTAAGCAGATGCAGGCCAATGGAGCGTAATGAGGGGTCAGAGACTGCGGAGCCACAGAATGAGAGATTCAGGCGCGTTAGCTGGGGGCATCCGAGCGCTAGAACCTCTGTGGCGGTGTCTGAGAGGGCACAGCAGAATGACTAGGGATATTATTAGAATACGGCAACATTATAACGGGCGCGATCCATAAGCTCAGACTTACCAGGTCGAGTTCCTGCAGGCATTTTGCACTGTTGGTCAAGTAGACGATTGCGTTGTCAGTGAGGTACGTACAGTCCGCAAGGCAGAGCTTCCTCAACCTGAGAAACTGCGCGTTCCCCCAGTATTGGAATCCCTGGTCAGTGATGGTCGTACAGCGGGTGAGATCAACCTCTTCAAGCCGGGTTGCAGCATGAGAGGCGATATGATGCATTGAACGATCCGTGACATGCTTGCAGTATGATAAGGTAATCTTCTTAAGGTACGGACAGCCATAAACTGTTCCCGCAGCAGGTTGATTTGGCTGCTGTACTGCACCCGCTCTCAGTGCGTATTTTGAATTCTGCAGAGCTCTGCCACCATTGACGTGGTTGCTCTGGTTTTGTTGCTGAGCTGGTACCACCCACCCGACAATCCTTGCCAGTAGCGTATCGCTCACCTTTCGACAGTTACTAAGGTCGATCTCCTGAAGTGACTTTGCATGGTTTGTCATATCCAGTATTGTCGGCGCCGTGACGTCCCAAACGCTTTTCATTCTGAGTACCCGCAAGTTGGCGCCGCAAGTGTTGGCAAGTGCAGAAAATCCTTCATCGGTGACATGAAAACAGTTATTGGCATCTATAACACGCGGTCTGTCCCCAACAAACGGACAGATAATGCCGGTTATAATTTCATCGGTAATTTTGCGGTTATACCGACTTAGATCCAGGAACCGCAGGAGACGAGGGGATTTGGTGACTATCTCACACCACTGACGGGAGACTCCACGGAAACGTAGCAAAACATGAAGCTCGAGATACTGGAAAATGGAAATAAGTATGTCATTGGATAGTATTCCACGATGGCGGACACTGTTTCGATGTTTTGAGGGCTTGGTTTGGGAAAGGAAAAAGGTTGAGTTTGTAAAGGGTGCCGCATGAGGCTGCTTGTTAGGCGAGGGTGTTCGTGAGCGAGAGTTGACGCTTGTTGCCTGAGATTGCGACTGCTGGTCTGGAGCAGTATCTTCAGGTATAATAGGGGCAAGAGAGCCTCGCCGGGAGCGGGATCGCACGTTATCCAACCCAACACTCAGAAATGGGTCCGGGTCGGAGGGTTTCACAACAGATTCGTCTTCCATTCTATTAGGTTTGTGAAGAGATTCAAGCTCTGTTTCGGAGAAGGTAAGAAGCGGCATGGATTGCCTCCGGGCAGAGAAGAGTGCCTCATTCCCAGGGGTAAAAAGATGGTCTGCGCTGGGTGCATCTTCCATAACCACATCACCGTCACTAGCATCATCAAGTCTTGTTCGTGCCGTGCGTTCGACCTGGTCTCTTATATCTGCTGGACATCGAGCCCAAAACTCCGCGAGAACTTCACCACTAAGCATCAAGCACTCAACGGCAGACACCGAACGGACTGTAGCGGTTCTTCGTGGTGCAAGTGATAGGCTAACGACTTCACCAAAATATTGTCCTTGTTTTAGCCGCGCCTTAACCTGCACATTGCGAGAGTCCTCCGCATCAGCAACACGGCGGGGACTGCCGGGGTCACATCGCTCGTTGAGAACCTCGACTTCACCGCGCACAATGAAAAAAACTTCCCTCCCGTGTGAATTTTGCCGAATGATGTCAGTGAATGGCGGGTAAGTCCGTGGTTGCGCATTTAACCCCAAGAAATGAAGGATATCGGATGGTAGATTGGCAAAAAGGGGCAGTTCTCTGAGTAACATTCTCACACTGACAAGGCCGTTGGCTAGAGCACTAGAAGTGGGAACGTCCTGGCAGCTAGGACTGGGCGATTTGCGCTTCTTACTGAAGCTACTGGCATCTCGATGGTCGTCGTGATTTAAACCTAGGCCGTCTGCGATGGTATCTCGTACCCGCTTTGTCACACGTTTCTGCCCACCAGGAGCAGCCATTTCTACAACCGCAGGCGGTGACGGTGACTCCTTTTGTTTCTTGCGCTCGAGAATTTGGAGACGTTCTTCCGCTTCATCTCTGATGGCTCGCTCCACCTCTGGGAATTTTGGAAGAATGTTTCTAAAGTCTTCTTTAGTTAGGATGAGAAGCAAGCAACGAGTCCTTGCAATGATGGTGGCAGTACGAGGGCGATCCATGAGGACACCGATCTCTCCAAAAAACGCGCCTGGCTTTAGCTCTGCGTATGTACTCTCTCCATCTCGAGATGTAACGGCGACAGCCCCACGCACAAGCCAGTACATGGCCTTTGCATCATCCCCTTCCGTGAGAATGTAGTCGTTTGCCGAGTTTATCTGAGGCCGTAGGTGGAAGCCGATCTCAGCCAGAAAGGACTCTGGGGTAGATTGTAAGAGCGGGAAAGACCGTATCCGATCTATTATATCATGCGGCATGCCACGTATCTGGTAGGCAGCCAGGGGCGACGACCCGAACTGTTCGAGAAGGGTTCATTTCGGTGTTAAAGGTGCGAATTGGAGA